AAATTGTGGGATCCAAAATTCAAGACTTTTTCCAGATTTTATCCCCAAACGATCATTCTTTTCCCAGACTCAAGGTTATCAAATAGGTGATCAATAGAGACCTTACAAAAAGAAGGAACAAAGCTTTTTTTAATAATGCGCTGCAAACAAGCGGGCGAGATTGAATAAGACTTGACGAAAAAGAAAAAATATCGCTTCCAAAGCACTTGTTGTAGCTTTGAAAAAGAAAACTCAAGACTTTTTACCACTTTTCCAGACTTTTTCCAGGTCTGGAAAGTTTCTGGGCAAATTTCAAGACTTTTTCAAGGACTCAAGACTCTGTACGAACCGTGTAGTAAGAAGACAGCAACGAAATTGCTGCCTGAAGTTTTATTGTCCGCCAGATTTCATCTGATGACACTAGATTTCAGATGTTTCGTACCTTACGAATGCACCTGTGGTCTTTCTTTTTCTTTTTCTCCCAACGGCGGCCAATTCTTCTTGATGCCAGTAATGAGAGTGATCACCGTCCTCTGTGGAGTCTCCTGCTACATCAGTTGTGTAATCTGAAGTTGTACAACAGCTGTCCGACGCTACATCTGACTTCGCTTTAGTTTTGCCCCCGACGTTCTTATCCCGCACTGGTAACTGAGGAAGCTAAGAGAATTGGACAAAATAAATTAACAATTAAAACGTATGGAAATTCGCCAAGACGTTTCCCGCAACCATAAGCCAATGGTAGGTCTAGAGTCAGTATATAATACGATATAACACAGTGGATCTGATAAAGTAAGAAAAAGATCGACAAACACAAGGGATGATGAAGCGTGCCATCGTTGCCAAAAACCTCACTGGAAACTCAATTTGTCGAGTCCACTTTTTTGGAAATTTTGCTACTATAAAATTGATGATTTTCGATGAACTCCGAGTGAGATGAGCCACAGATACTATGATAGCAGTTAGCCCAGAGCAAACAGAGGATTTTAATTACCAAAAAAAGGCTATTAAGATAATGGAGAGGAGACAGACAGAAAAAGCATTCTTTCCAACTTACATACAGGGAAATGCCAAAATGATACCGTTTGGATATACAGTATAAGACAGAGTGCATAATGGACTCACCTACTTTTCCCCTATATGTGCGTTAAGAACTAAGCGTAAGGTCTAGTTGGCTGCATATGTTTTCCGTTTTTATCGCGAAAGACGAAGTCGAAGTCAATTAAAACATTAATGAGAAGGAGGCCAATATCCAGCCATCTAGACCAAACAAGATTGGTTAATAAAGGATTTATTATATGTCCAAAAAGAGAATGTTTTTGCCGGTCGACAGCGTTTCCAGTAACAACACGGGCTTTGCTTTACCTGGCCCGCAGGCGGATTCAGCCACACAATAATTCAAAATAGCACAAAAAAAAAAACAACACCAAAATAAAACGAAGAAACTTACAATCGTATGCGGGACTTATGTAAAATTATGATATCTTAAATGGTATGTTAATGTAAGTTACCACTAACACGCGCCCTCGAAGGGTTTTTTCTCTCTGTTGAAACCTGAGTTTTCGTGGACGTCAATCAACTGTTTCCCTGGTTTTCTCACGCGCTGACAGAGAAGATTCCGCTGTGAAAGGTTTGAACCCAGGAGTCATTTCAAAAGTAGGTTGAGTTTGATCGTCCGGGTGAACGTAGTCCTGAATAGGACTGTTGTTGTTGACAGTGAGTGACGTTTCGACAACCTGCAGAGTCAAAGTGAGTTGTATCCCGTCAGTTGACGGTATTATACTCTGGTTATTGATTCGATTGGTCAATTACGTGGTGATGTTATTGGTCGTCTGTCAGTTAAGCCGTGATGTTATTGGCTATGAAGACTCGTAATCAGTAATTGGTGCGTTTCGATCCGTCTATTGTCACAGTTAAACAGTCGTCTATTGTTAGTCAAGTTGTCATTCTCTCGTAGTTAGTTTTGCTTGATCTCGCTGGTAACTGTTGGCTACGATTCAGTGGCGTTTGTTCTAAGTTAGTAAACCAACTTTCTAAAGTAAGACGTTGATACTAGTCTGTAGAATACGTTATACATGTCGCAGAGTCCCAGTCAATTTGATGTTTCGTCTTTAAATGGTGCTCAGCAATGTGATTGTTGACGTCACCATTCTTCGTAGCTCGTTTGTGTTCGGTCAGTCGCGTGCTTAGGTTTCTGCCAGTTTCACCAATCTAAGAAGCCTGACAGTCGCAGCATTTGATCTTGTATACTGTTCCCTGTCTGTCCTCCGGTTTGTCTTTGTCCTTGACATTAGTAAGCAGTCGTCGTAAAGTGGTTATAGTCGTCGTAAAGTGGTTAGGTGCCTCTGATGTACGGTATAGTCGCTGTCGTAACAGGGCCAGAGTTGGTCTGAGTGTTGGAATCAGTGTTACTGTGAGTGTTCCGTCTAACAAAGTCCGTGTTGTAATTGTTCTTACTTAAAACGTTGTTAAGATAATCAGTCTCGTCTTGTAGGCTGTCAGGTGAGTCACAAACTAGTTGAGCTCGTCTCGTCAGGGTCCGGATAGTAGTAGCCCTGTGAGGTCGATTTGTACGAAGACTGGTCTAGTAATCGGTCGGTATGTGTCGGTTTTCTGTAAATAGTCGTTTTTAGTTTGTTGTTGTCGCGAGTGACCAAGCAGTCTAGAAAAGGTATCTTCCCATTTTCTTCGATCTTTTTCGTGAACTGTATGTCCGCGTTCTGTCTGTTAAGGTGTTCGTGGAAATCGTCGATTCTGTCTTTGTGTACGGCGGTGAATGTGTCGTCAACGTAACGTAACCAAAGAGGTACAGTTTGCGTGTAGGTAACTAGGGCTTGTTCCTCGATGTTTTGCATGACAATTTCCGCTACAACAACAGAAACTGGAGAGCCCATAGCTGTACCGTGTAACTGTTTCTAGTGTTTTCCGTTGTGCTGAAAGTACGTCGAAGTCAAACAGAGGTTGAGTAGGTCCATAATGTCGTCTGTAGGTAGTGGTAGTTCAACAAGGTTCCCTCATCATCGCTGAATGAACTTACAAGAATAATTTCGAATGACGACGCCGTTTTTAATTACTTCATTAAGATGAAGGATTACATTGTTAAAACAACGAGGTCTCTGCGAGCTGAGTGAAGTAGCCTCACACTCTCTACAGTTTACGTAACGGTTCTCAGGTTGTTTATTTATTTGATTGTATGAAAACACGGGAGCCGTGGATGACGAATTGCAAACGATCGAGTATTAAATCGAGTATAAATTCAAAGAAACGAAAGATATCACACTGACAAGGGACGAAGTTTCCTCTGAATGGAGGCTGTTTTCGAAAATGAATTTTGTAACCTGCAGATCTACTTATCATTCTTCATGTTATCGAAGAGAATCCAGAACTAGGAAGAACTCAGACGAGTTGCGAGCGTGCATTGAGAAAGCTTGTGTGGTTGTAACTTACAGTGTGTGTAAGTCGATGACTTGAGTTTCCTCCGACAAACACTCAACAAATTCATACTCCTCGTAAACTTGACATGAAGCTGTGCAGGATTAAACGCAGGCATGTTCTTCCGAGTGCTCGAGAAACGGGGAAAGAATCTGCTCTGGCCAACGCGTGAAAAACCATGGTAACTGTTAGATTGACGTCCACCAAAAAGCAGGTTTGAACCCGAAGAAAAAAACCTTTGAGGGCGCGTGCTGGTAGCCTGAATTTCATCCGATTACTTCGAGTCGTCATTACTCCCTCAGTAATAATGAGAGCAGAAAACAACTCGAAGCAATCGGATGAATTTCAGGCTAGCGTGCTAGTCAGTGGTAACCGTTGTAATCGGTCAAACGTCAAATTCAAAGTGATGATTTCTCAAAATAGAAAACGTGCAGCTAAAAACAGTTCAAAACAATTGTTATAGACAAAAATAACGTGAAGCGACTAATTTTGGAGTAGAAGTAATGAACAGTAAAGCAAAAGTTAAGGGAAAACTTGGTTCCGTGGTACAAATTCACGTTTGTACTGCGTTTGCCTTATTAACGTTACTCTAAAGCTGTCTAATGCTTACGTTATATAAACGCGAGCGAGCACACAAGAAAAACCACTGTGTAAAACAAGAATTAGAAAAATAGGGTTTTCTTCTTGAATTTTCCATCTTTGAAAGGCTCAATTTTTTCTTCGCCACCCATCAATGCCTCAAGTCAGGGAGTTTAAAAGGTGTTTAAGATACCAGGACGGCTAAATCGCGAATTAAACGGAAATGTAAAAAAACAATTCACCATAAGGAAGTGCGATGCATGAGGGCAAATTCAGAACTTGCTTGTGTTTTATCAGTCCTCACACCATTTGGTGGGATGTTATCCCTTATCTTCTCCACACTCTACTGTATTTTGTTTTAGTTGGCTGAATTTTTTTTTCTTTTCAGTCACAATGTGTTAACTATTTACAACTAACTATATAAAAGAAAAATAATTAAACTAATCAACTTATTATAAGTATTAATCAAAATGCTGAAAGTCATTTTAAGAACACATTTATAAGTCTCTTCTTCAAAATTCGACAATCTTCTACTTCCTTCATGTCTTTGTTCCAACATGTAGAGTCTCTAAAGGCGAAAGATTGCTGCCCAGTTTTTAATCTGTACTAGTACCAACTAGACACTACGGCCCACCGTGATCTTCTACGTATTCGGGAAGCGTATTACGGCCAGCCTCATTAGCAAATCAACAACTTTGCACGTGCTTCTTTGGTTGCACCAACATTTCCCAGTTTGCCAACACTCTACACGACCACGACGTGAAAATGCCTAATTTCACGTTTTATTGAGCACGTAAACAAACGAAGACGAACTTTTTTCCTCTACGAGTTCGCCTACATTTGAAGCGACTTGTTATAATCGCGAAGAAGTTTGAAAGAGTGCCAACCCACTTTTTGTTAAAAAGCGACGTTTTGACCGCCGTCCTGGTATCTTAAACTTGAGGTCATTGACAAGTGGCGGGAAAAATTACTTCCGGTTGCCCTACTAGACTCTTCCGTGGTCCTTGCTCAAAGTCCCTATTATCAAGTAACTGTACCTTGATCTTAGACTGAAGAAAGTCCATAGCTTTAGGCCCTAACTTAAGGTAACTGATAACGTTGTCATGGTTACCAATCACCATATGCTCTGCCAGAATATGCTTCAAAACAAGCAGATGACCGAGTCTCTCAGCGTCATTTCTGTGGTAGGACTTTCCCAAGCCAAACAAAGAACATCTGTCATGACCTTCAGAAGACACACGCGCACCTCCAGAACCCTGTATTACCAAGTACAATTGTGAGAAAAGCAGCGTAAAAGATAGTTGAACTTGTCATTCTTGTCAGGGGGTACACAGTATGGAAGGAAACTACATGGTTTTGGAATATGTTAAAAGTGTGAACAAGCAGACACTGAGCTCTTAAGAGAGTTTCAACAAGTGCTAAAGGAAAATAAAGTGCAAATACGGTACACGTCAACTTAAAAAATGCCTATACTGCAAGGTACAAAAACAGCAAACAAAAACAGCTGAACAGCTAGGCAGGCTTAATTATAAGCAGCAACAGTAATAAGTTAGTGGTTTTGTGGGTTGTTGGTGTGCTTTGCATCGCTTACTGCTGCGAGAAATGTTTTGGAATGTTTTTTTGTTGTTGTTGTTTTCGCTTTCGAATCGTCCTCTGCTGCTATTAGCAAAGAGAGGCAACTTTATCTGCAAACTATCAAAACTCCAGAATTGAATTCCCCTAAACAGTTTTGAGGTTCGCGGTTGTGGCACTGACAACTTAGCCAATGCATCTTACATGTAGGAATTAATTTTCGAAAAAATATAACTGTACCTTGAAAATGTCAACAAAGTGATTTAAAGTGAAACTCCTAACAGGCTTTCTCCAGTTCCTGTTTCCATTGTGAACGATAGAATTGACATTCTCTACAAACGCCTTAGCTTCTGATGTGATGTCTCTATACACAAACGAGTCAGAGGAAGCACACGTGTCACACATGCTGTCAGCCCTACTGCGGCATTGGGACGGATCATAGTCCATCTCACCAAAGTAATGCAACAACTGAACTCTTCTACACTCAGTCACATTCTCACAATACTGCACCACACGAAAGAGGTTGTCCATATCCACTTGTTTGCAGTCTGTGTTCCGGCCTGGATCATTCTGGATCATCCTTCATACCACATACAACATTCAAATGAGAAATGTTTGTAAGTAATCAAAATCAGCTGAAATAACCTACGAGATCAAGATTTCAATTAAATGAAAAGGTCCGGGAATGGATTCAAAAAATCATCAGGTATATTCTATTCTCAGTATTACGTTTAGAAATGGTAAACGTGCAGCGTGCAGGCATGGAGTTATGGATGCACGCGGGAGGTTCCATAACTCCATGGTTGCACAGCTGCAACGTTTACCATTTCTTTTCTAACATAATCAAAAGAGAAAAACGTTATTTTCCATTTGCCTTCGGTTGAGTCATCGGCCCGAGTTCATGTATGCTGCCATCTGCCCGCCCCTTTGAGTTTTTCTTTCGCTGAATCAACCGTTCTCCGTCTTCAGGTAAATTGCAAAACGTTTTTCGTTGTTATTCTGAATTGCATCTGTCTACTTGCTCTTAATATTAGGGTAAAAACTTTGAGGGAAAACTATAGCTGCAACTATAAACACCAACTAAAAAGACTCTAAAAAATAAGCCAAAAGCAGACGTTTCAACCCCTTATGAGCTTCTGCCAAAACTAAATAAATGAAATAATTATCAAGCTTATTTATGTGACAATTTTTGAAATAAACGTAAAGTAGAAATGAGAAAATTTGACTGTAATTCCTTTAGAATAACAGGTAACACTAATTTTAAAAAGAAATTAACAAGCTTTGTATCGAAATCTGTAAGGGGAAATCCAGCTATGAGAGTCGAAGTTGCAACTGAAATTCGCCGACACACAGCCGGCGCTGAAGCTGTTGTTTTTCGACCGTTCTCTGAACGACTGTTATAAATGAACACTGAGGAACAAAATAATACACACAGAAGTTATTTTTTGAAAAATTCATTTGAAAACCCAAAAGTTTCTGTACTCAAATGAAATTCGCTTATTCCAGCGTAATGTGCCCGTTTCAACTCAACTTCACTAAAACTTCAGGGGCACCCAACGAGAATATAGTTCAAAACCACTTAAACATAGCATTGTTAAACGTATTTTAGTATTTAAACGGTAGATATAGGCATATTTTTATCCCCTAAAAATTTTTCATCTGTTCGGATTTCCTAGCTGAAAGTCTAGTGATCCGAAAATTATAGGGATCAAAACTTTCCTTTTCGAAAATTTCAGCCAGAAAAAAGGCTTCCGAAAATTCTAGGTGACCTTTTTAGGGTAAAAATCCGTTAAAAATAGGCAAATATACCATTTTTTGGATGTTCGAAAATCCTAGGGGAGGCAGGCAAGCAAGAAATTTTACAACAAATGTTTCGAAAATTCTAGATCTCAAATCGTCTTCCGAACAGATATTCTTCCGAAAAATGTCGTTGGGTGCCCCTGAAACTTCACAACAAAGCTGTCTCGAATTTGAGCGTGTTTCCTAAAATATTTGCTTGAATTTAGCATCAGCTTGACCAAAAAGTCAATAACACAAAGCTAATTGATAAATTTATCTTTTGTCTTTTTTCCTTCAAAACGACAGCTTAGTATTTTCTCGAACTTCCACTTTTCATCTGTGCTTTTCATCGGTGTATTTTACCGTCAGGAGAGGAGATTTGTTGAATTTGCCTAAATTTTACCGCGCTAGCTCAGTTTCTTGGCGTGCACCCACGGGCAAATGGTAGTGGCTAACTGACCAATCAGAGCGCGCGATTTACTCTTGTTATGTTTAAATGGCAGCAGGTCATTGATAGGAAGGAAAACTTAGGACATCCTAACTTTGAAGCTTTCTGTGCATCCGGCTTCTGGGAAAAAGATCTCATATTGAACAGAGAAAAAGACTGGCTTATGTCAAGAAACCACGCAAAATATAGAGATACGTCTTGGGTTTGACAAAACGACTTGATGTTTTCAAGGGGAGACTTCCGGTTCAATGGAGTTGCTCCAAAACGCTTACATTTCGAACCCTTGCCCCTTGTAAAGGAAAATGAAAACAGCATCTAAAAACAACATGGTGACTGATTTTGTCGGCACCACATTTTCACTTAAGTTCAACAGTACGGCTTATGTTAGGCAAGTTCTAATTTTAGCATACCGTAAAATTCCGAAAGTAAGCCCCGGGACTTATATTTTTCAAAGGCCCTTTTTGAGGGGCTTATCTACGGAGGGAAAGTTGCGTTTCAAAATCGATTGGGCTAGTCTTATAGTTGGAAGTAAATTTACCGTTTTTGCTTTGTATTTGAGGGTAATTTTCCAAGTACAAGCCCCTGGGGGCTTATAACTGGAGGGGCCATTTAACGGGTTTTTTTTTGCGTTACCGGTTTGGGGGGCTTATATTTGGAGGGGCTTATTTTCAGAATTTTACGGAATGTCGGTTTGCTTTTATTTTTGTGCAGAATGCCGGATCTGTAAACATTAAAAAATATTACTGGTGAAAGAAATATTTCGAATTTTTCCAGGACAAAATTTTAACCTTTCTCAGATCAATAACTATGAATAATTCCGCTGCCACTGTTAATGCTCTAAGCAATAAAGGCCTGTACACAACTGACCTCCTTATTCTGGTAGTATCACCATACAAATAAAACAGAATGCACTCAGCCAGTCCACCATCTCGTCCTGCCCGACCACACTCCTGATAATACCCCTCCAATGACTTGGGCATAGAATGATGAATGACATATCTAACTGAGCCTTTATCAATACCCATTCCAAAGGCAATTGTAGCGCAAACCACCTATTAAGAAAACCAGAATGCATTAACATGGGAAAATTCAAAATACGTTGCCGGAATAAACCACTACAAATGATCTCCAAGCAAGAGAACAAGTTGCACATGACCTTTGATTAACGCTGTTCAGTTGGCTTACTTTGTATCGGTTATTGATCCAGGCTTCTTGGCACTTTGTCCTTTGTTCATCAGAAAGGCCGGCATGGTAAGCCACTGCACTGATACCAGCTTCATTTAAAGAATCCGCTACACGCTCACAATCAATCCTTTCAGCAACATAAACAAGATTTTTGTTTCGTTAGAGTCAACGCTAATAATAAACTAGTAATAGTTGACACTACAGCTGCCCCCGTTCTGTATATTGTCGGTCAATAGTATTCTTGCTGGTTGTGTAGCTCTTTGAAATATACCGATTCATAATGAAGATTTTCACACATATTCCATACAATAGGTGAGATAAATACAGGAAACGCAAGGTTCCATGCACAGTTTCAGCTCGATTTACACAGCTTTGATCAAAACATTCTCAGTTTCAAGAATAGTTTATTCTAAACCATAAGAAAAGATTTAATTAGAAGTTGAATTTTTCGCTATTTCTCTTTCACTTTTTACATTCAGTTCATTTTATTTGCCGGAAAGTAAGCCTTAGAAATTAAAAGGATGTTTGATCGATTCACGCTGGCGCATTCTAGTCTTATTTGAAACTTTATAACGGAAGGACATCTGTGAGCAGGGAATAAGTCAGCACAGAATTTGATTGTCGGTGCATTTCTGTAATTGTCCATCAATCTGCTAGTGATAAGCTAGCCGTTGTTCACTCGTCTTGCTTGTTTGGGGCTGAGTCTTATTCCGGTCAAAGAGAGAGAAGGAGGCAAGGTTTCCAATATAAATCAAAAATTTGTGAACTCGTGTCTGGCAAACTCTCCAAGTGTTTATATATACATAGTTAAACGCACCTTATAACCTCATCTGCGCTTAACGAGTGTCTTTTGGTCAATAACTTTCAAAACAACTGCTCCACAGAATGTCACTGCGTAACGCAAAAGAGTATCGAAGTATGACTGCACAATAAATGTCACAAAATCTACCTAAGAGGTCCCTTTGGGATTTTCTGTCTTTACGTCAGCCTAACCATTTCGTACTTGCGGGCGCAAACAATAGAAACGTCATCATTAGCTACCGATTCCTCGCGGCCACTGTTCGAGCAAATCGAGATTTTTTCTAGTATACTGACTGTATATTTGAACTGTAAGTACTGTCCTTAATATATGGGCGAAATCTCTCCGGGGGCAATTAATTCCTACTATGCAAATTATATATGATCTTTGAATAACTTAATAATTTTTTTAGTGATGCTTTGCTCTGATAACAGATGCAATTGTCTGGCGCTTGAGCAAATCCCTTCCAACACAGCCATCCTTTTGCATCACATTGCAAAGGCGATTAAGATTAACAGAAACGTAATTCGATATTTGAAAGAAAACTAGGAGTTTTTTTAAAAAGAAAAATTGATCCGTCATAAAGTCAGGTACTACGAATAATTTCTTATCTATTATTACAAACCCATAATAGAAAAAGGTTATTACAAACCTGGATAGACAGTATATAATGCCAGAGGAAACAGCATGTTTGGTCTTGATATACTTGAGTATTTCGTCCATAACCTTTTTCTTTGGTTTTACAACGAATTTCAGGTTCGGTCGATTGAAACTCTGGGTAAACCTGACATTGATTAAGAGAAGGTAAAGTTTTAATAACGTCTGATGGTAAAAGAATAGTTTGCAGGAAGATTAAAGATAAACGGCGGCTTAGGCAAGTCCCAGCATGAATCGAAAATAAAACGGTGCAATTACTAATAGAACGACCAAGTGATACATTCTCAAAAGTGGCATTTATGAACATCTAAAACATCAGTCACATGTCACCACCAAAGACCATATTTAGGGTTGTTGTTAAACTGCCTGCGTGTTTACCAGCCCAAGAAGACACTATAGAATCAAAAAGGAACACAACGACACTGGGTACCGTAAAATTCCGAAAATAAGCCCCGGAGTTTATATTTTTAAAGGCCCATTTGAAGGACTTATTTTTGGAGGGGCTTATCTACGGTGGGAAATTTGCGTTTCAAAATCGATTGGGCTAGCCTTGCAACTGGAAGGAAACTTACCGTTTTTGCTTTGTTTTACTTTGTATTTGAGGGCATTTAACAAAGGGTTTTTTGCGTTACGAGTTTGGGGGGCGTATATTTCGAGGGGCTTATACATGGAGGGGCTTACTTTCGGAATTTTACGGTATGTTAACCTCAACAGAAAACAATATTGATAAACCTCTTTTTGTTGTTGTGCAGCACCAAGAAAATAACCGATAAACTTTTAAGTAAGGCATGGCGTTAAAATCAGTATCTTCCCCGGCACAGACACAGATGCATTGATAAGACCCAAAGTGCGAATCTCTCTGGCGGTATTTGTTACTCATTTGATATATTTTTTTTTATAAGAAATGTATTGCCTTTTGGTCTTCGCAACACCTCTAGCATCTTTCAAAGGCTAATGGGGGTGGGCAAGAGGAAGGAAGACTTGAATGACATACACAAGAATAATCAGAAAAAAAATCAGTATCTTCCCCGGCACAGACACAGATGCATTGATAAGACCCAAAGTGCGAATCTCTCTGGCGGTATTTGTTGCTCATTTGATATATATATTTTTTTATAAGAAATGTATTGCCTTTTGGTCTTCGCAACACCTCTAGCATCTTTCAAAGGCTAATGGGGGTATGCAAGAGGAAGGAAGATTTGAATGACATACACAAGAATAAATTTTAAAAAAACAACAACAAGAAAAGAGTAGAACCAATGCAAGAGTTTTTTTAAATATGGTTAACAGAGGTAAAATGTCTTTAAATGTAACAGCTTCACTTGTTTTTGATCGAGCGTTTCTTTCTAAGGTGGGCTTATTTCTTATAAGTTTTGAACGACTGAAACTTCACGTTCCTGTGTAATGAATTCCACACAAAGTTGACTAGTATCTTCCACAGTCTGAGCCACATTGTATACTCAGGTAATAAACGACAAGATAAAAGGTGCACGAACCTCCCTGCTCTCAAGCTTAACCGTGCAGTATAGGTGGCCAGCCTTCCGAAACAACAAAAGATACTGTTGGAGGTGGTGACGTAAACAAATACACTCGAACCCCACTTAACAGACACCCGTCATTCCAGACAGTTTTCTGTGTCCCTGGGAAAAATCTTTACATTTCCTATACATTCAACCAGCTTAATATGGACACCGGTTAATGTGGACAAGGGACACTTTTTTTGCCCAATCAACAGATTCTCATAAAGTCAATCTTGCTAATGCGGACACTTAATCATTGATTGTATGCTGTAATATACCTTTCCTCTCTGAAGGTTAAAAAACTTATATTTGACGGAATGTTGCTGTTCCCCAGCGCTACAGTACTTTAGGGAGGATGATTCGTATACCTCAATTTCAGACTTTTTTGGCATCAAACGAGTTATGAAGAAAACAGTTTTCATTGAGTAATATATAGTTAAGCTATTTTTGAGCGTTTTCGAGGAATTAGTCAGGGGAATGATGGCTTGTGAAGGTTAGAGATCAGTAATTTAACGATGCCAATGTCCTCTTTTATTTCTTTATTATTTTGTTCTAATAAAAGGTGTTTTATGACGTAAATAACATGACCTGCTTAGTAAAGACACCCCTATGGTCCCTTCAGTGTCCGTATTAACAGGGTTTGACTGTTAGACTGTTCAGCGTGCATAGAAAGTAGTGTCCGATGGCTCGGGGCTAGTGGATTTTGCTATCGGTCCAGTGAATTCTGTTCTTATCTTGCCCGACAGACAAGTGAAGTATTTTGAGGAATTCACCTTACAGAAGCACTGTGAAATCAATTCTGCTCATCCAAATATTTTGGAGGGTAGTTGAAATGACGTTTGGGCTAGTAAATGCTCGCTTCTGTAAAAATGACTTTCTTTGCACCCTGCTGTTAGTCTTCACCAATTTCCTAAAAACGATTTGTTTCTTTTTCTGCGTGTGAGAAAGTTTATTTAATTTCATTTATATTTCTTCAAGAAAACAATTAGGAAGCACTAAGCACCAAAAAGACTGTTCAAACAATGAATATAAAAGTGGTAAAGGAATTTAGAAGTACAAACCATTTTGGTTTTGGCATTTTCAGCTGGTGGAGAACATCCTTTTGTACACGAGGTGTGGCAGTAGCAGTGAGCGCCATAAAAGGGACTTTCGGGTACTTAGTCCTTAAAGACGACAGCTTCTTGTAGTCTGGACGGAAATCGTGGCCCCACTGACTGACACAGTGGGCCTCATCTATTACGATCCTGCAACCAAAACAAAAGTTTCTAAAACATGCAGAAGGGTCCTAATTCTGAACAAAAAGAGGGAGAAGGCAAAGAAACAGTAAGACACATGGTCACCCTTGGGTATTGGCCAATTTGCTAACTTCAGGCTGATCGTTCAAGTCTGTAGGTATATCAGGAAAAGAAGAACGTGATAAACAAGGAGACGTACCCTTCGTAGAGGTTTTTGTTTTCTCCTTGTACAAAAGAAAAGGAGATTTCAAGCCATCCTTCATAACTGAATGACATTTCAATAGAGTTGGAGGCAATTGAATCATGATAAGGTAAATAACTTCCAGGAATTCGACAAATGACTGCTTAATGGAAACCGCTTAGAAGAAATTTGACTGTGAATTTTTCCCGGAAACCTGCTAAAACCAATTGTATGAAAAAGCCCACGCACCAAAGCAACATTCCGCTCATTTTCCTAGTCTGCACAAATATATAATAATAGTTCTCTTACTTGATGTGGTTTAACAGCTTACCTATCAAGTAACCCACGGGTGTACAGGCTGTTCGTAACAGACAGAAGCTTGTCACTGGCCGAAAGTTTCTCTGGTGTCACATATACAAGTTTAATGGTTGGATTCCTGAGCGACAAGTCTTGGTAGACAGAATTCAAGTGCTTTGTGGAACCAGCCCTAGTATCACCAAGTAAATGCACAGCAGGTAGCTAATCAAAGAAAGACTATCGTCAACTAGTGGGTACGTTGTTTAGAAAATAATCAATCAGTTATCACCTCTGGTTTTCCCACAGTAAATTTTCGGAAATGATAGAAATTCAGATTACAAATATACTATCCTTGTTCTGGAAACACAATACTTTTCTTGCTGTTTATTGCACTTTATTAACAGTTATTTAGGTATATATTTAAAAACAAAACAAAAAACAACAACAACAAAAACAGCAAAACAAATAAGCAAACAAAACAAAACAAAAAAGGAAGAAGGGAAAAAGAAGGTCAGTAGCAGAATTTGAACCTGGTACGTTCGGGTTGACCCGACCACACATAGCCACTACGCCACTGAGGATGATCACATGATTTGGTGAAAAGTCTCAAATTTAATGCCTTTTTCATGGAACTTCCGCCGGCAAACGATCGAACCATACTTAACCGATTGAAAAACGACTCGAAGCAATCGGATGAAATTAAGGCCAATTGAAACCAGGCTACTGACGATAAAGAACAATGTAAACGCATTTCATGGCAATGAAAGAACATATGCGATACAAAGCCGACACAACTCCTCCGCGAAGTGGTCCGAAGTAGGACGCAAAACATAAGCTTATGTTTTCTTATCTCGATTTCCGTTGTCATTTTAAAGCTAAGGCTCAAAATCACATCCATTTCCCCCCGTGATCTTGGGGAGTCCTTAAGAAGAAGAAGAAGTGCCTTTATTTACCATACATTCATTCATACACATAACCTACTACATTACTACAAGGTAGGAGATCAAGCCAGCGTCGAAGTTGAAGGGGGCGAAGAGCAAATGCTCATCTTCTCGTCAAGTTTAACGCCTGGACGAGTCAAAGGCTCTAGAATCGTACTAATCTGAAAGATTCCTGCGTGTCTTAAAATGGTAAGAACTCTGCCCTCTAACCGTGCTGTAGCGCGCGATGCACGCTCTCAGCGAGGAATTTGATGCCACCGAACTTCAACGAGCGCGTGCTTCTTTGGAAACGATAGATCTTCGCGCTCTCGAGTTCGGACCCGATTAATTACGAAGTGCGTCTACTACGAGTGAGCGAGTGACTCATTTGCATATCCCTGTCCCTGCAATAACTCGTGGTACGCTCGCGCGTACCCACGAGTTAAAAAAGACCATGAAGAATTTAACATACATTGACGACAATTTTTGCCATGCTTTTTTCTATAGAGTATAAGTTACTGCGGAGGTTTGCTTATTTCAGACCATCAATCTACTTACGGAATATAGATTAATGGACAAGCAATCTTTTAGTTATTAATTTTGTTTATCAATGCCGTCTTAAAGTTAACTAATCCTGAGAAAAATTGCCTTATTTTTTCTATTAGAGAACCTCAGGAAAGTGTGACTGTTGCCCTTGATGATACGTTCGATCTTACATTGGAAAACATGTGTCACTCAAGTTTGTTCTACAACAGGAAAACAGAGCTTGACAGAATATCTATAGGATAATGCCTGAGCTCCGAGGCGAAAGAAGGCCGGGAAGCGAGGCATTATCCGATTTAATGCACCTTTCCATTGTTTTAGAACCAGCAGATCATTATTGTAGCCACTGAAATGGACCAGTAGGTTATTATTCGTAATAATGACCTCCTGTTCCACGTCAGCGACCTACCCTTCCATTTGTTTAAAATAATAACCTGTTCACAATCAAAAAGTGCATTAAAAAAGGATATAGCCTCTGCACACTTACCTGGAGAGACTGAAGGCGTTGTACTTGATCCTGAATAAGAGACCTCAGAGGTGAGATAACAAAAGTTACCCCAGAGCCCATTAATGCAGTTAATTGAAAGCACAGGCTTTTTCCTCCACCGGTCGGCATAAGAACAAAACAGTCATGCTTCATCATAGCAGCATTTATGGCTTCCAACTGATTTGTTCTTAGTGAACGGATCTTGTATACATTTTTTAATATCTTCCACATCTCTCTGTGGTAGGGCAAATCTTTTCGCTTCAATTCAACTGTAAAAAAAAAAGATAAATTTCTTAGCGAACAAAGCATGGCTGCCTTTCCAAACACTCAAATTAAACTTGTAGACACCACTTGTGCAAGCAGCTCAACAGAAGAGGCAAGGAAAAAATGCCAGCATTCTGGATAAACTGATACAATCTTTTCATGAATAAAACCCATAACAACTTGTCAGTGCTACCTTCAATCCACTATTCCCAGCAAGCTTCAACTTCTTATTCCCATTTACAGTGGTAAAGTTCAGTTCAGGCCAGTATCAAAACAAAAAGCAATTTTCACGATTGTACCAGTTCACTGCAACTTCATTAATTTCATTTATTTATTTCTATCAAACAACATCCAAAAGAAACAAAAAAGTACACATCACAGAATACAATAAGATTACGTCTTAATAGGGCTGTTTTTGTTTGAATACCACGGTCGGGAATTTCTTTATTTAAACAAGAAGGCAATAAATAAATAATTAAATAAATAAAGAAAGAAAGAAATAAAGGCTGGTCATAAATTGTTGCAAAGTGATGCCATCATAAAAATGACTTCTTGTGTTCTTGTGCATGAGACCATGTAAAGTCATGCGCACGCAGTCCTAGCTGGACATTAACTGAGGGTGAAGTTAATATTAGACCAAATAATACACAACTTACTATCATTGCCGTTGTTTGGAATCATATTGATTCTCCGAGGTGAGAAGCTGGAATTAAGGCTGATGCTAGTTTTGCTTTTAACGGATGATGTGGTCTGAAATGAAAGACTCTTAGTTCTCTGTTGATTGCAAGGTGTGGATTCCAATGAGTTAATGTTTCTGCCACAATCAGCAACACGGGAAGTTGTAGACAACTTATTTCCAGTATTTGTAGTAAGAACAGACGTGTTTGCCCACTCATCATCACTGCTGTCTAGCAATTCAGCTAGTAGATGCGTATCTTTACTTGTGTGATCATTCATCATGCCTTCAGAAGCCACAGATACTGGACTGACGGAAGAACATTGGACTTTAGCATGTTGACCAGCATTATTTGCAGCAGATTGTCTTCTATTGTTTCCAGACACTGTGGAAATATTCTCGCGATTTAAGCTAATGTTAGATTGAGCCGCCATGCTGCCCTCTCTCTCAAAGAAGCTTTCCCCACAAGGTGTAGTGTTCAGCGCATATGACGAAGGACGTTCCACAAACGTTGTTGGCCTTTCAACTGTAAGCATAACAAAGAAAACAATATTTTGGCACTTTTTACTCATAAAATAAGTTGTTGGAATACACGCACATCAGCGCATGGCTGACTATGGCATTCCCCTGGAGCTGACTATTGAGTAATTAAGTTAATTAGTGTCACGATTATGTGTCAGAACATAAATTTTGCAGTCATCTATGCCTAGATCACAAATTTCTATAAGATTAACTGACGACTGTTATGTACGGTTTAGTCTGCATTAGCTCCTAACCTTCCCAAACGATGATACACTTTAGGCCTACTTACATTAACGGTCCAAAAAACCAATAAGCAACACCAAATACGAACATTTTGACAAGAGAAAGTTCCAAGCAGAAGTGGACATTGAAAACTGGCGCTGGGAAGATTCACTAATCCTATCATTTAGGTCTCACATCAACAATTTTCATACTAGTATTTGTCTTGTTGAGGCTGTCCATCTATATATGTTGTTGTTAATCACGGGATAACTTTAAAAGTACGGGTACCTGGTTAGAGTTTCACATTATTGATGGTTTGTACATACCACTCCTAAATGGCTCATCTGCTCTTTCTCCCCGCTGTTTCAACATTGCCTCAAGCTGCCTAACTTTCGTTCGTAATCTTTTTCTGCATGAAAGACGTTTGTTAATAATACGCTTAATAATAATGCAACTGAATCATGCAACTGTAATCTGACCCCTTTCGGTTTCACCCGTAAACGTATCTTAGTCATGGCTAACCCTTTTTTCCTTTGTTCGCGACTCCAAACAGGGGCACCCAACGTCAATTTTCGGAAAATATCTGTTCGGAAGACGATTTGAGATCTAGAATTTTCGGGACATTTGATGTAACATTTCTTGCTTGCCTGCCTCTCCTAGTATTTTCGAACATCTAAAAAATGGTATAATTACCCATTTTTAACGGATTTTTTTCCCTGAAAAGGTCACCTAGAATTTTCGAGAGCCTTTTTTCTGGCTGAAATTTTCGAAAAGGTAAGTTTGGATTCCTATAATTTTCAGATCATTAGACTTTCAGCTAGGATATCCGAACAGATGAAAAATTTTTAGAGGATAAAAATATGCCCATATCTACTGTTTAAATACTAAAATACGTTTAACAATGCTATGTTTCAGTGGTTTTGAACTATATTCTCGTTGGGTGCCCCTGTCTAAACTAGGCATGAATATACATTTCTGACCGCATATAAACTTATAGAAGATAACAAAAAGGGCTTTCTGGTCTGTTGGTGTCATGACCAATGGTAGGCACCCTAGGTCAGCACTGCACCCTTACGTAAAGTAAAACAAGAGACCAAACAGAAACCTTAAGCTCTGTGCCTCAAGAAGAGGTTGAGGTAGATTATTGATGATGGCTGGTCCAGTTTTCTCTAACATGGAGCAAATGCTCTCCATTGTCTCATAATGGACGACATGTGCCTGATGCAAGATATCTTTGATCTTCACGGTTGGAGCCTGTGGACAAGGACCAAACAAAAACCAAAACGTTATTATAAATATAATATAAATATACTTTTGTGACCATGTTCACAAAATTCAACATGTGAGTGCTAACTGACTTAAATTACCACAAAAGAGCTTGTATTGGATCAAGCTGCAGTGGGACAGATCAGACATACATCTTAAGGCAAGTAGAGTGTGAAAAAAATGGTTAGCCAAAAACTTACATTTTTCGGAATTGGTTCAAGCACGTCATGAGAATTTTTTTGAGCCCTAAGGAAAGAAAAAACCATGAGAATAGGGATATACAACAACACTGTAAGCTGAAAAGCACAAAGTAACTGCAAAGGACATGGTTCCCGAGCTCCTGAAATCTTGATTGAATCTTATTGTTTAAGACTAGGAAAAAGCAAGTAACATTTTTTTGCCTTTTTTCCCTAGTCTTGCTTGTTAGCTATTTGAATATATATAAAAAATGTGTAACCACTGCTCGCCTCCACTAGCTAATCTGCTAACTGCGGGCAGTGGATATTGCTTGCTTGTAAAATTTGTAATTATTATTAAACAGTTCAAACAGTTCAAAGTTGATCACTGCAGACGTAAAAGATAAAAAAGGCCATGATTACATTGAAACAATGAAACCATAAGTATATCATCAACTATAAATGAAGCTGTAAGAACGTACACTGGAAGTATTGATGGCAAAACCTCTTCAGGTTCATGCTGTGCTGTATCAGATGATGTGAGCTGCATACAAGGTGAAGCAGGTGGAGAGAAATAATCAGGTTCTGGAGGACTCTCTGGGCACTCATCATCGTCACCATCCTAAATCAAACACAAAGAACACATTTGAAGTGGACTGGGATGGAAGGACACCTAGAGTGGAATAAAATGTAAAGGTTACCAGTCGTTTTGATACAAAGTCATTTAGCTACAAGTCGTTTCACTGCTTGTCAAAGTTGTTTTGCAGCACTGAAGCCTATCGGAAGACATACCAAAAACTCAGCGATGCTGATAACGATGTTATAAGCTTTGTATTAGCCATGACTCATTTAAAAAAGAAAAAGAGGCACTGGTTTGTCAGTTGTCACAAATTGCCTACTTTGCTGGACTTAACAATGCTCAGGTGCTCCTTGTACAGACTCTGGAACCTGCTTAAGGAACATTCAACCACCTATGGTACAGATTGGAGGTACTCTATAGCAAAATTGTGCCTATGGTCGAGATTGGAGGTACACCACATCAAAATTGTGGAACTGTTCACCAAATACAACTAGAAAGGTTGACACTCACTTTTAAACAAAAATTCAAATACCTGGACCATTAGAATTATTAAAACTGAAAATATTTTGCCATTTTGTTCGAGCATAGTTTTCTATTTTTCAAATTTGAAAGGGGGATGAACTCTTCACTTTTACATTTCAATTTTTAGTTTTTAAAAAGGTCTGATCGATTCACTAAAATACATCAAAGTGCAAAAGAGCAGCGTCAAAGGAAACCCCTTGTCGCTTGTTTGGACAAGCTGGAAGAAAATTTGATCTTTTTAATCTCAAACTGTTTCTTACAGGTTTTGATAATAATTGTTGCCTTGCACTGAATTCATCAGTTGATTCCACTCCCTTGTTTCTGAAAGAAAAAGGCATATTAAGCTAGGGAAGTCAGTGGTACTGCTTGGCAATGAAATAACACTTCCTGGACTTCTCTAAAATGTAAAGGCAAGTTTAAGAATATGATTAGGCTGTATTTGTACATCATGCTTCAGAGAGTTCATGTAAGCCACCTGGTTAATGAGATTACAGAACCTTTTAAGGCTAAACACAGGTTACAAGGGCCAACACCTTCAGAGCGTAATTCAGTTTCTGTTTCAAGAAGACAAAAAGGTTATTGCTTCCACTAAATGGATCAGGTGCTGTCACAAAAGGGTTAGCCATGCAATAAATAGTCAAAATGTATAATCAGCAAAAGTACCAAAAGAGACAGAGAATCATCAATGTGTTGACAAGCAACAAATGGAAAAGCATAAACATGAAAAGAATAGAAAATTTCTCTTGTGAGAGTGTTTGTTTTTTCTTCTATATTTTAATTTGAAACTGGAAAATAGAATGATCAAATCCTGTCTATTCAGTCTGAAAAGGCACTTACTTAGAAGAGAAATCCTCACATGGTATATCCTGGTCAACTATATTTGCTGGTGAGAGTCTTACTGCAGGGGATGGTGGTGGTGAGAAGTACTCTGGGGGTGGTGGGCTGTTTGGTGGTGAGAACACCTCCATGCTGAGTGGACTATTCTGCAATGTCAAGTCATCTGGGGGCTGGGGACTGTCTAGGGGTGGGAAAGCCTCAGTAGCAGGTAGGCTATTTGACTGGTCATTGACATCAAAAGGGACAGTGTTATTGAACAGGTTTGCCCCAGTAGTACAAGTGCTCAATCCATCTTCTGGTTGCTGAAAAAGATTATACACAGATGTAAATGATTTAAGATATAAGTTAAACCTTTGTATCTCTCCATCAATGGAATATATGTGAAACTGCAATAATTGGCATATGGAAAACAATAAAAATGAGCAGTCAACTTCATTTATGTACAACAAAAATGAGAAGGGCCGGTAATTATAAAGTAACTAAGATGGTACACGTGCTCTGATTGGATGAGAGGCGTGTTTGCATGAGAGTATGTAAACAAAGTCATGGTTGTGATGTCAAGATGTTTTGTTTTTCGTGGGCTAATCACCCAAGCACAAAATTAATTTGAAAACGTTCTTGAGTTGAAAAATTGACAACCTTACTTTATTTACCCATTCCCTCGTTGGCTGAAACTTGGAAAATCTTTACAAACTTGCTGTGTCAATTTTTTTTTCTCAGTTAAGCTGAAATCTTAAGTGAGGAAAATCTGTATTTTGGAAAGCATCTTTTTTGCAAAACAAGAACTGATTTTGAGTACAAGACTTTGCCACTAGTGGGAATTTCTCTTTTAATTGGTGCCATAACAAAGAGTTGTGCGCTTTTCTCAGGGAAGTTAATTTATAAAAGCAATAGAAAACTTTTTTCCAGTATTTGCATGGCCTGATATAAACACTCGAGGGGTTGGGAGAATTCACGACAGTTACGCAAGTCCTCAACTTCGTCTCGGGTTTGCAAAACTGTCTCCAATTCTCCCAACCCTTCTCATGTTTATATCAGGCTATGCAAACACGCAAAACGTTTTCGATTGCTTAAATGCAAAGGGTAGCACAGAGCAATTAAGCATTTTCACAACCATTCAAGTTAACTAATACCAAATGGCAGAGGCCTCACCACTCCCCTTGTTTGTGGAGTAGGTGGTCTACTTACAGATACCATATTTCCTCCCTGGGTGCTTATCTCAAATTTCAGCTAAAAGGATGGGCGCTTATTCGAAGGAAGGTGCTTAATCGAGGGGGGTGCTTATTGCATTTTCCTTTGAATGAACTATAGAGAAAGGTCTTGTTGTTCCAGGGAAGTTTACAGCATTTACCAATAGCGTGGCAATAGGAAAAAAAATTAAAAGAAGAGAGAATGCACATAAAGAACTCTGCAAGCACATGGATATAGAATTAACTGGAAGTGACTTAACAGAAATGAAACTATTCTCCTTTACTCTAGCAGATTCCACTGTAGTCAAAACTGAAAAGTTAAAAATAAGGTGGCAATAGAAGCTATTGAGGGGGAGAAGAGGGGGCACTTTTACCAGGGGGTACTTATTTGATATAATGGGGGACATTAAAGGGCGCTTATTGGAGTGTGTAGGCACTTAATTGAGGACAGTTATGGTATGTGTGACACCCACCTCACCTAATAAACTGGTATCTTATTGTTGCAACATTGCTACATACCTCGTCAACAGAAACAGCATCAGCATCTTCTGCTTCTTCAGCATCATTCTGGAAGTCACAGCTGAAGAGTACATCTGCCATATCATTGAAACTGTCACTGACATCATTGTCTTGATTTATTGTTTCTATAATACCACTATCCTGTGTTAAAAGCACTGATGTTAAAAACCTTTTAATTTAGTTTAGCTGAGTTGGTACATAATTTTAGCACTACAGTGGTTTTATTTTATGTTTCCAATCATAGAGCTCCCCTTTTTTAATTAATCAAAAGGGAGACAGTTAAGGCAAGAATAAAGATTGTTTTGGTTTGGGGACCTAAATGTTTGTAGGTTATCCGGATACATATTACCATGGAAAATTTGTTTTAAAATTCCCTCTTGACCCCCACCATGCAAAACTGGCCACATTCTTGAGGATTTGATCAGATGACATCACTTCAAACACTTTTTGGAGCTGGTTTGCTTCTGTACTCAAATAATAATATAACAGCACTCAAAACAAGATAACAAGTCTTTGCCAATAATTAAGGGTTGGTTTGGAGCAAGATGGATTTCAAGGCAAAATCATTACTTACGCTCCTTTGTTCTGCTTGCTATTAGGCCCCTCAAATGCTCACGTCACCTTACATGTACATTAAAATATAAAAACCCTTACATTTTACAGTTTCTCTGAGATTATGCCTGCCACACATTGCTTTGTCTAAAAAAATTACCACGATTAATGTTCCTTGCACTTGCACTGAAAACACTCTACAAGCGCTGCACTACTGGACCAAAATTTTGCCATGTCCTGCAACACTCAATAGCATCAACAGTGCCATTTTCCATGTTTGTCAAGAACCAGTTAATTTTTGGCACCCTACCTTGCTAAACATAGATGTCTCCTCACTTTTGCTGGAATTACCTTTCAACAGCTTTAGTTTCTTTGACAAAGGAGGTTCTACATAAAAACATTTACATATGAGAATCAGGGCTACCATTATTTTATGATCTAATTGAAACCCCTTCTCAAAAAAATACCTCTTGTCTAATGAATGTCCCCTTACAATGTTAGTTTGTTAGACAACCCTCTCTAATAAACGCCCCCATGACAGTTACTCCACAATGCTAGCATATAGCAAAAAAGAAGCAAAATCATTCAATTTATGCTGTTTTGTTAGACAATATAATAACCTGCCCTTTTTCTGAGTCTCAGCAAAATTTTTCTCACCCCTGCCAAAAACATCCATAGATGTTCCGACAACCTTTGATCACTTCCAAAGCTTCAAAAGATAACAACTTTAGCGTGTTTTGGTTTCCTTATGATGCCATCTTTCAGTGCCTTTTTGGAATATTTTAGTGGAAATTGAATTGAATTTTCGCTATATATCATGTGCTGAAGAACAATTTGTCTGGATTTGTGAGTCAGGGGTGAGAAATAATTTCTCACCCCTGACTCACAAATCCAGACATTGTCCTTGATGAGCGAGATCAATGTCTTATGTCTGTAAACGTGAGACTCACACATAATGCATTAGATTTGGCAGGTATACGTTTTGTTCGAAGTACAAAGTAAGGATAGGCTAAGGATGAAAACCAATGACCGTGAATGAGGATTCTGGCATCACAGTTGAGTTTTGAAAGAGCAATAATGGATGTCTAGACAACCTTGACAAAGATGGACTGAATAATCTACTACCTATAAGCTCTCTTCATATTTTTGCCGAAAGCATATTACTTTTGTTGATCTTGTCTCTGTTATGAGAATAATAATCTCTCTGTTTTAAATGCCTCCCATCTATTAAATGCCCCCTCTTGGACCCATAAAATTAAATAAAATAATGTTCTGGGCATTTATTACCTTAGTGGTGCATAATTTCACGTTATTCACAACTGTAAAAACAATTGCAAAATTGAAGAGCCGCAAATAAAAATTCTCACCAAATGTGACGCCCTTTTTTCATATTTTCCTAATTACTGTAATTCGCAACATAAAACCCTGTGAAATACTGTTTGGCCAAAATATCGAAAAAAAGTACCTTGAAATTAAGTGCCAACAAGGTAGATAATTAATTTTACAGTAATCAAAGAAAGTGAGAATCTAGAAAGAATACACCTCAAATCTTTTGAAGGTTAATGGTGCATTACAAAAACCAAATGGAAATAAACAATTAACATCTTGACTATTAAGGGTTATCATTAGTATTGTGGCATTTTTAAACCCTGTTTTTTGGTATTTGCGACTGTAAAAAAATCGCAAAATTGAATACCAGCAAATAAATGAAATAAAATGCCCTTTTTTCATATTTTTGGATCAAATCATGAAAATAGAACCCAGTGAAATACTGTCTTGCCACAAAATATCGAAATAAAGTACCCGTGAAATTAAGTACCAACTAGGTAGATCATTAACGGTAATAAGAAAAGTGAGAATCCAGAATAAGTACACCTCGATATTTTGAAGGTTCATGGCCGTGCATTGCCAAGACCAAATGGAAATAAATGATTAACATCTTGACTATTAAGGGTTATCAAGCATCATGGGATTTTTAAAGCTGTTTTCTTGATGTTTATCTCCTACAAATGGAATTGTTATTACAGCTACTGTTCAGAAATAGAATGGTCATGTAAACAACACTACAAATTTACCTGCTGTTGCTTCAAAGTCATCATCATCATCATCATTTATGACAACAGGTGTGTGCTGAATAGGGGACACAAAAGGTAGAACTTCCCCTTGTGATCTTAAGGAAAACTCATTTCCAGCTAAACTGCAAATAAAAAGTACCAGTTGCACTTGTAATAATGAACTCTTGTCTCTCTCATCCACAAGCCACTCAGAGAGCAAAGTACTTATATATGACAAAGGAGGCTTTTGCATAACCTAAAAAATAACAAACATTGACAGGGCAAATATTACAGTGTGTAAACCATATAAAAAGTCTGAACATGCAGTACCACTCTTTGTGATGATTTTAGTTGATGACAGCTACATTAATATTTATAAATATTACATGCAGGTAATTTAGAGAAAGATTTAAGAAACATTCACCTTTTGGACAGAAATGGGGTTACACGTGCAATCTGGCGTGATCCTGTTCCATCTCTGTTCTTTTCAACAATGGACCTCCTTTCAATCAAAACGAAGAAAGGACTTTGTCAGAAACACATTCATAATATTATATGAAGACGTTGAGTATGGATCCTCTTACAAATGTGTTACTCTCATCCTCCGTTTAAATATGGCAAAAAAAAGTCTTGACACCAATAACTTAACTTTTCTTGTTTGTATCAAGGATCAGGTGAAAAAAAATGTTTTGTTGGCTTGCCTGTATGAATGTAAAAAAAATGTTCAATAAAAATTAATTTGCCTGTCCCCCCAACAATACAAATGTCCCCCAAAATTTTAGCCAAGGGGACAAATTGTCCCCCAGTGATCAAATCCTAGCTCAAACCCTGACTCTGACCCTATCATTCTGAGGGTAGTTTCGAAAACGAAGCACTCGAAAACGAAGACCAAAGCACGAAGCACCCAAATCTTGAAAAAGAAGCACCCAAATCTCGAAAACGAAGCACCCAAAACTCGAAAACGAAGCACCCTAGATCGAAAACGAAGCACCCTAATCTCGAAAACAAAGCACCCAAAACTCAAAAACGAAGATCCCAAAACTCGAAAACGAAGCTCCTGAATCAGGTGGAGGCAGCGGATGCGTCCGCACCTCCAAAGGTAAACAAAATCCATCCCAAGGTTTTATTAGAGCCTGCCAACTGTTTAACTGAACTTTTCTAGATAGGATATACTGTATTAATTTTATTATTGGCCATACTTGATACATCTTACCTTAATATGCATTTTTTCGGTACACATACATATACCTGTCAACTTTTTCTGAGATATAAGCGTGAGATTTTTATCCTGGGAGTGCTGGGATTTTTGAAGACGACACGATCATTTCCGAACATAATTTCCCGAAGAAGTCCGAAGTCTTCCGAAGACGTCCGAAGTCTGCCGAAGGCGAGCTCGCTCCCCGTGCTATTCACTTCAAAAATCAGAGATCGGGAGGAAGGTATTGTCATTTATTCATTTTACACATGGTTTTCGTTCCTTACATGGGTCTGAGTTAACATATTTTTGGAAATTGTGTCAAGCAAGACGGCAACAACTCACCCTTTTCAATCAGGCGTGAGAAATTGGCCCGCAGGTGTGAGCCGGCGTGAGATCGAAGTTTTCAACCCGCAGGCGTGAGAGTTGGCAGGTATACATACATGTTTATGTAGACTTCAAAACCGTCCGTCAGCAGATTTTGGCGTATTCAAGTACGCGTGAACAGTAACACAACAGCTCTGAAACGAGGCTGAAAACGGAGTGTGAGGCTCGCGCGTATTACTCTTTCGCCATGCTTTACCGACTTCTTTACTGCTTTTGAGAAAAAAACCAATGTTTTGCAGTCTAACATATTGGATATGCAGGAGGTTACACCCCCTCCCGATCGCAAAATTATCACCTTCTAACATTTGTTCTCTTGTTTTCGCCGCTTCGATAATGACGACGGCTACCACGTTTTCCCGCCAAAATGACGCTGGTTCGCGCACGAGCACCACTTAGTACTAAGAAAATCTCGTACTCGTCTTAGAATCTAAAGCTCGTTATCATCGACTCAAGCCTGCAAATTTAACTGGCTTTTAACAGTAACATTCTAGAAATTGTTTGGGCGTTCTCGGTTTTCTGATCACAACCAAAACATGGCCTCCCACCGGGCCTTCCACGCGGCGGTGGAAATGCATTTACAACTTGAGTAGATTTGAACTGCATTCGATTCGTTATCGTCCTTGATTCCTGCTGTATTAGCATTGGTCTCGTGCTTATAAAGGACAGACCGGTGTCGAGTTTTTGGGTGCTTCGTTTTCGAGTTTTCGGTGCTTTGTTTTCGAGATGTGGGTGCTTCGTTTTTGAGTTTTGGGTGCTTCGTTTTCGAGATTTGGGTGCTTCGTGCTTCGGTCTTCGTTTTCGAAACTACCTCATTCTGAGACATACATGTATCATGTCAGTCCACTCACATTTAAACTATGCTCCATCCTTAAGTTTTGTTGTAAACGGGAGTTGATTTCGTGGCCAACAGATAAGTGTCGACTGCTTGAGTATGTATCTCTAGACTTGGCCGGTTTCGGGCTATCAATATTCTAAGAGACTTGTACACACTCAAGTCCTGATCACATTCATATTCATCGTTTATTGCTAAATCAAGGTACTTTTATACATATTGGTCACTAAATCATACGTGGGAAAATATAGTAGGGAATGCATGTGGTTTCCTTTCTAGTAAACACCCTAATTCGATTGAAAGCTTAAAACATTATTACACCTACATTACTTACGTAAATCCTGAGCGGCTAGGTTTGAATAATCATTCCATCCTACACAAAATCCTATCAGTTTAAAGGGTGTAGCTTGTAGCTTTTACGCTATTCCGATCGGAAGGCACATCTAACTATCTACTTTACACGATGCACATTTTTGCACGCTTGCTTACACAGTAGGGATCATATTTCCGGTTCCTATCAAGCTAGTAATTGATCTATCGTTCACTCAAGATTAACAAGTCACGATTCATTGTACCAAGTGTCACGAATTCTTTAACTTTACTACAGTTTCATGCCATAATTATTGTTTCTAACATGTCTCGTGATCTAACTTCTAGTGAGTCAGATCTGATTGCTGGCATTCAGAAAGATGTTATGGTAGCATCAACACAACCTGAGGAACTACTGCCACAAGCCATTGTGGCAGTTGTTTAGTATTGTAAATCCAAGTACATGTATTACCGGTACTCATACCTAGTATCATGACCTCTTTCAGGTTGATTTCCCTGCAAGTTACTATCCTGGAAGGTAAAAAAGGAACTAATATTTATTTTTTTAGACCGTGGTATGTGGTCAGCATCGACAACAAAACAATGTTTCACTCAGGCAAGAGTGCTTTGCAGGAAATACAAACAAAGCTTCACCAGTGACCATCTCTGTAGGAGTTCTAAGACATAACATTCTATGACAATGCTTTTATCAGCTTTCATTTATTATTTTAGGTATCACAGAGGCTTTTTGGCTACTTGGAAGGTAACTGTCGTTAACTGTGTACCGTAATTTCAGACGTACCGAAAAGGAGCTGATTGAATTTGTGAAAGGTGTGAACAATGGCAAGAATTTCTCTCTCAATTTGAGCGTACAGCTGTTCAGTTGGAGAGAGTGAGCTGGAACTGTAGGTGACTGGTTGCCATTGGATGTTGTTGGAGCCAGTGGGGTCAATGGCTGGTTGAAGCAGTGCCGCACCTAAGCCATATTCCGAGACATCTACTTGAAGTAGTACAGGGGCGTTTATGTCAAAGTAATGCAGACAAGGTGCTTTGGATACTAGTTCCTAAGCCTCTGTGAAGGCATTGCTGTGCTGCTCAAACCAGAGGAATTCCTGTTTAAGGTGTGTAAGGTTGTGGAGAGGACGGACTACTTTGCTTAGATTAGGAGAGAATTTGGCCAGATAGGTGGTAGTCCCCAAGAACCAGTGGGAGGCTGCCTTGTCTTGAGGTGGAGGCATGTCCAGAGCAGCTGTAACTAATTCTCCGTGCTCAGCTTAAGTCCCTCAGGTCTTAGCACGTGGCCCATGAATGGTGCCGTGGATGTGTTGAACAGATTGTGTCAGGTGTTCCATGCAATTCCGAAAAAGACTGGAGCATAATTATTATACATTTCCACGTTCTGCGTACGATCGATTCACGCTTCATTTGTCAACTTTGTCCTTTTGTTTCGTTATGAAACAAAAACAAAAGCTGAATAATTTTCATTTCTTACGGAAAGGAGAATGGCAGTTGGGTTTTTTGAGCTTTTTTTTTGTCACCTATTATTCAGAATTGGTCAGTCATTTTTAAATAACATTACATTAAGCATGTATTTTTTAATGAGTTTCTGAAGCTCTCACAAGCGCAACCTTTTACCGTGTGGTTGCTTACAAGAGCTCATTCTCATAAGTGACCAGCTCTAGTTACGACCACTTTTTCAAATTTCTGAGGTGGTCACTAACAAGAGATTCTGCTGTATGTTTATATTATCATAATTATTATTGTTATATTACAGAGTTTAATAACAATATGTGGTTTAATTCTATACTCTCACCTGCTTCTTTGGGTTTTTCTTGGAAAAGAAATTGAACAATTTTCTGAAAGGAAATAGTCCAAGAATTTATGACCTGAATGAAACAGCACTAAGAAAACAAAACTTTGATTTTAAAACTTATATACTGTACAAGGCTCGAAAAAAGCCCTGTTGGGTTATCCAGGACAACAAGATATTTTACTGGACAAGTAACTTTTTAAATAGCAAGGGTCTAAAAATGTCATCTAAGGTCTACAAGCAAGCAATGGCCCTGGGCAAAGACAAGCTGGAATTCAAGAATTTTTTTAGCCCTGTATGTAGCAGCTAAAAACGTAACTAGACACACATAACACAACTTCACATCAGGTTTTGACTTTCATTGTCCTTATCTCATCAAAACGCTTTCTTGTTCATGACCATCCATTCAGATCCACAGATATGAGCTAAATTTAAATACCAGGTTGGAATATTAATCATGTATTTACCAACTTGTCAGCTGGGATTTTCTGGCCTGTTTATTTAGACAGGTTGGATCACTTTACCTGGATAGCTCAGCTCATGCCCTATTTCCTAATTGAGATAACGCATTAAATTGTAACCTGAGATCAGGCCCAATTTTAGCAGTTCTAATACGTTCTCTCTTATGTGCTCCTGCTAAAATTGGGCCTGATCCAAAGTCTCACAAGCTTATTGCCTGTTAGAACAATGCCACAGGATCTGATTGGCTGTTGGAATCAACGGAAGTTGAAAGCACCTATTCCTCACGTGGCTGATAGCACTCAAAAATAGAAAATCTTCGGAAATGATTTGCGGTCATTGGAGAGGAGGATTTTGCTGTATTTTTTATTGTTTTACAGTCCTGTGGAAGGAAAATGTGCCTTTTGCCATGGAAATTCAGAAAATTCAGATGTTTGTCCATATCAGCATTCTCAGCATTTGCTTAATTTACGGAACTAATGTGAGTGTATCGTGGAGTCGAATCTCCCTGCAGGTTGTTGACCTCGAACAAGGTGCCTTTTGATTTACCAACAAACAAATGCAAGTCGAAATACTGTCCATGTTTAAACTGGTTTCATTTGAAAGTTTAGCCAGGAATGATGTCTCTGAACAGGGTTCGCAAGCTGACGCTCACTGCAAAAGAAATCTCAATCACCAGCTGTGAAGTATTAGACATAACTTTTTGGAATCGCTGTTCAAGGAATTTTTGTAGGCATTATTATAAAAGCTAGTGCTGCTAGTTTTAAGGTAACAGGCTTGTTGTTTCCCTTCGCTTTTTTGTAAAAAATTAGCCAGAGAAACTGCTGTCCTCGCTCGTTGGCTGCTTGTTAATTCAGATTATAAAATTTAGTAAGCTTTTCAGGACTGCAATAAAACAACAACACAACAGAACTACAAAGAGTGTTTGGAAAATTGTTTTTCAATTTGTTTTTAGGTCAGTTGCGCATGCAGTTTTAATATTGTTGTTTCGTCTATCCAAAGTGCCATTATTTTAATATTTACCAGGATGTATAAAAGATGCATTTTCGTGGTTGGTGGATTCTAGTATATTCGCAAATTGCAAGTGTACTTACGGTACTAAATCAAATGAACTTGAGAATTCATTTTAGTTTGCTCTGAGATAATTTATATATCCTTTGAAAAAGTTCGCGACATATTACTCCAAGATTTTTAAAGATTCATGTACTGAAAATCAGTGAACGCACCTAGCCAAAATATTAAAACTAGAACATTGTGTTGCTGTCTTTTAGAAAACTTTTACCCTCCACGCAAACAGAAATAACCTTTATGATCTCCTTTAATCTTGCAAGAAGTTAAATAATTTGACTGGGCTGGCTGTTTTATTTTTAGTTGAAAATAAGATAAAAGCTATTTTCTACATTTTCCCATGTATGAAAAATTTGCATACTAAAAAAAGCATGCAGCGGAAGTAATTTTGGTTGGCTCATTTGGCAAATGTCAATCGATCAAAAAAGTGGGCAGCAGACGTTTCCCAGAAGGTTTGTATCAGGCTCTCTTTTCATTTAGCCTTGCCCGCCGGAATGTTATTTACAAAGAGAAATGAAAATAGAGCCTGATCTCAGGTTAATTTTAATTTAAAAATTGAGCCAGCCAGGCTAGCTGGACTGGTCTCTTCACATAAACTCTCCCTAGGTGACCCCAACAACAGTTCAAGGTTTTCAAAATAATCACTAATAGACCTTTTTACCGATACGGCGGCCATATTGAATTAATTCGATTTAAGGAGTATTATAGGATGTCCAGGGGGCAAGAGCACATTTCGTTTGTATTTTTGAGTGCTTTTTCTTTTCTTAGAATAAGATTGTAATAGGAAAAAAGATCCCTGTGCCGTGTTTGGATGTAATAATGATCACCTTTTTCCCGAGAAATATACAGTGAAAGACCACATTTCTAATACTAAACTAGAAAAAGGCAATCATTATTACATTCAAACACGGCACAAGGATCTTCTCGCTCATTACAATCTTATTCTAAGAAAACTTTAACAAAAAATGTCCCGAAGAGCGCTCAAAAATACAAACGAAATGTGCTCATGCCCCCCTGGGCATCCTATAATACTCCTTAAATCGAATTAATTCAATATAGCCACCGTATCGGTAAAAAGGTCTATTGAGTCCAATCTCAATTCCCTACTCTCTAGATTATCTTCTACCGGTAGATAAAGCAAACTAGGCAGAGTTTAGGGTTGGGGATCAATCAAGGAATATAGATGTTGTGTCAGGTTACAACAATTTTTTCGTGTTGTGAAAACCTTTACCGGCCCGCCCTGGTCATATAGCCATATACTACAGCCAGTATCAAATTTAGAATTACTTTACATTCAGATCAGTGTAATTCTGAATAAGCCTTAACTGGCTTCAAACAAACGGGTAACTATGAGTAAGGCCTGTTTCAAACGTCGTGCTACTGCCGTGCTAAGCTGGCTCGACTGTAGCTCGACTGCAGCACGACACTAGCACGACTTGGTTTCAGACGTTGAATTTAATTCAGTCGAATAGAACGGCTGTTGCCGAAAACAAAACACAAAAATAAAGAAACGGTTTAGCAAACTTTTAAATATATTCTAATGTATTTATAATTTATGAATTGAGTTCGGCACGGCAGTAGCACGACGTTGGAAACCAAGTCGAGCTACTGCCGTGTAGCACGGCAAGGCTTGCCACGGCAGTAGCACGACTTGCTTTCAAACGTCGCGCTACTGCCGTGCTAAAGTCGAATTTAATTGGATCAATTTAGTTCGGCATGGCAGTAGCAGGACGTTTGAAACGGGCCTTAAGCCTTTTTAAAATTCACCTTACCCTTGGTTTTGAGATTTTTGTTTTGTTGTTATAAAGTTAGGGATCGAAGGACCCGTATTCGGTTTGGACTTTTCCTTCCTGAATTTGCCCAGTTGTTGAGACAGGTTGTTGATCGGAAGCTCACTTCGAGAAGCATGTCCCTTATTAACAAAAAATGACATCTGTTTGTTGCTGCAAAACAGAAGAACTGAAGTGCGGAAAGTCACAACTAGGCCATAGTCGTTGAGAGTGAGTATTCGGCGCAAAGAAGGCGAGGAAGCGCAGCACCTAACAGAATATTTCCCGCCAAAATACTTTCCCTTCCCGTACCACCCATCCACCTTGCCCACCGACCCCTCCTACTCCTCCCTCCAAACCCTGTTTTCGTGCTCAGTTTTCACTCGAGAAAAATTCAACATGGCGGATGCTACTCCGTTACTTTCGTCGCTCCTTTCTTTATATATCCTCTGACCGTGTTTCGCATTTATTGGGATGGAGGGAACAAGCAACAAATCTCACAAGTCAAGACTTTTTACATCAAACGTTCTTTTGCAAAAAGATGAACTGGAAGAAGTAGGTTTTACATTTTTATATTCTCTATTTGAAATCGATGGTAGATAACGGGCCTGCGAGTTTGATACGGTATGGTTTGTTCTTGTTTTGCAGTTTAATCAGTTGTGTTCCACTTAGAGCACAGCCCTTTCAAAACACTGAAGGGTCGTAAAAAAATATGGACGGTGGTCTGGAGCTTCTCATGAGTTTTTCGAGTACTGAAACCAATACTTATGCAGTCTTGAATTTACCCTGCTAGCAGAGTCGCTTCGATCTTTCCTAGATAAGTCGGGAAAGAGGAAGCCTTCCTCTTCCCGACTTATCTAGGAAGATCGACGGAGACTCTGTTCGCAGGATATCTTGAATTGAACTCCAACTTCTTCTTCCTAGCTAGATAAGCAACCACCAGTGCTGAGACCTTATTATTATTATATATTTGTAAACATATCACGAGAAAAAGGACAAGAGTGCAGGGGGGCAGGGATATTTTCCGGGCTACTCTAACTATGACCCCCAGCTACCTTCATAGAAAACAAGAGGAAATAAAAATAGAAACAAATAAACTTCGTAGCTGTTTAATTCTCTGCCTAAAATTGTATATGCCAGAAACTTGAGCTCTAAGAGATAGCCTTGTCGTACAGAATTCACAGATCTGCATTTTGGTGGAACATTACATTGGTAAACATGGTAAGGCCTGTTACCTTAGGTATTGAGGTCCTCTAGTCCACCATATTGGGCAATACTACAGTGTATCTGCAATAAACCGTCACCTCTTCACAAATTCATGCTGTGGTTGCAGTGGCTAAGTAGATGAAGATTCATGAGGGGGGTGAATAGGGGTATGCAAATCCGCCAATCTGTCAGGGCTGTCAGTAAGGGCAGGTAGCTGGCCAAAACCTCTGCCTAGTTTGCCATCCTTAGCTGGCTACGTTCATCTCCTTCTGCCATAAATGAGTCATAAATGCTAACAAAAAATAAGTACCATCTAATAAAATTTTAAAGCATCTGTTTCCCAGTCTTGAATGACATTGAACACATATTTAAACAGGTATAGATCTGTGAAATATTCAAACCGCGTGATGTCATGGAATGCCTGGGAAATTTTGATGGCATTGTTCCCAGTCTTGCGTGTATTCTGACGAAACAACATGGCATCCATGGTGGAAAATACCTCTTGAAACCCCCTGGAAATGGACGTCCGATACTCTAAATTTCAGAATGTCTCTAGATGCCTCGGCCCTTAAAAACTTGTGCCTTTTTTGCGAGTTCCAAAGCCACTACTATTCATTATCAGCAGAGCCTGCTACTTAAAAACTTTTTGACAGCCCTGTCTGTTATGGTTTATTGACAAAATCTGCCCTTTCATTTTTGCCCTGAATCCGAAATCCAGGCAAAAATATTTTAATTACTCGCAAAGTCCAAAATCCGGGCCCAAAAAATAGATGAATCCATAATCCACTGCAATTGCAGGATCCCAAAGTCCGTTAAAATCTCACTTTGAATCCGAAATCCGGGCAAAAATATTTTCAAAATCCACTGATCCGTTCACCAATTCACCCCCATGTTCAGGTATAAGTGACGGTATTCACAAAGCATTAGTTGTAAAAGGCCGTGATTTAAATGCTGTATTCACAGTTAAGCATATTGCGTTTCTTTTTTCATTTTTCTTACTTATAGAGGTTAGAGAAGTGTCATGGAATACTCTCCTCTGTGATTTCAAATCTTTCAGAAAATGAAGCTCATGATGCTCTTAATCAAATGGTTAGTAGATTATGAAATATTTGTATCCTTTTTACCAATGGTGCAACTCCTGATCTCACCCGGTTGCTTAATCTAATCAAAATTATAATCAAATTCCAAAGTGGAAAATAAAGCTATTTAGATCATTTCACCAGAGAGCTAGAAGTCAACCTTTTACTCCCAATTTTGGCTAATGTAAACAATTCACAAAAAAAATCAATTTTTTAAAAAAAAATTGAGATATAGAATACTATTCAAAGTTTTTGCCTAAGAGGTTTAATTTGAATGGTAAGACCATAGGATTTTGTCCATGGATTCCTATTTAAAGGGGAAATAATCTGGACATTATCTAATCTAGGACTGAAAGGGTTGGAAATGTCTTATAATTCACAAAATAACGTAATAATCATTCAAATAATAATAATAATGATGATGATGATGATAATGATGATGATAATAAGGACTTAGAGATCAAAATCTCAAGGACATGGGGCCTTGAAACGGAAACTGTGCCTGCTAGTGATTGAAGCACTTGGCCTAGATAAAAAGGGCCAGGGAAAATACATTGAAAAAATTTGTCAAAAAAATTCCTGGAAACATCAATATTGAGGACCTCCAAAAGATCAGCCTGCTGGGCACAGCCCAAATTTCAAGATAAGTGCTCTCTACCACCAACTAGATAACAACGCCCCCAAAGCCGCTACCAAGGAAACTGGTAGCTTGTCAGACTTCTGGCAATAAGAACTGCGAAACAAGAAAAAGATAATAATGATAATGATAATAACAATAATAAATCACTTGAATGGACTCTTTAGGCTTCAAAAAACTAATACATGTACACCACAGGATGTTTGCTTCATTCCTCCATCTCCTGTATCTACTTTGTCAGGTTTGTAAAGGTCCCCAGCAGCATGAGGAAGCATCTTTAGGTTTGTTGTATGTCATACTAGTGGATCCACCTGCTGCACCAAAGGTGATTTAAGATGCTTTAAAGTAAAGCTGAGTTTAAACTGTTAAAATTGTGAAAGATTTTTTGCCATCAAAATTATGGTTTGTAGGGTATATGGCACTTCATCAACCATGTAGTAGTATTTGTTCAAACTCTGAACTTGTGTTGTCTTTAGTAGCAGTTTGTAGATAGTGGTTTTTTTTGCTTGCATAATTATGCTACAGGTCAATTTGATTTAAAGTCAAAAATTTGTAACCTAGGTTGAGACAAAAGGAATTGAAATCAACTGGAGTATGTTAACAAATTTTGGTCTGAAACCAAATTAATTGACTTGTAATGTACATTTTGGTATATTATATGTGTTATTGCCCAACTCTGGGGTCATGTTTAGTGGGTATTGGCTATGTTAAGGTTCAATTTTATCCTTTGTTTAACTTGGATATTCCTTTGTTTTGGGGTATGGTTTGATGATGAGTTTCAAACAAAGGAATATCAAATTTAACCCAAGGATAAAACTGAACCACAACAGCTACATTCCTTCTTTTGGTCTCTTTTGGTCCATAAAAACACAAACTGGACAGGTACCAATAAAATGTTCAAAATACACGTATAACCACAAGGAATATATTATTAGAATTTTATTATAATAATTATTATAATATTAATATTATTATAATAATATTATTATTGTATTATCACCTTCTTTTTCAAGGCTTTCCGAGACCTAACTTATATCACCAGAGATGGACTTAGTTTGATTATCACGAGATTGATTGGCATTGTTACTGACAAGCTTAGTAAACTACTGGACACTGTTAGGACACAGGTAGTATTATCACAATGTAAGCTTATTTATTTTAAAAATTTGAAATTTCTAAGTTCCTTCATATGTTCTAAGTAGGATGTGGGTTTAATTCAGGTCAATTTGATAGAACTGTGGTAAAGTTGCAGTGGCAAGCTATAGTCTATGAGCCAATTTGAATCCTTGGTCAGCAAAGAAATCGTCCCTTAGTAGCCTATTCCATGGCCCATGTCTGCCCAATGTTTGATCAAGTGAGGCTCCCTTTGATTATAACTGATGAGTCATAGCAGCCTAGTCCCCAGCCTAGTCCCCAGATGTTATTCTTATATCTAGTATTACGGTCATGAACGCAATCACGCAATGAACGCAATATTTGAGAGAAGTTCATTCCACATTTATTAGCTGCTTTTCTGGGGAACAAAATGTTTTCCCATGATGTACTTGAAAAATAGCATCCTTTTGCCATTCATTTCAAGAGAAGCCATGAGTTACAAGTGATGTTATTGTCATTGACAAAATGAAGATCAATAAAATGACTTGAAATAATTATTTGTATTAGTAGGGCAGAAGGGCCTATCTGCTCTCGCATTCACCTGTTCATTAGCCCAACAAAAGGTCCTTGTGGTTTGCAAGTTATTGTATTGGCCTAAAACATTGTTTTACTTACTGTGTGTAGGTGTTGTGGCTCTCTGGTGAACTTGTGAAAAGCTCCAGTCCTGGTGTAGAAGGTCTGTGTCAAGCTCTTCTGAGGCAAATTTCTGGAGGGGATAACTCCCCATCAAATGTCTGGCTTGCAGAAAATGTTCTGGGATTATTAAACAGCAACAGGTATAAAATTCATTCCTTAGCTTTGGCATCTGGATTGAATGAATGTAAAAGATTTGTATAACATGTGTACCTGTTTGTTGTTTGTCGTTGAAGTTTAATAATCATTATTATTTATTACAGGAGTAAAGTAACCAACACAGACTCCAAAAAAAAATTGTATTAGCAACCCGGGTGTTTAAATTATTGATTTGGCAATTGGAAGTGGTCTCATTAAAACGAGGGGCTGTCTGAGTTCAAATGGCAGTCTATCTTGTCTTCATTTTCACATTAATATGTGTCAGAATTATTCCAAGCCACTGCCTGCTTTGGCTAGTTCTAATGTCTATCATGTAAGTTAGTATTGATACCTTGCAGTGAGTAGTTTTGGTGGCTACGTTATACTGCTGCTGTTGGTTTAGGGACACTGGAGTAAAGCCAAAGAAAAATAATACTTTTGCTCATGATTAGAGATGCAGGTAATAAATAATCAAAAGGAGCCACTGAAAATCATTCTAAACAATGTGCTTGTAAGCATGATAAAATTGGTTTTGGTTGATTATATTAATATAATATTTTTAATAGTAATGTTGTGAGAGAGTTCTGATTCAATCATAAATTTAACGATTAAATGCAAAACAAATGCAAGGAAGGAGTTACTGGTCAGTAAGTTTCAACATTGAATTGAAAACTGGGAGGGTTTGGAAACAAGATATTTATTTTTTTTATTTCTTCAAGAACATGGTTGGAGAAAAATCCAATTCTGCTGGCAACTGCTGTTTACACTTACCTCAGACTACTGGAGGATCATGAAGCAGCACCTTTCAAAAATTTACGGCAGATGGAAATAGAATTCTGTTCATCTCTTCTGAGAGAAAAGGTACCGTGATATATTCTGTAGTAGTTTCTTTAGAGGGCAACTGCCAGCCTAATATAGACTTTCTTTAAAAGTTTTTAACACCCTGGTTGATTTAGGAAATACACAGAGGTAGAGATCTTGTTCATAAAGTAACAAAACATGCTGTTACTAGCCAATAGTGAACAAATAAGTATGATTATGACACGTGAATAGATATTGGTATTTCAAACAAGGGATGTGATTTCTGAAGTGACCTATGTGGCTGGATCTGATTGTAGCTAAGCGCAAGTCAAAAAGAGTGACCACACTTCAAAAAGTATATTCTGTTTTTATTGCTTATTTTGTTTGTTTGTTTGTTTATTTGTTTATTTGATATGTTTTTTATTTACAGACAACATAGTGCTGTCACTGTACTATTTAATACTGTTGTTGAGAGGGGATGACCTCAGGAAAATGGACATTAAATTGATATTTATTTTTATATCTTAGTTTACGGACTGCATTCCTATTGGGAGAGATCTCGTGCGACTGTTACAAAATGTTTCAAGGTTTGCTATTCATTTTTTATTGTACGTTTAAGATGACTGTCTTAATAATGCACCATATGATTGTGACAAATTGCTTCCATCAGTTTCTGGAGCAGGATTTGTTCAAGTAAGGAAGGATCCTTGACTGTACCATTATACCTCCAAATAAAACAATCAAAATACCCAAATTTTCTGATGGAAATCACAAGTTGTATTAATGAGCGTTACTATAAATTATAGCTCACTTTAAAATCCTCTAAGACTATCTACCATATCCCCCAAAAAACCTTAAGCTGTAATGGTTGAGTCAGCAAAGGTCAAGATGTCAGAGTAGTAGTACATTACAGAAAATACCGTAATATTCCTTAAATTGCGGTTTGGGTGGTGCTTTGTGTACAACCTTAGTATGCATTATGTTTTCTGCATGATTTGCTTATGCAATGCATTAGTTTGTCGAAATTTTGCTTACTCAGCATATTTGCAGGCAAGTATAGTTGTGCTAATGTTCAACGTTGGCTTAAGCATAGTTTAGTACCTTGAATTTGATTTACAATGAGGGAAGTGAGTTGAAAAAACTCTTTTATCAGAAATAAAGCTACAGGTTCTAGTTGGTGCGAAGTCCAATTTATTTTTATGTGCTTTTGTAACTTAAAAGGCAGAATAATCTCACATTATAGGTTACTCTATATGGTACTTTGGAAATGGGCAATTGCACATGCAATTTATGCAAAGAAGGAATTCAAAACTAACTCAGAAGTAAGGGTGACGTGAAATTCTATGCAAACAGCAATTTGAGGCTATTACGAGATTTTTCCATGAAAGTGGCGTATACTGTTTGAATTGGCTGAACATGTAATTTCTTGATTTCATTATTATTCTCATAATTGTAAAAAATTGTCAGTGAATGAGCCTAAATAAGTACTTGTCATTAAATTAAATTGATGTTGTTGCCAGGGATGATGAAGGTATGTGTTATATTAGAACTAAACAGCCATGTCTGATCAGTGATGAAGGACAGTTTAGTAGATGTAGTCACAGCTTGTCATCTACCTTGATTACAGTAAGCTGAGTGATATTGTTATTGATCATCACAGGAAGGTCAATTACCTTATTGCCATCTTGAATCAACTGCTTTTTACATGTTTGACTCACTAGAATACCAGAATTCACTGCATTGTGGAAGGACATTCTACATAAACCTCAGTCACTTTGTCCACAGTTTACAGGTTTGTAAAGTGTTGCACTGCTATGATTGCTGAATATGAAATTAACATTTTCTCGAATGCACCCACTGTTGGCTAGTCACTACTACTAACCCACAAGTTGTAAAAACTTTTTGATCAGCAGGACTGATTACAGTTCTTCTGTAATTTGAACCCCCCAAAAAAACTTCACTTGCCCATCATCAAGTTATGAAGAGAGTTCACTTACCAATTGCAAAATCCAGTAGCCTGGGTTTATCAGATTCAACTTTCATCGGATGCTGTTACCTCTGGCTCAAATTGCTCTGGAAATTGCAGGCAAGACCGCTGGCATGACTAATAAAAAAGCCTACTTACATGTACCTTTCCCTTTGCTACATCCCTAGCTGGGCTGTGATGTTTAATGTGTTTTAATACCAGGAAAATACCATGAGCTATTAACCCTGTAAGTCCCAATAATGACCAACATCAATTTTTTCCTGACAATATCCATACAATGTCAAGAGATTAGGTTGTGAGAAATAATAAAATGATCACCTACAGTAAGAGAAAATGCTTTGATCTTTTAGCAAATTCTCTCAACTCATTCTTACTGTGTACATAGAGATCAATAGGAGAATTTGTACATGAATATTGGGAATATTGAACTTATAATAGAACATGAACTATTAATAGTCCTGTTACAGAATTATTTTATGATTTCAGGTATCTCACAACTGCTTTATACTAGAACATCAAGGAGGTTTTTAGCATGCAGACTACATCCTGAGATGGAGAACAAGATTTTGTTTTTAACATCCAAAGTATGATAAAAATTCATGATACTCTAATCACACTGAAATTATTACAAAATATTTTGTAACTAATCTAAATGATCACAAAACACAGAATAGGAGCGGGCATCTTGTTTATTGATGCACAATATGAGGTGAGTGTAGAGTGTTACAAAAAAACAACGTTACAGTTTTATAAACTCAGGAAAAATTAAAACAGTAAATAAAATAAAAAATTAGGGTTGACGGAGATGCCTCGAATGGCCCTTGCAGAGCTTAACAAACCTTAAATAATCTACTAGCCCCTTGAGACACCTTACAAGCATGCCTTAAATACTTTTGCAGGTATTATGTAACATAGTAAACATACTCTTGTGAAACTAACAAAACATTACAAAATATATTAATAAAGTTATTATGACTAATAATCATCATTAAATGACCAGAGGAGATAAAATATTTCTTGGTTTGAAAAAATTAAAGTACAAACCAGTTTAATGTTTGGTTTTCTTCGTCTGTTGTTGTGTTTTTAATTCCAACACAAAGGAAACTAAAAATTAAACTTGTTTGGATCACTAAAACAAGCCAAAGGACATCTGCATTGCTTTTCTCACAATTCCTCACCTTTTTTCCTTTGTATAGAAAATGTGAACTGTCTAACATGTTAGGTGGATGCACAGTGCAGTATATCTGTTCTGAACTAAGTGTGAAATATTCATGTAACATAGATACATGTATATTAAAAACATTTGAATGTGGCAATAAATCGCAGTGGAAAGGAAAACGTTCGGCCCTCAAGTCACAAAGGATGAAGGAGTGAAGTTGACCAAAAAGAAGAGTGCAGAAAATGAGGAAGTATCAACACAGAGTTGAAACAATTATGGATTACCAAAAGAGCACAATCAACTGCCTTAGTTCAGATCGGTATCTGTTTGATTGTAGATAATTATTGTTGGGCATGGTGGTGAGATAATTTGATAATTTATTATTCATTGTTGCAGGTACGATTTGGCCAGCAAAAAAGGTACCAAGATTGGTTTCAAAAGCAGGTTAGTTTGAGATGCCTATGTCTCAATATTCCTTTTTTCATTTTAAGTGCCATCTGTTAGCTCAGTTTTTTTTCCAAATAACCAGTAAATCTTTGATTAAAAACGTTTTAAGAAGTTTAAAAAAATGTTGAAAAACATGATGATGTTTATAGACATTCTCGGACATCATTATCAAGTCAAAAGAAAATAGCGTATGCTCCTTCTATAAATAACAAGAAAAATCAAAAGATCATTTCAAAGAAGATGAACATAATAAGATATGTCACAAGTTAAATGACAAGTTTCTCACTAATGGAATTAGCTCTGAGTATTTAAGACTGGACCTGAGTTCTTTGATGCATAACATCTCACAAAGAAGGCAATCAAATTTCCCATGGCACTTCTTTAGAATGCAAAATTTACCCTTAAAAATATTCTTTTTTAAACAGTAAAAATTAATGTGTCATTCTAACTTACATGGTTGGTGAGCAAATTAATATCCCTAAATCTCTACTTAGAGGCATCGTCTTTTTTTATTTCAGTATCTCTCATCTCCTGAAAGTCAAACCTTGCGTGCTGATCTGATTCGATACATTGTTGGTGTGGTTCATCCATCTAATGAGGTGCTATGTTCTGATATAATACCAAGGTGGGCCATTATTGGCTGGCTCTTAACATCCTGCCAAGTAAGTGATAATAAATTACTTTGTAGTAAATGGGTTTTAATAAAATTATTGTTGGGATGGGAATTTCAGCGGATTGTGCATAAACTATACATCTTCTCACACCAGTATTTTTAATACCCTCCCTCTGTATGGTTCCTATTTCAGACTGTGGTTTCCACTGCAAATGCTAAACTTGCCTTATTCTATGACTGGCTTTTTTACCAGCCTGACAAAGACAACATCATGAATATTGGTGAGAGGTTTTAGAACTATTATAACTATTTTTGCTACTCTTCATTGGCATCAGCATTGGCTACCTGTGGAATCATATTTGCTTGGAACAACAGAATCTAATCTGTATTATTCTATTTTCTAATGTATTTTATGTATTTTTTTGTTGTTGTTTAGAGCCAGCTATCTTGTTGATGCACCATTCAATCCGGAGTCATCCCACAATCACCAGTACTTTGTTGGACTTCCTTTGTCGCGTAACAACATTTTTCTTTGATCTATCTCCCCACCCCCCCAACTCACAATTGTATGACCGAGGTTGTGACTTGTTTCTGGCACAATACAATAATTTCCAGACATATTCGGGACCATAGGCAGTAAGTGGTTCGCTGGAATCATTGTACATTTTGCCTTTGAAATATTTTCCCTTGAGTCAAACAAACAAATGCTATAAGAGAAATTTTAGTTTATGGCAAAATACCCAAATGGATATTGTTAGACATCGTTTGCATCTGGAACCTCATATTTCAAAATGAAATTGACGTTGTGATATTGTCAAAATGTGAGAGGAATAATTTCACGCTGTTTCTGTGGAATAAGAACAGTCATAATTTGCAAATTTATGTAGATCAAGGAACTTAAAACGTCCGTGCGCAAATGTGTCTCAATGTTGCCGTTATTTTTACTGTTTCAAGATCATACCCAATTACAGTACTTTACCAGATATCCAAGCAAGGCAAGGAGTTATCAAGGCGTTTAGGCACATTCTCAGTAAAAAGGTTGTAATGTAAGTAATGTTCAACAGTTTTTAATAGCAAACAAACAAATCTTTTTAATTTGTTACCGATTCACTTATATATACATGTACTTTTCTCTTTTTGACAACTGAAGGTCACTCTCTCCATTACTGGACAATCCCAAAATGGAAAGAGACTTAAGAATTGTAGTCAGGACCACTCTAGCTGAGTTCTGTGATTCAGGTACAGTAAAAATACTGTGTACATATTCTAGGCATGTTTTGTCTCTGAATTGTAACTGGTCAAATTCTTTTTTGATATTACTACAAAAATTATAAACCAATTTAGTTTATCAACTGTGTTGTTCAAGTGAATTTTCCACAGCAAATTGATATATGTTACTGAATTTATCAAGGCCATTTCTTTGTCTAAGCGATTCGCTCTGACAAAGTGCTGCCTCTGGAAGCGTCGACAATTTTCTCTGTCGAGGGACCAGGGCTTGAAACGTAAGCTTCAGCATCTTTACGGTGACAAATTTACTCCAAGCAGTTCTCTTTAACTAGTTGAAATTTGATCTCGTTATTTTAACTCTTTCAAAGATAATACGACACTTTTAGGTCGAAGTATTTTTAGTAAAGGTTATTTCAGTTCTTATATGAAGAAAGCCTATACTTTCCAGTTTATATTTAGGGTTACAGTTGTTTAATTTGATTGATTCCCATAACATTGTGGTTGTTTGGCCCAACTCCGACGTGCATGCTGGATTAAACTGAAGTGGTCTCTTCTTTAAAGGAGAGGAGTTTCTGTTTGAAAGACTTAATTGTACTGGTAAATTTTCCAGGTTCAAAACTAGAAGAGTCTTCCACATCAGCTTTTAGCAAAGTTGAAAGTTCTTCTGCTTCAAATGACATGCTTGGTTCACTGGGCTCCAGAATGATTGGGGCAGCAGACAGCAATGGCAGTAACAGCAGCAGCACAAAGGATTCTGAGCTAGTGGACAGTGGGGTGGATGATGAACTTGAACAACCCGATGAAGAAGCTGTCTTCTCTGACCCTGAAGAGGATGATGATGGCGACGTAGCGCCTGGTAAGCCCAACGGCGCCGGAGGAAAAGAGAAAGATTATGAATTCAAACCGATTGAAAAGGAAGGCGTGGATGAAAACGAAGAACGTGACAGTAGTGAAGATATCACTGAACTAGAAGAACTTGAAAATTTAGGCGATGAGTTGAAAGAGCTGCTTATTAAATTCTCTCAAGAAAGGTATGCCAGTTATTAAAATACGGCAAGTATCAGTTTCTTTCAGTTTTCTTCACGCTTACAGCGTTCGTTTTTTGTTTTTTTCAGTGATGTTGGAGTGAGGTGTAGTCTAATGGAAAATATTCTTAAGAGTATCACATCCCTGGTGAGTCATTTCCTCATCAGATGTTTTAGTGTAAAACCTAATTTTTAATGCCCTGTTTGTAAAAATCTTTCATAGTCATATATAAATCTTTGCTTTTCTAAATTATACTTTCAACCTATCTCGTCGGACTAGCTAAGTGATTGTCTTTTATATGTGGCTTAAAGTGATCAATCGTCATTTTGCTCTTTTTAACCTCATATATGGTCAGGTAATAAATATGAGTCCTTTTTCTCAACCGTCACAGTTTTGACTATCGTTCACCGGTTCAGGAAACCTTCTTCGGCTATCAGTATCATATTATTTGTTTCTGTTCAATTACCCTCAATTTATATGGGTTTCCATTAATCCTGATGCCAGTTTAAACTTTTCAGGATGAATTTGAAGATGACACAGCGAAATCTCTTGCTGTTTGTCTTAACTTTTGCATGGTGGATGATTTAATGGCTCCTTGTATCATGAAAGACAGGTAAATATCAACAGAATCAATCAGAAGATAACCAGCGCTGACTCTAACTGTCTGTTAATGCCTATTCTTCCTTATAGAGCGGTTTTACAGTACAATGTGATGACATGCGATTGGTTTAATGGACTCTGTCTCTTATAACGGGCTAAACAAATGTTAAGATTTTGACTACGTTTTTCAAAGGTGTGAACTTTTCTCGCGCGTGTTGTTGTTTTTTTGCTTCTGTCGGTCATAGTTGCGATAAAACGAAATAGGGCGAACTGAATTGAAATTGATTCCTATCCCCAGACGCTACTTTTCGAACCCGCTAAAGTACACCAATGTTTCCTGAGCAGTCCGTTAGAGTGATTGAACAAAGCGAAAAACGTTAATGCAGAAAACGCTCTTAATATAAAACTCAGTAATACCTTTATAACGATCTACAAGACTAACCACAATATTTCGCAAATTGAAAGAAAATAAGTGTTACTAAGACCTTAGTTAGTAAACCAAAGAAAGTCGGAAATTTGTCAAAGCTGTTCAAGTTGTTGTTGTGCATATACTGTCTAAATGAGGAAAATGGAGTCCCAAAATAGACAATCTGTGTTTAGTTTGTTTGTTTTCTTTACTTTTCTGTAAGCAGGCCTTCTCCAAGAAAGACAATTCAAAAGAAAAACAATAGGGTAAAACATTTCTGCATCAATCCATGAACATCTCATGTATGCTCCTCTCATGTGTGACTTGTCTCCCCCCTCTAATGTTTTCTTACATTATAACGGATATCTTTTTTGCTTCCATTAGAAATGTGGAGGACTGTTTGGACGGGCCTCTTTATGTTCTCTGCCAGTGAGTAGTATCTTTTTGTCTCACTTTTTAGCCTGATTGGCTGACTCGCTTACTGGCTGACTAACAGTAATTCTCACTAGTTGGCTGAGTGGCTTTACTACTGACTACATTATTGGCCAGATAATTATCTGACTTTTTAGCTTAACTCAAAAGTGAAAGTTTTCAGCAACAATCTGTATAAAACAAACGTCTATCCAGCAGAATAGCCTGTGCCAGGCTCTCAGATAGTATAGTGGGAACGTATTAAAACTAGTAAAGCGAAAATAAGACGCGCACGACTCGGGAAAGGGGGTGGTGGCCCCCGCGCGTTTTTCGCATTTCTTATTACTGAACGACTTTCCACCACCATCTCGGAGCCTGGAACAGGCTAGAATACGAAATGTCATATGACCGATGGCAACGGGCTTTCGTTTGTTTAGAATTAAATCATATATAAAAAAAATTAGTATAGTATAGAGTCAATAGCGTGAAATTGTTTTGATGAATCAAAATAGTTGGAATCGTGCTTATGTCTTTGAATCTTGTTGCAGGAATATCTGCATACTCCCCACACATGACGTTGGTAGAGAACGTTATCTGACATTATTAGGCGCTCTACACAGTGTGGATAACAAGATTGGATATCGATTTCTTTTCTTTCTGAAAGCAAGGTTAGATGTGATAAGCCAATATAGCAGTACAACAACACCGCATGAGAGGAATTGAGACGTGCATCAATACATATAACAATATATCAACACATATAATCAATACTTTTCGTGGATGCTAAATTATTTTAGTATATACACACTCAGTGATCTTGGTGATTTAAGCAATCTGATTGGTTCGCTATCTCGGACTATTCAACATTAAAATCTTAAAAGCGTCCAGGAACAGTCTTGGCAAATATGTCGTTACGTCCATGTTCATATTATCCTTCATTCAACTCATATCAGGGAGCTTAAGTAACAGCCACGGCGACGGCAACGAGAACGTCAAAAAATCAATGAATGAATGAATGAACGAGTTAACTTTTTTTATACACGGTAGTTATTTCAATATATAAAAGTTGGTTCTCAAATTAGCCGTGTGAGCAATTCAAACTAACTACATGACAATGATTAAAACTATCGTTACAAATACTAAAAGTAGACGGAATATTAAGTATTTATTTAAAAATAATGATAATAAAACACCTAATGCAATTAATTATCATGGTGGTCTCTCAAGTACGGCTTGAACCTATTTAATGTCGCTAAGTTTCTGACATGATTCGGAAATTCATTCCATGCAATTGCCCCACGGAAAGCAAAAGTTTTATTCTAACGAGTTCGTTTGAGTTTTGGGCAACTGCAAGTCGAACTTACTGTCTCTGAGGTTGTAATTGTGTCAGTCGAAAAAGCTCATTTAAGTATTCCCTGGTATTCAGGTACAGCCGCATTATAAGCTTTATACGTCATGATATTCATTTGTATTCACCACTTATCAGGCGGCGTTGGCTAACAGCTCTTTTAGAATATCACACGATCTTACTTAACAGTCCACTTTTGTAATAATGCGTTCTGATCTATTTTGGAGTTTCTGCAATTGATCTGCACGCATTTGTGAGCAATTACCCTACACAAGGCTGCAATAGTGATCGATAAACAGTGATTAATGTTCTTGAGTCCTTAAAACGAGAGACCTCATTGTATACAGCATTCGCAGGCCATTTTGAACTTCAGTTATGTTGTGGGATATCTGATTTTCCCAAGACATCGTCTCATCAGTGTAAACTCCCAGCAATTTCGTGCTAGCTTTCTTCTCTACAGTTTTATCATATATGCAAAATGTTATGTCTTTAACTTCAATGTTGTTTTGTCTATATCCAACTGTCATATAACATGTTTTACAAGTGTTGCAGCTAAGCCTATTGGTTTCTAGCCATTTCTCAATTGCTTCTAAGTCGCTCTTTAGTTTAGGTTCAATTTTGCTGCTACTAGAACCAGATATTACTATAATCATAGGTATCATCTGCAAACATACCCGGGGTAGAATGCTGCAGGCAATTGGGAGAGTTCGTTGACGTAAATTAAGAACAGTAAAGGACCTAATGTTGATCGTTGAGGAACACCATAAGTTATATATTCCTCATCAGATAAGACACCATTAACATAGCACTGTTGGCGTCTGTCTTTTAGGTATGACTCAAACCAGTCATCGAAGGCCTTTTTAAGATCAATAAAGACGTTACCGGTTAATAGGCCTTCATCCATGTTTCCAAGCCATAAATCTGTCGCAAATATAAGTGCAGTACAAGTTGAGTGCATACCTCGAAATCCAGACTGAAATTTTAAGACCAAGTTGTTTTCAGTGAAAATTTCAAGGGCTTGCGTATGCACTATTCTCTCGAATACTTTAGAGATTGCCGGCAATATTGATATTGGTCTATAGTTGTTAGCTACGTTTCTTTCACAGGAGAAACATTGGCCTTTTTCCAGTCGTCAGGAAATGTGTCAAAGCTTTGGTTAAAAATATCACATATCACATCTGAAAAGTACGCTTGGGCTGGCAAGCTTGGAAGAAGCTTGCTTGAGATTTTTTCTAGCCAATTTTGTCTAATGAACAGGTGAAAATTAGCAAAACAATAACCTACGCTTTTTTGCACATTTATTTACCTCACCGCACGACTACGACGAGGAAGTGCCTAATTTCACGTTATGTGTAGGACGTGAACGCAAGGCAACGACTTTCTTTTCCTTTTCCTGAACTTTCATAGAGTCTTTTAGAGTGGAACTTCAGAAAAATTTACCAACATTTAAAGAATTGAGCTAGATGGAATAAGCGCGATTTCACCTTTGACGTTTTGGTATCCGTCGCCGTCGTTGTTGCTTAAGCTCCGTATTCTTTTATCCGAGATGGATATAAACGATACGAAAAAGAAGCAAACCCTTTTAGGTGTGACAAGAGGAGAGCTGCAAATAACAATCGGTCATTGGGCAAAAATCTGCCCATGTCCCACGAAATCCTACATACCTGAGGTCTGACATGGCGACCAGACAGATCCATCAAATACCAGACTATCACTTTCTAGCTGATGATTTGCAACGGAATGGAAGAAATAAAAAGTTAACATGATGTATTTCTAACATCTTTTCTTGTTTGTCCGACTAAAATGAAATGAAGAATTACAACCTGTCTGAAAGGTGTCTTACATGGCACATGTCCTTTATCTATATGTAGGCGGGTTTGCAGAGTTAACATGTGATTTAAATGCTTCCTTTGGATTGTTACTGTGTTGAAAATGCTGCTTAGGTTTTCAGGAGCACTCGATGCCATTGCTTGGACAGTGCTCCGCTTGTGCGTGATAGCACTATTCCTTAAGTATGCTTATCCCGTTATTTTCTTTTTCCTTATGGCCTTGGTAGTGTTCTGGACGATGAACGACTTACAATGTACGAAGATTTTGCCAGCACATTCCGAGGAGAGAAGACAATTCAGGCTTGTTTATGCGAAGACCTTAAGGTCAGCGGTTATTTCTTGTTACTTCTGTCTCAGTCAAACTCTTGTACTTGTTTTGCATCTCAAAATTTTTTCCTCACGTTCTTGCTCTTTAGATGTGAAAAACTTGTCTTTGTAGGTTTGTCAAGATTATGATATCAAGGCTTTTCGCTACATCATTTCATCTATTTACAAAAAGGTACGCGCACTTAAACGAATTAATCATGTGTAGGATTGTTTTTTGTTTGGTGACAGACCAAACACATACTTCACTCGACCAAAGCAACAATGTTAAGCCGAGAAGGAATCACTTGAAAGATTACGTTAAAAAGTGTGGTTTTCCGCTGGCTGAGGAGCGAACGAAGTAGGAAACATTTTTCTCACACACTGCTAAGCTGGGAGTATGAATTCGAATAAGCTGGGTGTCTTCAGTTCACATGGTGTTTCAAAATTCAGTTTGTTTTGTCGCGATCCGTTATTGCCTGACCTGCACGACCCACCCACCCCTCATGTGTTTTTGTGTGCCACGCCCAACCACATTTCACGTAGTGCCGCAGTTCTGGTTGTTCATGTATCTAGTAGCAGTTTCTTTTCAGCCGTTTTTAGTTCTTCTGTGCTGTAATACTGCTGATTTGTGGTGTTGTTATTAAAGGTCAGGCTGCTTGGTTGGTTTTGCATTGCTCCCAGTTGTGTGCGAGAAAGCCGAAATGTTTCTACTTCTTATGAGTTTGGAACTAAGCAATTCATAACATAAATAACTGTAAACAGTCTATCACCTAGTATGACATCATATGGCGAATCTCCCGTTAATGACATGTAATATTTGTGGAGAGCTTCAGAGTTACAACTGTAACGCAATTCGCAATATCGTGGGTACAAAATGTCAGTTAAATGTTATTTAAACAACAAGATATTCATCTTTAAGTTTGTCCCTCCGGGATTAAGGCTTTCTACATCTTCTTGTTTAATCAGTTCTCTCATGTTTAGTTTCCAGAGCATGTTGTTGGTAACTCCGAGGTTCTTCACATGCTGGTTGGAATCATGGAACCACGGCAGGTAACTACCAACAAACGATCACGTTTCTTACTTCGTTAAAATGAATTCCAGTCTGACTTTTGATTAAAATCGACAAGTACATTGGAACCTCTTTTAGCGCCCCTCCCCCCTGGGGAGGGGGGGGGGGGGTTAAAGTGGATGCTCAATAGAGGTTCCATTTACAGTGATGACGGACAGTTTTGTCCGCTTGAATCCGGGTAACTGGCCGCTAAATAGAGTGTGACCGGTTAATAGGACATTGCTCAATAGATGTTCGACTGTACTCAGCAAAGAGAATCATATAAACCTTGTGCTTGTAATTTTTTGGTAACTTTGGTAACTGTGTGATGCTTGTGAATAAAACTACTGATTGCCTCATACTAATTGCTGTACTCTCCTAATTGTGTTTTTGTTTCTTGTTTCTTTGTTTTTTTTTGTTTTGTTTTGTTAGTTAAACCAGCTCATGAGTGAGATAACATTAGGAGAGTTGACGATATTTGGAGAAGATAGTAAACTTGACTCGTTGTTAGGTAATCAGCCTACTTTTTCACTTGCTAACAAACAGTACTGACCGGTGTCTATAGGAATCCGTTTAACCTTTATCACTTATCGCTTTAGTCGAGGAAGACACTATATTCGTAATCTCACGAGCGTGGGACGAAGCCGAAAAGTTTCCGAGTCTTCAGCCGGATTCGAACCTAGAACTTACCACAATACTAAGCGGCGATCTCTTCCTTGAGCTGCGCGGAACTTAAGGCGTGTTCGATTGATCCTATTTCGGGGTAAGAATTAATCGAATAAAATCTAGAAATCACTTGTTTTTGGCTTTTATTGTATTTCAATATTTACAGAACTGCTTGAAATAACATATTCCTCTATACATAAAGTTTAAATGGTCCAAAAATCACGGTAGAAGAGATTTCTAGCAAAAATTTTGGCGTGTTCTAATTCCGGAGTACGATCAATCGACCGCACCCTGCTGGCCAGGCCGTTTGCTTTTAAGTTTTTTTGCAAATAGCCGTCACTGCTAAGATAGCATATTTTTAGGGTGGTAGTTAGCTTGTCACGGATAACTGATGAGTAAGTTGTCGCGGCGGAAAGATAATAGAGTTTATGGTGATCTATTACTGAATACATGTAATTTTTTTCTAGAAAGCACTCTTGAATGGGAATCATTTGAACAGCAGTGTGTTTGGCACTTGATCCAAGCTGAGGATGTGTTACTGGAGTCTTTTGTTAACATTCTTCCTTCTCTCAAGCAAGATCAACATGCAGAGGCCTTGTCAAACTTACTTATTCTCATGAAAAGTGTTTCGTAAGTCTTTTTTTTTTTCCATTGTTTTCATGTTTACGGGTGTTGCGCATTGATCCGTCGATGGTCATGGCGATATTTTGCCATAATGTGCAAACTCTTTTGGCGGAAGAGGTGCTGAAATTTTAAATGAGATTTCTCCTTTTGAACGCAGACGTGTACGTGTGGAAATTATAATAAGTGGTTAAAATGCTTTGTTTATAGTATAAGTGCATTTAGCTGTTCTAGCTGACCTGATCCAACGAACAATACATATAAACTGTCAGGAGTCTGCAACCAGTTGGCGATTTTCACGCGTGAACTTGAACTTGGGGCGACTGAAAAACAAATTCAGCTAGTGGTCGTTAGCAGAGCGGGTCCTGAACTCGGACCCGCCAGATTACTACTCCGACGCGCTGAAAAGTCTGTCACGCTGCCTGTTGTAGATATGTTTAGTCTTGTTAAGTTCCGTGCCAACACATTGCCATGTTAAATCATTGAACTTTTTACGGTATTCATTTCGCGTTCTCATTTTAAGCGCGTTTGTTGTAGTCCTTCAACAGATCTAGTGATTCCAGTCCTTTCCATGGAGTGCTCTGACAAGAGGCCTGGAAATCAGTTCAGTGTCTCGTTGCTTAGGTACTGGGCACAGGAATACTCAAGGGAACTGGCGCAGCTTATTGGTCAGCAGCTGTGCAAACAAGCTTCTGCCGGCAAGAAGAGAAAGTAATTCTGTTTTCATAATGGTTGTCATAAGTATGTTGAATACCATGGTGAACGTAGAACTGATTTAAGGACTGTTGGTTACAGTGCTAGTCTTGATTTCTGGATCTTTGAGCTCATCGATAAAGACGCGATAATAATGGTCATTTGTCAGTTAAGCCTGTTGGAGTTTTGCGAAGTCATTATAATAAGTCCATCTATTGCAGTAGACATTTCGTAGCCCCCTATTTTCTTGTATTTTTGTTCGACAAGCTCGTTAAACTGGACGTGTGTGCTACTCGGGAATGCAAGTGGGTGGCGTTTGAGAGGGGTGAAATTTTGTCATAAATCCAATCTCTTCCTCCACACCCTTATGATTCGCTCAATCGTCATTTATCGTGTTGCTACCAGATTGGTTTGCGCTGAGAGAATGGCATGAAAGGCTGTGAACAGTCTAATACACTGTATTGCAGTTTCGATACATGCATAACTCAATGTGGGTTTTTTAAGGCTTTGTTTTTTCCGATTTGATCTGTGTACTGTACGTTTTCTTGTAGGAATGCAAAGAGCCAGCCAGGTACCAACTTAGAGCTAGTTCTACATCATTTAGACTGGCTGCACAAGATCTGCCAGGAACAAGAAGACATGAGTTGTAAGTATTATTACATCGTTGCATACGGCACTTCTGTCATGTATTAACCTATAACAGATGACTCAGCTGACCAGCAGTCTCTCAGTAGCTACTTCGCGTCTTTGAATGGCTTCTATGTAACGCAATCGACTCGATTTCTGTTATGGGTGTTGCTAGAACAAACTATACTGATATCTCATTTCTAGCTGGTTCCTGGCGGTATGATAATAGTCGGGATCCAATTCTTTACTCTACAGCCTAAGAAAACCAGCAGGCGGCATTTCCCAGCGCTACCACTGGTTTCCCCGCGAAATAACGTCTGACAAACGAGCGCAGAAATTTCATGCTGACCAGATGTGGATGGTGCCTCTGATTGGCTGAAGCAAGTTACTCTCGTGGCACAACCAATCAGGGGCCTACCCAGGTCTGGGTAGTGAAAACGTCATCAGTATTTCTGCACTCGTTCCTCAGACGTGTTTTCGCGGGGAAACTAGCGGCACTGGCGTTGCATAATGTCAGCTATCACTCACGCTTTTTCGATGCCTTGACAAATTTGCCCCAGTTGTTCAAACGTTGCATAGCGCTATCCAGCAGACAAATCACCATCCAGCGGATAAGTAGTAGGGAAATTAATTGTGTTACTGACTGAATAGTGATTTATCCAATGGATAGTGTTATCCACCTTTTTACCAACTGAGCTCCTGTCCTTCTCATCTCCGTGTCCACTATCTCAACGTCTGTTACGAGCCATCTCATTTGGTATCGTCAAACCAACATTTCCCCATGAAAGGTCCACAATATGTTAGTTTTATTTCGCTGCATTCTCTCTAAACTGTCTTATTTTTACTTCTCATAGTTTTCAAACATGAAGGTCTGAGATCAGCTTTGGATCAAGTTAAACTAACAGCAAGTGAAGCAAGGAAAAACAAGTATGTCAAGTTCATTTACGGGTTTATTCCAGTTTCAAAGCTTACTATTAAGTTCTGTGACACATTATTGTTCATTCGTGATTTTAAAGTTTGAAGCAGAAAACAGACCTTTATTGGTGTGTTACTGTGTAACTCAGTGGCGTTGTAGAATGTTTTATTTTAGGTGCACACAACATAAAAGCTGCGTTTACACCTGACTTTGCCCCAAACCTTCCCTTGAAGAAACAGCTTAGGTTGGACTTTCTCTGGGTTTTGATCACTTCATGTTTTCGTTTACACGTCAATAAATTGGCCAAGGGGAATATGTCTAGGGATAAAAATGAACGGTCCCTAACCGTCTCTGCCACTACGCGTTGCGAATGGGTTGTGTGTTCCTTGTATAATCTGTAAAATTTGTTTGTTGTCAGGTTTAAGCTGTTGTTTTCGTTGTGCGATGACAAGGACTCTAGAAAAAGGACAACACGCGCTTCCATAATGGCTGCCAACAGAGCTGCATCCTCATCTTCTGAGAGCGAAGAGGTTAGCTAATAGCCTAATAGCATATATTGGGTATCTTGAATTTTGTAAGATTTCATTCAAGTAAGAATCTCCCAATGTAAGAGAATCCGGATTCCGGAATCCGAGAAATTTTTACTTGTGGAATGTGGAATCCTGGCCTTTGGAATACGGAATACTGTTCAAGGAATCTGGAATCCCACTAACAATTGGAATCCGCAATCCATGATGTGGAATCCAGAATCCAAGACTGTCTTGTATTCTCTTACTTGGGGTAATAAGTACAAGTATGGAAAGAAAAGTGAATCAACAGGATTATACTGTCAGTGTCAGAAGGTGCAAAAGTGGCCTTAGTTACGAAGACTTTTTTGTTTGAGTGCGGACTGACGGGACGGCGCAATTGAGAATGCTGTGGAGCACTTTGTGTTTTTCTAATATTTACACTGTATAAGAAATGTTTGTAAAAGAAAGTCAGTACTGAAATGTTAAAGTGTCGGACGAAACGTTTCGGGAAAAACTCGTTCATCAGTCGTTGGAAATGTTTGTTAAAACCGCTCGTAAAATCAACCTTTGAATTACGCCTCACGGTTTTATCAACCATTTCCTACCACTGATGAAAGAGTTAATTCCAAAGAGTTTCCTCTGTAACTTCAACACTTCAGAACAGTTTTTTCTCGAACACGTTATAAATTCAGAAAGAAAACGCAAAGGAAATTAATATTTAATGAGTGTTTGAAATCAGATGGAAAACTCCTCATTTTTGCATCCTAATCATAATCCTTAATTTCTTCCTCTAAAGTCAAGCAAACATACCACACAGTATTTGATCACAATATCACCTACCTTGACGTTTGTCAAAATACTCCACTGCGCGTCGTATTTTCAATGCGGAGTCGTATTTTCATGGCATTTCTCAGTGTTTAAACGTGTGATGGAACACACTCTTTACTCATGTTTGATATATTACGTCAAGGCAATCCCGCCGCTCTCTCCTCTAAGTCAAGTGTTACTTCCGGCATGGAGGAGTTGTTGCGTTTCCTTTGCAGTTTTGCTTTCCTTTTGTTTGTTTCTTGTACTTTAATTCTTGGTTTATGTGTAGTGTGTCGGTGATAAAATACATAAATACAAGAATCTAGACTTTTCTGTAAAATAAAATCACCAGTGCGAGGCAATCTCGAGGCACTTTCATCATGTAGGCGACAAAGATACAACCCATCCTCTCCAAGATCAAGTGGTAATTCATCCTTTTAGCCGTCTGGTAACTGATTAAGGTCGTCTTAGTTTAAGAGGATTCATTTCAATTCTATATATATATATTTTTCTATACATAGGAAGAAGAACCAGCCGTCAAGCCTCGTAACGCTAAACGGAGAAGGAAAACTAACACGACTGTTGATTCAGACAGTGATGAGTGACGTCAAAGGGAACCTGAATAACGTCTAGAACGATAACAAGAACTAAATATTAAAAGTAATGACGCAGCCGTGGAAGCCTTCAAACAGAAAGGGTGATATTTGGCTTTTACAGACATGAAATACTGGCAAGATAATTTCCTCCACTCCTCGCCAAGATATATGCTTTGATTCAATTTATTTGTCTTTGTTCTTGTGGCAATGAGTGTTGAACTGAACAAAAGGGAATGAGAATTTAACGATAGAAAACTCGAAATAAAAACGCGACTTATATTTTGGTTAAAACGTTGACTGAAGAAATCACTTGCAATTGTTCATATTTTCTGAAGCTTTTAAGAATGCCCTTTTGTGGTGTCTGGTACATAGTTGTAAATAACAATTTAAAAAATAAAGTTGAGAAAACATGGGTGTTTTTTCCTTTTAAGTTTGTTTATAGCCTTCGTTCAGACGTCTCCTATTTCCTTTCTCGCACGCGGGCGGGAATCATACGTCCCGTGCAAAGTTTCCTCCCTCAACTCATGACAGATCGTTCAGCAAAGGTGGCGCCGACGGTTTTTCATCCTTAACCCGAGAAAACAACAACGGCTAACCATTTGTAAATGTCGAAGCAAAGATAGAACTTTCTCAGTTATTAGCAGACCCTGAAAGTTGGTTCGGCACAATGTCTGGAAGGGAGTAGTCTAGTACCCACCAGGCAAAGGTTCGAAACAAGCGTGCTAGCTAAAACTAGTATCAATTCCCTTGAAACCTTTTTTTTATTTTCCTCAACCTCATAACCTGACGTAAGCTTTGACTATGGTGTCTCCTTCGGACCAAGCCTCATCGAAAGGGAATAAAATACTTGCAGATAAAGCCTACCGTGATAATGAACACACGGCATAGGGTTATCATGAAACTGGTGTTACGCGACCTGCACACCCAAGAAACACCGCAATCCCCAGTCGCAGATGTAATCCCATAGTAGATCGGTTGGTGCTGTTCTGTCGGCTGCTTCGTTCCAAACAACCATCAGGCGATAGCATTTACCTTGGATGCAGTATTGAAAAGGTGAATTAAAAAAAAACAAGACAGTCGACGTTCCTACCTCAACCCGCAATTCTAAGAATTAACCTCAAAAAAGGATTATTTCATCCCTTCTATACTACTTCAGTTAAATGTATGCTTGCTTCCACAGTTGCGCGTTTCAGGCTCGCCTTCGTCATGAAGGAACGCTTGACGAAGCCGTAAGAAAACTACACATATAGGAGTTGTCTGCGAAAACATCCGTTTCTCCTCCCTCTTCGCCGCCAGGGACGTTTCGCGCGTCCTCCGCGCGAAACGTCCCTGGCGGCGAAGAGCGAGGAGAAACGGCTAAAAACGGGCAAAAACATCATCATCCAATCCTAAACACTTATTAAATGTACTGTTACGGTAAGCCTTGAAGAAAAAAGCTACAACATCTGCATATTTTCTGTTGGTTTCTACTCGTATTGCAAGATTTGGGCGGTGAAAAGCCCACAGCTTGCTCATAGGCTAATATATACTTCTTACATGGTTGGTGCGTCCGGGCTGTAGCAGGAGGCCTTTTGAGTAAGTTGTCAAGCCAAATGAAAACAAATGGCTTGGAGAAGATATTTCTGTTTTCTACCCTGGCACTGATTTACAGCGAATACAGAGAACACACAATCTCTGTCTTTAATTTCAATCGCTTATTCCGCAACGACATTTTCTTGAGAATAGAATTCCATCATGTTACTAATTATTGCTTGGATTTCTTGCTCCGTACTGTCTGGGCACATTGCCTGCAAAAACAAGAATACCAGTGACTTTACATGATCTTACATGTGGGTGCTGTCAAAATTTTAATCATTAAGACGTCTTGGCTAAGACGAATAAAACTGAATGTCTAACTAAATAAAAGTGGATTTTTAAAGTTATGTACTGTACTAGATCATGGTTCAGTCACGGCACGCGCCGAGGCTCTGGTTACAGTTCTCTTTATTCGTGTGGTAAATTTACTTCGGTTTGTGTGAATAATGTCTGTAAATAAAGCTGTCTTAATCGCGTGAGAGTCCGCGTCTTCTTCTACATCAGGAGGACGCAGATCTGCGTTTTTTACGCAAAAAAATCAAATGTAATAGTTATGAAGATTTCACGCTGCTCATATTTTTGTCTTGTATGTCAGACCAAACAGATGTGTCCTTAAAGCTTATCAGATTATTAGAAGATTTCACACTCATATTCTGTCTTGGATGTCAGACCAAACATATGTGTCCTTCAGGCTTATCTGATGAATGGTGTCCCATAAAGCCACCTGTCTAGTCAAGGTGGGTCCTTGTTGAGTATATTTCTTTTTTATACTGACCTTCCACCAAGCATGTTGAGCTCCCTGAGATGGAACAATTATACCAAGACACTTCAGAGAAAAATAGATCATGGAGACTGCAATCAGAGATGGCTTAAACTGGAGTGGTAGCGTAGTGTGGAAACTGTCTTGCAGAAAACTCCAGCTCAACTGGCTGATAGAATTTGATGATTCATCTCCAAGCCAATCATCAAGGGACTTAAGATAATGGAGAAGATACTACAAACACAAAAACAATTGTCATGAATAACTGTTAAAAGATTAATAGCTTTCCAGTGTTAACTTTAAGTAACAGAGGGCATGGAAAGAGCAATCAACATGAATAATTTATTATTGAAAGAAGGGTTTATTTGTTGAAGCGATAAAATCATAGAGTCTATACCACACAAGTTAATAGTACTTTATGAGCAAACAAACAACTGATCTCAAAATCTTCAAGAGAAATTTATCCACAATGAAGACGAGAGTAAGGATGATTTCCCATACTGTTTGTTCAAACATCGATTCAAAGAAAATTATAGCCTGCGTGGCAGGCGTTTAAAAGGGAAGGGAAAGGCAGTTTTGGGAAAGGGAAGTTTTAGGCGCGAGAGAAACGCGAGGGGCGCGCGAGGAAGTTCCCCTCCCTCCCTCCTCCCTCGCGCGTGGTCTCGCGCCCTAATTCCCTTCCCCTTCCCTTTCGAACGCCTGCCACGCAGGCTAAGAAAATTAAAAACAAGACAACAAGCTTGTGGAGGAGGATTAAACTTTGGTACCTTATGTGGATTGTTGAATGCCACATGAAATTGAAGAATTCTTAACATCATCAGCTCACAGTTAACGACACTGTCACGTAATTCCCAGTACAAAGACCCGACTTCCAACGGTGCTTTATCCCTATGCAACACCCTAAAAAGATAAGTAGTTGAATAAAATAGTTCTATGGAGTTCTTAGTTTGTTACTGCATAAGTTGGGTCTTCAACCGCTATGATCTTCATTGCATTTATTTCTTCATTCTGCGGATCTTCAAATACATGAACTTCACATCATTCATAATTTCATATTTTCTGGATATATTACAAACTAATTTAATGACCAGCTTCCAGTTGGCTTGCTAGCCCAATTGTTTTGAGTGCTGCACGTGTATCACATAGGTCAGGATGCAAATCCCAGCAAGCCTGCACTTTTTCAGGCTTTCTTTTTGGAACCGCATAATTTGTGTCTGTTGATCTTCTTTGCATTTATTTATTCATCCTGCAGTTCAAATGATATGAAATTTATATATTCATCATTTCAAGACTAGTTTGTTAAGAGCACTTTACAAGGGCGTTAAGTTACTAAAAAATTACATAAAACAAAAAAAAATTCTTTCAACAGCTTCCATCTGCACATATACCCCTAATTAAACTAGTTAATCATGTCCTCTAGATCTACCTTGTCATTTTTCAAGCCTGTTGTCTTTTGGTCATTCCAAAGTTGCAATAATAATTTTCTAGGGTTTGCTGCCTCTACATACAATCTCCCTGCTACTGTATACCTTTTCAAAATTGTTGTCAGTACTAGATGCAAATACCATGGAGCAAAAAATTTGTGTGGCATATAATTTCTGCACCTTCTGCATTTTTTCTTCACAATCTGCGAAGAAATTCTCACAAAAATGTTCTCCCCTAAAATTCACTCCACTGAAGTAGATGTAGCACACTGGTGTGAAAAAGAACATGCTGGTGATCATGGTCCAACAAGTGACACTGACAGTTATTATTGCTGATCAACTGCTGGATGTGATAGAATATGACACTAATTAATGTTGTTTACATCTTAGAATGTTCTTTCACTTGTATTTAAAATACATGTAGTTAAATCAAAAGGCAAAGTGAAGTTATTCCAGTTGAATGCAACTTTCTGAAAATCCCAAAAATAAATGGCCTGCAAGAAAAAACAGTCTTCCACAATAACAAAAACCAGATCCAACAAAATACAACAAACAATTGATGTACAAAATTACCCCCCTCCCTCCCCAACAGAACCTTGTGCCACATGGTATTCACATCTAGATACAGAGGTTAACCTGTTGATAACCAATGCTGTGATAAATCTTACTATTCAATTCAGGAGGGTATTATGTATTGATATAAAACATGACACCCTAGAAGAGTTACTGGAAAAAGTTGCTTCTGGAGGTTATGTCCTGTTGATGCCATCTCAGACCAGGCCATTATACACTGTACATAGAAAAGTTCACATCTGCTTCTAGATGGTATAGGCAGATGATATCTACTCTCCTTGATGATGGTGAGACCCTTACAATGTACCAGGTACTTATCGAGGAATCTATCAAACCCCTTGGGTAATTGGGTAAAATTTAATATCTCAAGTACTAGACATGGACTGAAATACCCTTCAAAGTAAAGTAAAAAGATAAAGACAACAATTTTGTTACCTGTAGGAAACATTTATGACATCTCGAAGTTTACAAGGAAATTCTTCTGTTTTTGATGCAAGATACAAAGCAGTCGTTCCAACAAGCTAAACGAATCAAAAGAGCACGCATAAAAAAATTAAGAATGTAAGCGCCTTGAAACTTACAAGTACCAACAGTAATTCACATTGCAGACACCCTCAGGACCGTGAGTTAACATTAATAACAAGAGTCCACAATAGTGAGAGTTATCTTTCAGTCAAATGTCTGTGATTTATATTTGGCAGGGATTTGGCAGATGTCCATATTACTGGAGTGTACGATAAGAAGATACATGTGGGCTACCACATGTACATCAACTGCCAAAAAGACTCTACAGCACTTTTAGCTCACATGGCATTGCTTTACATCACAAGTCCTGCAGCTCACTAAAATCAAAGACCACATCCATCTGGATAAGAAAAGTGGTATGGTGTTCCACATCAGTAGCATTACTTGTAAAAACCATTGCATTGGGGATACTGGAAGACAACTAGATAGGGGTGCATAATGAGAACACAAGACAAGCTCCACCTCAGCTTTTCATGAACATTGTAAGCCTTCTAATAAAAATGAAAAAATTATCAGAATGGAAGATGTCAAAATATTGACAAAAGAGGATCACAAAAACTAAAGCCAAGTTAATGAATACAAAGGCTAGACACCTTGAGAATACTATTTACTTCTGTAAGCAGCTGGAGGGGGAGATTGGGGGATATACAATACTGCAATATCATAAGAAAAATTACCAAATACCAAAAATACCATCTTAAAAATCGACAAAATACTGATACCGCATTTATGATCAATCACGCTTACTCTACACCATTAGGCATTATTAGTTGTGTTACTTTATTGTATTGACTAGTGAGCCACACGCACCTAGGCAAGCGAACTCTGTCTTTACACAGACTCCTTTGCTCTGTGGACGTTGTTCTTGTTGTTACTTTTCTGCCATTTTGTTCGGATCATGTTCTGTTGTTTCTACTTACCTTGTTGACTGGCGTGGTCGCAGCGGTTAAAACGAACTCCACACCTCATCAGTGAAGCAGTTTGCCCCGCTACAAACTTGTCAACAAACATCAAACGGAACCCAACAGTCAGCAATAGCGTCTGCTGGACAGACCGACCTAATGGCAGCCAGTCGGCGTGCACCAAAACAATGGCGCCTTACCAAGACGGAGACCGTAACTTCCTTTGAGAAGTGGCGTCAAAACCTTGTGTATACCCTTTCCTTAGACGTTCAGTCTGCTCATTTTCTCTCAGACGGAGCTACGTGGTTAAAGAAGACCAAAAACAGCCCACTTCGAGGCTTCACCGATGACAGCTCTACCTGAAGGAAGCCACCGTACTGCTCAACAAGAAGTGAGCATGCTTGAGTTAATGCTTGGCCTAATAGCCAATTACTTTTCAGTTTTCTCCAGAAACACCATTGTCAAGAACTCAACATCTATGGGCTCCATTTGGTCCGCCATATGCCTGCATTTCGGCTTCGAAGCCACCAGAGCGCATTTCCAAGATCTTTCAGAAATCCACCTCAAGCATGGCAAACGACCTGAGGATCTTTACCAAAGACTTATGGCTTTTACAGAGGATAACCTCTTTCACAGCAACAGCATACAACACCATGGAGCGCTCCTCACTGAAGATGAAGAATTGACCCCCACTTCAGAGAATTTTATTGTATTCACTTGGTTACGACTCGTGCATCCTGACCAAAACTAGTGAGACAACATTACAGAACTGAACTCCGCTCTCCCACACTTGCCTCAATCAAGCCTGAGATCTCACAAGCTCTCCAATCTTTGCTGGATGAAATCCGTGCCACTGAAGATGCTAAGGTAATGCGCACCACTGCCTCCTTCTATCGCAGGCCCGCACAAGCTGCCAAGCCCACCACTCGCTCCCGAACACACCCTACATCCTGTCCCGTCTGCCAAGAGGCAGCACGGGGAGACTTCCACCACTACCTAGGCGAGTGCACTTATCTCCCTGACAACGACTGAAAATTCATCGCAAAAGCTAGGCAGATCGTGGGCATTCTCGATTGGGATGAATCGGATCCTGAGGAAGAACCACAAGACTACCAACCTGCGCCTACTGGAAACCAACCTACCCACAGTGCATTGAGAATCCAGGTACGCCATTCTCCCTACCTGGACACATTTTATCGTCACAGCCCTGTCCGTATTACCATCGACATTAGGGCCACTAGTAACATGATTCGCTTGTCCACTGTTCAAAAGCTGAAAGTTGAGGTCGTAAGAGTGCCCAGTCCGCCCATTAGGCTGACGGATCATCCCAACTAAAGGTCATCAAGCTTTCCTTAACTCGTGGACAACATATGTTCCAGTATGAAAGAATGGTCGTGGAAAACTTGGATGTAGAGGTCCTTGCTGGTACCCCCTTTATGGAAGCCAATGATATCACTGTTCATCCTGCCAAGTGCCTGATTACCCTCCCAGATGGCTCCTCCTTCACATATGGCTCTTCTGATGATCGTTCTACACAGCAAGTTGCATGTCGCGCTGTGTGGTCCTACGCGCTCCCACAACTTCAACCACATTATGGCATGGAGATTACAGGGTGTCCCAAAAGTTCGTTCCTCTACTTTATAAGTCTGTAACGCAGTACGATTGGACTTGATCAGCACATAATTTAAACCAAATTTGTGACTTTCAATCTGATTTAATATTTCAAACTTCTTGTGCCATCTTTTGACTCAAAATTCTCTTTGTGTAATTTCGCGCCAAAGGTGCACTGCCCTAGTATATTTTCCCGCCATATATTTTTTGCATTTTGTAGCCCCAAATGCTTGAACTCCTAATTTGTTTTCCATGTGAATATCCTGAAAGATTAAACCCTCTCAACAAAAAAGCACTCAGCTAAGTGCAAGCAGAAGCATGTTTTTCTATCTACTGGCTTATCAGTTAAACAAATTCCTTAAAAAAATGGCAAAATCCGAATGTTGGGTGGTAAGATGGTCATCGAGAAATGAAGGTTTTACAGACAAGAAACGAGGGGTAAGACCGAAAGTCCTGACTAAAACCGCTAAAATAGTTTTAAAAAAGGCCATGTACAAAACAGGAAACCCAACGAGGTAGCTCTTACAACAGTTAGTAAGTTAAGTCTGGAGCAGGTTCATGAAAAGCAAAGTTGAGAGACCCCTGAGATGGCAAAAAAAAGAAAACTTTACTCCAGGCCAGGGCCGTCCGCCAAGCAACGTTCAGCTAGTCTCAAATTTGTAAAGAGAATAAAAGAATTACTGTGGAAAGGGGACAGAATGATCATCTTTTCGTGGATCAATGCCCAAAATATATTGTTTCCGCTGCCTTATCTAAAAAATTATATTGTTTGGGGTAAGAGGTGACTCCTGCATACTAGGTGATAAAAAAGCTCAAAATGAATTATCTAGGGCTCTACATGCTACATGGCTTATCTCACTTAATGCCGCAACGGCTACAGAGTGAGATAAAAAAACAAAGTGGGGATGCCAGTAACTGAACTTCTGAACACAAGTACTCAATGGAGTAAGAAAAATATTTTAGAAACTTCATGTAAAAATGAACTTTCGATCAAAAGTTATAGCCCATGAAATTAGAAGAACGAACTTTTGGGACACCCTGTATATCGAACTAGAACTTCCACAAGATCTCCCTCCAGACTCGCTCCATGCTTTGGAGCCCTGCTCCAACATTTCTCTGGTCCACCTAGCAACCAATTCAGAGCTGTGGCCCCCTCCTGGCATTATTTCTAGCGTGGCAGGAAGAATACGAATCCCAAACTTGTCAGGCGAACCCATTCAGCTTAAACGAGACCAGCACTTTTGTCAGGTTACCCTCATCTTCACCCTTAGTACTCATGAACAGCCTCAACACACCGCAGACCTCTCTAAGCAGTCAATCAACCTGTTGCCTTCTGTATCTGGTACCAGCTTCTCATCAGCTGTTCACAATGACCCAGACAATCTCTTGCAGCCCAATATGCAGTCGTCATTTCACTCCCTTCCAAGTGACTTTGATTCTGTTTTCGATCACACAATCCAAGGTTATAATGGTGCCATTGGCCCTTTTGAGGCTAGAGTGAACATGGGTCCAGTTGAACCACCACAACGAAAAGGCCGTTTGCCTCAGTATGCGCGGAGCAAACTTGTGGACCTCCAAAACAAGTTTGACGAGTTAGAGAAACTAGGCATCTTCCAACGACCAGAAGACTTTAACGTTGCTGTGGAGTATCTAAAACCATCATTCCTGGTCAAAAAGGGTAACAGTGGTTAGTGCCTGGTCACTGCCTTTGTGGACGTTGGAAGATACAGCAAGCCTCGACCGTCGCTCATGCCCGACATTGATTCCACCCTTCGCCAAATCACTGAGTGGAAGCATATCATTACGACTGATCTCATGAGTGCCTTTTATCAAATCCCTCTTGCACTCCATTTCGTGGGGTCCGGATGTATGCCCGTTCAGCGATGGGCATGCCTGGCTCAGAAACTGCCTTGGAGGAACTCATGTGTTCTGCCTTGCGAGATAGAGGCCTTATCCATCGCAGCTGCAAAACACTTCAGCCCTTACATCATTCAGTTGAAAACACCAGCTTGTATCCTCACTGACAGCAAACCTTGTGTACAGTCCTTTGAAAAGCTATGTCCCGGCGAGTTTTCCTCCAGCCCTCGTGTTGCTACTTTCCTCTCCACAGTCAGTAGATACCAAGCCTCTGTTCATCATGTTGCTGGAGCTGCAATGTTACCTTCTGACTTTGCAAGTCGCAATGCTCCCAAGTGTGACAACCCAACTTGCCAGGTTTGTAGCTTCATTCAACGCACTGAGGATTCCGTGGTTCTCTGCACATCTGTCCAAAGCATACTGTCAGGAACTGCTAAACTTCCTTTCACTACCAGAGCTGCTTGGCTTGCCCTCCAGGCAGAGTGTCCAGACCTACGGCGCACTCATGCCCATCTTACTCAAGGCCATGCCCTTCCAAGAAGTTGACAGACATTAAAGATGTAAAACGCTACCTTCATGTCGCCACAATCGCTTCCAATGGCTTACTCGTTGTTAAACATAATGAACCACTAGTGCCTACCTGAGAGTGTATTATCTTCCCTCACCTGGTCCTCAACGGTCTCTTGTCTGCTTTACACGTCCACCTCAGCCACCCTTCCAGCCACCAAATGAAGATGGTCACCCAGCGATATCTCTCTGCCCTCGTTATGGACAAAGCCGTTGATCGCGTCACTACTAGCTGCCATCATTGTGCTTCACTCCACACAGTTCCCACTACTGTGGTAAAGCAGTCTACTAATTCACCACCTGACACTGTGGGTATCTCCTTTGCTGCTGATGTCATCAAACGAGCCAAACAGTTTATTCTTGTCTTGCGTGAATGTGTCACTTCCTACACAGTATCGACGCTCCTTCTTAACAAGCGCCGGACACGCTACGCGATTCCCTTATCAGCCTGTGTATTAACATGCAACCATTAGACAGTCCCCTTGCTGTTATACGAACTGAAACCGCCCCTTGTTTCATGGCTCTCAACAACGACCCAGTCCTTCACGACCACAGAATTGTTCTTGAGATCGGCAGAGTCAAGAATTGAAACAGGAACCCTGTTGCGGAAAGAGCGGTCCAAGAACTTGAACTTGAACTCCTTCGACAGCATCCCCATGGTGGACCAGTCTCTCCTGTTGTACTCTCTTTCGCAACTGCAACCCTGAACTCGCTCTCGGGGATTGTCAGCTCGCGAAATGTGGACACAGCACGATCAGTTCTCAAATATCCAGATTCCACTACCGGAGGTGACTATGACCTGATCTCTCCGAGCTCAGAGCCTCCATAAAGCCAACCATCCCAGCAGTGAGAAGTCCAAAGCCCCCCTAGTGGCCCAAGTGGCCAGTAGCCCCTCAGTCACCATTGGCGACTTGGTGTATCTCTATTGTGACCTAAAAAAATCTCGTAGGAGAGATCGCTACCTAGTTACGTCCATGGATGGTGCTTAGTGCCAGGTTAGAAAGTTCGTTGGTTCACAGTTGAGGAGTACCACCTATTGTATCAAGAAGGCTGAGTGCTACAAAGTACCTATGGATGCTTCACCTTCCCTGCCACATCACATGAGTAGTGCACGCTTCGACACCCATGATGAGGATCATACCTCCTTGCCTCCAGCCTCACCACCACAGATAATTACAGCTCCTCCCACACCCACACCTCAACTGTACCGGACCACAGAAGATGCGTTACCTCTACCCACCCTGCCACCGGTGCCTGCTGCTCTCTCTACTCCTCCTTCTCATCCCGATACAGATACTAAACTTACATCCTTACCGTCTCCCTGCAACCAGCCAGACCAGGATGTCGTACCTAAATGACACACACGCAATTGCCACACTCTGCAATACCTAGAGGATTTTGTATTGTATTAGTCTACCCCTCAAGACCCTGTCATTACGACAGACGAAGAAAAGAGACAGGAAAAGAGACAGTTGCGCCATTAGGCATTATTAGTTGTGTTACTTTATTGTATTGACTAGTGAGCCGTGCGCAGCTAGGCAAGCGAACTCTGTCTTTACCCAGACTCCTTTGCTCTGTGGACGTTGTTGTTGTTGTTACTTTTCCGCCATTTTGTTCAGATCGTGTTCTGTTGTTTCTACTTACCTTGTTGACTGGCACTAAGTTGTATCCATCAAGCATTTTTCTTTATCTCAAGCATGTATGCACCAGAATGAACCTCAGTCATCGCAAGGAAATGTGAGAAGACCTCAAATTTATCAACACACAGATTAAAAAGCCCAGTCATGGATGCAACAACAATCCCATTGTAGATTAACTTTCAGAAATAGTTGAAAATTCGGAATCATTTACTATTAGACAGTAAGATTATTAACTTTTATTAACCGGTGTGTATGGCTTACTGTGTTTTGCATTGCATAAAATTATTCTATTGACCTGTATAAGACAGGAGAGTGCAAATGAATGGTACCACGAAACCATGAAGGATCTTCTTTTACAGAATACAATCAGCCAAAATACTGCATACTAGAGGGCAAGATGATACTGCAATACCGTGCCTTTGTCACAGTATAGGTCACATGTTACATGTCACATGTACATTATGATAAGTAGGTAGCCCTCACATGGAGCGGCCATGTTGGAGTTGTAATAATTGAGTTAAGAAAGTAAAACAGTGTTTAAATTTAAATTACCGAAATACATGTACTGCTTGAAGAAAAAGCTCAAATTTATATCACAATACTGCAAACCCTTATGTCTCCTTCCAGCTGAGTAGTGGTATTTATGGTAATAATCACTTACAGTTCCATCATACAACTTGTAGTCACCTTCCTGACACAATTTTAAGAAGCGATGATAAAGTACACATGCAGAAGCACAGGCCACAGGGGGAAGCTTGAGTCTGTGACCTCAAAAGCAAACATTCTAAATAAGAATTATTAAAATAAACTGAAGAAATTTTGAAATTTATTTAACACTTATCACAAACATGCCTTTTTAAAAAGGGCGGTGTTTTATGGCCCAGAAATCATTAGTAGGCTTTCAGTGTAACACATTGTGGTCAAATTATGCAAAGCTCAATTCTTGCTTTTACTTTCCCCATCTAAGCAGCCTATGGGACAAAATGTGACCAGGCAGAGGGAAATGGTTTGATGCTATTACACAGTACCTTGTGACCAATTTCAAATGTATGAGCAACTTCAGGGAAAATGGGACTCCAAGTCAAGCCAGGGCAATAGGCCATTAAATTTTGCATGATGGCATCACTTTATGACTATGACCAGGATCCTTCAGGGTTTTGCTTTCTTGTTCAAATTAGTGCTTTTGTCATTTAAACCTTACTAGGGCTACCAAATTTAAATATTAAAAGAAAAACGAAAGAATTCTGGTCATAGTGGTAAAATGACACCATCGTGCAAATGGCCTATTCCAGAAAATGGGTTACTGGGTGGGTTAGGTGGTGCAGATGCTGCTGATTGGCCCTAACTTAACATTTATTTATTTTAAAATACACTATGTATACCCCAAAACATTGCAAATTTGAAAGAAACAATGGCTTTTGTTACTTTTAGGAGACCATCACTGTATTGAGGAAAACAGGTAAGTGTGTGAGCAAAATGACGAGTTTATAACGGAGGAAAATGTTGTATATTTGACAGCAAACAACAAAAATGGTGCAATTGAGTGGTCATTTCTGGGTGCATTTTCAGCCACAAACAATGAATACTGCAATCTGGACATGTTAACTCATTTCTTAGTATTCCTTTGGATTTTGGCCAATTTACCGTAGATTTAAGTGAGAATAAATACAGTGAAAAACCAAAAAAGATTCTTTATTTTTCCTCGTTTTACATTCTACATTTGGCATATTCATTCGTCATATTCTTGCGTAAACTCGTCATTTTGCTCATGCATTCACGTAGATTTTTCCAGTTTTTTCTGCAGCAAATTAACACTTGCAACGCCCTACAATACTAAAAAGAATTACCTAAATTCGTGCACAGACAGGGGTAGCGGGTAAGATTTCCGTATAACCCCATATACATGTGTCGACTCTATTCATATTAAACTACTTGTGTCAAAAAAACTAAGTATGAAATTGCTGCATATATAATAAATGTATGGGGTTATGCGGAAAACTTACCAAGAAGTATTTTTGGTATTATCAAGGTATTAAAGTCAGCATCTACCTGCCTCCAAGATAAACTTTGTTGTCCTAAATTTCTCTTTAAATGAAGGACAATCATTCATTGTTCATCGACGTCTTTAATCTGCAGATATTGATGGACAAACAATCAGTTTATACCAACACGGACCATAAAGATCTCCCATCTCGTCCGCCAAATTGTACCCTATTTTTGACTTCTTTCTTAAGTGCCATATTGGAAAACGAGCCAACCCCGACCCTGGGTACCAGGCCACCAGGCTGTTCTGTCGTCCACGATGCAAGACCTGTTTCCCAGATCAACACCCCCCGGTGGACCTCTGACCATACGGCAGAGGTTCTCATGCACGACAAGTAACCTCGTGTATATCATAACTTGTCCGGCATGCACTCTGTCGTACGTTGGCGAAACCGGACGTAGGCTTGGGGACAGGTTCTGCGAACACCTCAGATCTGTCTCAAAGAAAGCTGACCTACCCGTTGCTAAACATTTTTCCTCCCCCGATCACACAACAGATGATATGATGGTAGCTGTTGTGCGAGCGGGTCTTCACAACACCAGGGACAGACGTAGAGCGGAGGGCCGCCTAATTTTTAAATGCAAAACTCTACAGCCGCGCGGCATAAACATTGACGTCAATTTTATTTGAGCGAACTCTTCCAGCGCGCGCGTCAAATGTTGCCAAATTTGAATAAAGTGACCCGCGTTCAGTGTAACGGCACATTCCACTGATGAAGGGACAGTAGTCCCGAAACGTCTGGATTTTCAAACATTTTAGCGCTAAGAACACAAAGACAAATTCAATTGTAATCAACTTATGAGCGCTACACAGTTCCTAACCATGTTTTCTCTAATAGAACCCTCTAATAGTACTTTTGAACAGCGTTTTTACCTATTTGACATGCGTAGAGCACAGGCAGCCATCTTGGAAATCTACCGGTGAGCAAGTATAACCATGTCGGGGATGCGACCAATTTCGGAGCTCTTATATTTAGGAAGATACTACAAAAATGTTGGGAAGTCATGGTAAGCAATCCTATTTTATCTAGGAGTCCTTTTATCACGGAAATCGGGAGACTTCAGAATACCCGGCCCCCTCGAAGCGATATCAACTGCTCCTGTAGTTCTGAAGTGATCAAGTATGGTAATAAAATTACGTGTTTCCAGTTCACAGACCTGTTGTGCAGGCAATAAAACTATTTAAATCGGTTATTTGAACGACTGCCTCCGCATTCCCGCAGTAGTCGATGAATCTTCTAAAATCAAGTAACTCAAAGGACTGCTAACGCAGTCCCGTCTTAAAAAGCAGCTGTAAAAAGTCCTGTGGTCGATAAATCTATTAGTCAGCTATTCCTCAATCCTGTAGTCAACATGTGAGCTTATATAAATAAGTTTACTTCATTTCATATAAAAGTTTAACAGAATGAAGAATGACACAAGTAGAGCTGGAAATGACCAGATTTGAAGGCTTAAAGAAGGAAGAATGATATGATATGTAAATTTTGACGATTGTAGGACTGCGGTAGGAACTTGTAAAAAGTGGCCAGCTATTCTGACATTTAAGGAATTCCAACCCTCCCTGTTTGATTGGGAGTCTCCTAATTTGTTGTGTTGCCTCTTGTTCTTCTGATTTTTGTTTAATTCTCCTTATTTATCATGAAATTCTGAACAAGTTTTTTTGGTTTTTTGTGCGATCTGAGGGTAGAACATTACATAACACTTTCCTCACATATAATGTCTTATAGAATAACTCAGAAATGGTAGCAAAATGCAGGAAACGGTACTTGAGAAAATCTAACTTTCCGAAATTTAGCGGGAGCAAGCCCCCAGAACTCCGTGGACACTTGCGCCTTTGACTCCGGAAATGGCTTCTTGAGTTTGCATTTAGCCAGGAATAATTCTCCTACCAAACAGGCTCTAAGCTTCCACTCCCCAAACAAGCTACAAAGCATGGAAATGAGCTATCCACTTGCTACCTACGCAAACTAGCCACCAAAATAGTGTATATTTTGTAGTTGATGATTTTATTAATTCAAGTTAGTAGAACAGTAGCTCCTGTAGTCAACAGATAATGACTCAGTCAATTTCAAGCATGGATTTGTCAGAAAACCACTGCGCAGGGGTGGAGCATTTGTCAATTCTTCTAGAAGCGGTTAACGTCGTTCCTTTTCCAACGTGTCACTTAAAAATATGCTTATATAGATAGGTTTAGACAGGGTTCTCAATAGAAGGCAGCACCCGGCGATTGATCGCCGCTTACTTTGAGATTTATAGCCGCTTACTTTGTGTTTAAGTCGCTTTTCTTTGCTTTGTTTTGACACCTCTGGCTTTGCTGAAGAGCCTCCTACTTTATCAGTGATCACCTCCTATTTAAAAATCTATTGAGAACCCTGTTTAGATATTTCTATAAAAAATATTTTTTATGCTCTAAAAAGATACTTGTGATTTTCACTCCATCACCTCCCTACCGCACAGTATTTTTTGCGTCCACCTAAGAAATTGCTTCCCACTATCGTGATCAGTTCACACATGTAGGAAAAACAATCAATGTATCGTTTGAAGAGTTTAAAGAAAAAGACAATGATTTCTTTGTGCGTAAATAGTTGAGGCAGAAAAAAAAATTTTGTGAGACATTTAAAAGCTAATATAAACTTTGTCAATTGCACGATCAATGCAACAATTAATACGCTGTCAAAACGGTTCTATGGTGATGAGAAAATACACTCATTTTAAGCTGGTCTGTTGTTTGTTTATCATTCACTATATTAAATATCTTTGAAAATAGGAAAGGTATTATTAAAATTCTAGTTTATAGTTCAGTCAATGGTCATTGATATTAATCACCTCAATGTGATCTTTTTTGCAATATTTGTAACTAGCGGCTAGGAGCGATTTGCACACGGTGCTTCACACGTTTTGATCAAATTATTACAGATTTCCCACAAATATGTAGCCTGCGAAAACATCCGTTTCTCCTCGCTCTTCGTCGCTGGGGACGTTTTGCGTGGAGGAACGTCTGCGACCCAGCGACAGAAATTCCATACAAACAAAATTGAACAAAGTCATATTTGGAACCCCATGGCTACCGGATTTATTATGTAAACATTTATTTGCGTCATCAGTATGGGCTTTCTGTCACTGAGCCACAGATGTTCCTCTGCGCGAAACGTTCCCAGCGGCGAAGAGCAAGGAGAAACGGTTGTTTTCGCAGGCTAACAAATACAGTCGAACCCCGCTATTTCGAAGTCCCAAGGGAAATGAAAAAAAGTTCGAAATAGCGGGGCTTCGAAATGACCGGGGAAGCGTAAAGGGGAAGGGTAAATCCAAGGGCATTCGATCTTCCTTCGAAATAGCGGGGACTTCGAATTAACCGAGTTCGAAATAGCGAGGTTCGACTGTATGGTATTTGCAGCTTATTTACAGGAAAATGCAATTGTGGTGTTGTCGTGGGATGGGGCATTTGCACACTAATATTAAGCCCCACCATGCTGTCTTTGTTTGAACCACCTGGCCCCACCATGGGGCATTTGCAGCTTTTCCAAAACAAAATGACAAATCCCCGTGGAGGGGAGGGGGGATGGGCACTCTTGGAATTGACTGAGCCATAAGTTTAAGTTACACACATCCAAAGATATTAAGCAAGTTGTGGCAATATGGATAAGAGTGCTCTAAGGTTAGTTTTGTTGGAGGATTTTAACTTATTCACCCCTGGAGATTTTGCCAGAAAACGCGTTTTGAAGCTTGTCCAGCGGTTTTCTGGCCACCGTTGTGCTATAAAGAGCTAAAACTTACACAAAGTCATTTACAGGTTGTACACTTTGTGGCCTTCTGATCCAGATGCAAAATTTTAGTGTGTGAAGTTTGGGCGTGCACAGAAAGCAAAATTTCGAGATTTTGGGGGTCGTTACTTTCAGATGGCTAAGACATATGGTCCACATGGGCACTTCAAAAATTAAAATTGCAAAAAATATGAAAGGCATACTTTTTAAAAAAAGGTATTGTATATCCTGTACTTAGAGTTATGAATGGGAATGTCAATTAAGCATTATTAGTAAACCTCTGTACTTTTGGAGGGTCATTTTTTTCAGGGGGAACGCTACTTTTGGGATTTGCTAACACCTGTGGTGTTTTATCGCTACTTTCAGAGGTTTGCTACTTTCAAGGGGCCATTACTTTCGGAACTTTACGGTATTACTCTGAGGAATGTATCATTTTTTAAAATAACAAATATTCAACAAATGCTATGGAAACTTGGCCTCTCCATGCTACAATGTATATAATTTATACACTGCTTTTATTATCACATTTGTGTAGGGTTCCAACAGCAGCTGCATGGACAACAGGAGCGGCAATTGCATTTTTGTTTGTTTCAGACTGGAAGGTTGTGACAAAGAGAATTCCTTTTATCAAGGACAAATACGATCACGAAATTCCTAAGTAAAAGGTGTGTAATTTTACTTCATCTTTATGGTCATTTAAGAGGAACATGTAGCTGCCTTCCACCGTCTTCTCTTTAAATCTTAGTAAGCAATGTGTGAGTATCCTGGACCCAGGGACAATGTCCCAGCTGGCATGGACTCACATAGGTTTGAGACCCTTCGACAGAACAATAGAACAATGTCCATAGTGCCCCCCCCCCCCCAAACAACACCAATAGAACTCATGGACAAAAGTCTTGGGACACACAGGTCCAACCCCTCCCCTCACCCCACAAACAATCTTGGACGTGTGGATCCAGAATTTTTTCTGAGTTTCAACTTTGTATAGGGTGGGGGAACGGAGAAGTGCAAGAAGATTTTGAAAATGATGCACTGTTTTAAGAGGGAACCGAGAAATGACAGAAAAATATGCATGTTGCAGTACTGTCCCAAGGACTTTTGTCCAGGATTGTAGTTGTATTCAAGAAGTGATAAAGTTCATGCATTTGAAGATAGATGGTACAATTATTGAATTCATATTGTTTTTGATGCTCTTATCACACTGTTATCAAGTTTTGTGGTATGCAATAATATTTTTGTAGCTGGTTCACAAAATGTACAGTCTATTTTTGAATATTTCATCCAGACAACATTAAAAAAAGCAAACTGTTAACAAACTAAGGTAGAATTTTTAAGCACTTTCAAATTGCTACTAGTTCCAATCGTTGGTTTAGTAAGTTACCGTCCTTCCCTGTATTTTGAGTTTTAAGTCAAAATAGAGAGCAGAGACTATCTTTGGTTAAGTTTAAAGCCATTTTGTGTTTTAAGCCACTTTTTAAAATAATCTAGCAATGACTAGATCAAGCAAATAATAGTTTTGGGCCTAAAGGCGGTCATGACAACTTTTTTCAATAGTATGACGTGTCAGAAACAGGCCTTGACCAAGCAAAAACTTCTTCGGCGAGTCAAAGTGTCTGGCCACTGCTTGAGAATTATTTTGAGCCCTGGACATGGTACTTAGAAGAGATTTTAGCAGATTTGGAGATCTTATGTGGTTAAAAAGTGGATGGTGAATATACAATAATTTATTGCCTTTGAAAAATGCATACCATAGACTAGATTACCAGCTGTGTACTCCAATTCACTTTCCCTCCCTGAGAAAATGTTTAGTGAGTGTGGACTCAGGTCCTGAATGGATTGATTGTGTGTAAAAGTAATATGGATCATAACTCAATGTAATCATCAAGAATAGAACAGACAGATAAGAAACTTGTGTTAATTAGTTAAATTGCTTGATAAGCTGCATTACATTACCACAGACTTCTTTTATTTGCTTTTCTAGATCAGCAGAAATTTAAAGAGAGAAGATTTCTTCACCAATTGATGTTGAAACATGATGCCCACGATTTGTTTTGTTGAGGACCTTTTCTATCACCTTAACACGAATGACTAAATGTTTGGTTGGTGTTGGCAATAAACATGTACAGGACTTGTCTTTTAAAAGTGATCCTCTTCATTATTTATTTATTTATTTATTTACTTAGGTTTGCCAATTCTTGGCAGGGTCACTGTAACAGCGTATGGCGCTACTGTGCAGGCCCTTGAAAGTCTGCCCCATCCCCACCCCCCATGAGGGATAGACCATCACCGGGAGGCGGTTAGCTCAATTTAGTTAACTTAATTTACTTTGGTCACCCCTGCTCATTCTGTCAAACTCTGGCTTGTGTGTAAAGAGACATACACAATAATTCTAGAGCGGTTTTCACTTGACCGTCGAAAGTAATTGAGGAATTGGTTTGGTTTTGGTTTTACTACGCCCTTTGGTTGGCTAGTGTATTGACTTTGGTTTTGGTTTTACAACAGTCAAATGAAAACCGCTCTAATGCTGATACAAATTACAGTCAACACATGGCAACAAGAGGACTTTCCCTAATCTCAAGGAGCCTTAAAAGTGTATAACAAAAGATTATCGTTGAAGTCAGTATTTTACATTACCACGTGATGAATGAATGCTTTTCAGTCAAGTAATTTATTCTTAATTTTCAAGTTATGTTCCTGCCATCCGATATATAAACCACAGACATCTCATTATCTTTTATTTGCTCTATAAACAATGGGTTTCAAGTTTTTACTGTGGCATAAGGCAGCTTCTTGCTAAACAATGTGAAACTCAGTGAGGAGAAAAACTACTGGTACTTAACTAAATCGTTTACAGAATACTCAGTTAATTGATTCCTTGGCGCTCACCTTGCCGAATCCTCTGAACAATAACTTTCCATCAAGGGTGAGGTTGATGTGCTGCTTGTGGTCTGGCTGAAGCAAAGAATGATTTCGGCCCCACCCTTCGCCTGGGAGGCTGACCAGTGATATCCTGGGGCCAGTTATGTAAACCCTTAAACGTCAGTGGCCTGATAAACAAGGCGACAATTCCCAACACCATCGCTTCAATGGGGAAACCAGTGGTGGCAGTAGGCAACATCTGGTTTTTGAGTGTGCTAAAGGTCAGTCAAATCTGTTACGTTCGACGTTCAGATTTACGGTCTATACCCTGGTTAGCTATTATGACAGTTTTTGTGGGTCTCACTTCAAAGGGGTAAGTTCTGAACAACAGTTCAAACCTAATTTTTAAGGAAAGAAATGCCTTTTTCGTCCTAACCGTCAGTATAACCCTTCACTGTTTTTATTTAATCAAAGTGGAGCGCTTACCAAATTAGTAGCTACTCTCCCCTCTGTAATAGGAAAGAAACCTGCAAAACCAGAAAAGAAAGTAAAAGAAAAAAGGCATTATGCCTGCGCCAGTCAATGGCAAACCCGGGGGAGGTGCTACCATAATTTCTGACCGATGTTTGCCACCGAGTGTATTATAAATGGAAATTGACTACCTCGGTTATGGCCCAAACCCAAATAATGACACCCTTCTCAAAAGGGAATCAAAAAGATGAAATTTAATGGTAGGCACAAACCTCAATTTAATCGCAATCAAGATACTCTAGGGAATAGTTATTTCCGTTTTAACAGATCATTTGTTTGTCGTATAGCTGGGCATTTACGTACTTGAATCTTAGCTGAAATTTAGGTACCCTATCAAGGATCACACCTGGAACAATGCCAACAAGGGGTGAAAACCTTACCCTGTCGGGTAGCCTGGGGGACCAGACGCTTTTTTCAGTTTTACCTAGCTTGTTCACAGACCCTCTGTTTTTCTCTTCTTATTTTTCTTTCTCGCGCTCCACGCTCGTTCTCGCACGCTCGCGAGCTCGCCAATGTTTTCGAAAAGAAAAATAAAATAACACCTGTACACAGGCTAGGTTTCATCCGCCGACAAGAGCCGAAAAAAGCGTCTGTTCCCGCAGGCTACCCTCCTACCTGTCTCATAATTTATACTCCCGCTCCGGATGGCACGTGTCTGACTTGTCAATAGCCTACGAAAACATCCGTTTCTCCTTGCTCAGCGTCAGCGACGAAGAGCGAGGAGAAACGGATGTTTTCGCAGGCTAACTTGTCAATGAACAACCCGAAAGCTTTATCAGTTTACTTTTCACTGGGGTGTTTGTGTCATTTGTTCTGCCATTGATGGTGGAAGACAATAATGGCCAGGTAGTAGTGCAGTCGTGCAATAAAAATTAAAGTGAGACGAAAAAAGCGCAAGACCGGCACGGTCTAGCCTACGGACACAGCTCAGACGTTTTTCCGGTCGTCGCTTCTGTCGAAAAGCAACGACAGGAAATAACAGGAAATTCGTCTGAGCTGTGTCCGCAGGCTACCCACGGTTATTTTGCGGGTGATAGATGACAGTCACATGACAACCTTGTCGCAGGAAATCAAAATGGCGGACTGCAGAGCAGCTGTAAGGATTATCTTGTTGGTTGGATGTTTTTGCTTATCGTCAGCGATATTTTCCTCAAATGATAATCAAGAAAGGAAGGTAAGATATAGCAAATATGTACTTAAACTTACCGAAGGGTTTTTTTTTTTTCGGTGAACTATATCGGAATTGAAACCAACCCGTTTATGCCGTACAAAATACTTGCGTGTGGTATCTTGTCAGTGTCTTGTTTGTATAAAATTTCATTAAATTGATCACTACTTGTGCCATGTGTTGATTCCCACACTAAAAAACTACCACGTAGTACTTGTAGTGGCAGTACAGGAACCCTACCAGTGGCAGGTGGTCCTGGGATGTTTCCTTTTTTGCCTTCTTGGACGTTTTCAGAATAGGAACATACTTTGTTAGTCACATGTTATTTCCAAATAAAATTCTGCACGGGACCGGTCGTTTCGATACAAGTCACTTCTCTACAAGTTAATTCAGTCGAGGTGGAAACAGTTTCACGTACTTGGCTTAAAGAACATGGGATATTCAACCCATCACAGGAAATTTCTGGTATAGCATCCATCGAGGGAGTTTGTCTTAGCAATGGTGAGAGTATCAGTACAGGCCTCACACCCATAAAGCAGTATCAATGCAATCAATGCCTTCATTTTTAATCTCTTTTCTTGGATTGTTTGACCAGATTTTCTGCTTGTCATTGGTAGCCTTCCAGAATCTTTAATGTCCTTGTCATTAAAATAACAAGTTAATTTACACAATTAAGATAAGTATTGAGGGTGAAGATGTTATCAACACATGAAAATCAATAATGATTTTCAAGGGCCAGTTAATTTGCAAGACTAACAGAACATCTTTGGGCTGGTAGAATCAAACACACCAGTTGTTTGCATTGCACTTAACTTCTTGACCCTGTCAAAATTTTTGTTTTTCTAATATATTCAATTTGAAATGTTTCAAAACTTCCGGCATTAAAAAATACTTCCCTTATTGCACATTACTTATATGTCAGTAGCAAAGTTTGAATTATTTCTTTGGCAGTATTTTGTTTTTGTCCACCAGTCGAAGCATGTGTTAGAACAAATCCCTCAGGTGGTCATAAATATTTAAAACCTAATCAGCCTTCATTCCAAAATCTAAACTCAACTGATTTAAACCTGGATTGGGTTTGTGATATCAAAGAAATAACACTCAGGTCTCTGGGCATTGCATCTGGGTTACTGTAAAGAGTTGACCTAAACCAGAAACTGCATGCAAAAAGTGTCTGGCACCAAGGGTAGGCAGTTCATTGTATGGAAATTGTGCACTTAGATAGATACCGTAAAAACTCGTGTATAAGCCGCACCTTTTTGCCGAAATTTTGAGTCAAAAATCGCGGGTGCGGCTTATACACGAGACCATTGCTCTCAAAGGGAGTAAACTGGCTTGTAGGGGTCACAAATTGAACTGAAAACCTTCAGTAAATAAAGATTAAACATATTGAAACCTGTCGTTGATCATTGCTTTCAGTAGAAGTGGTGGCTCCTAAAGGAGCCGTTTGTTTGCATCTGCAGGTTCTATACCTGAATCTTGCTCGCCAGTAGTTCTTTTAAGCGTTTCATCTGCGCTTTGTTTGAGTAGTTAAACTCTAACTGGCACGGAATCTCCATTCCTCCGCACAGCTGCTTACAGTGTCGTCTGCGGCTGATCACTTCAACGCTGATTTCCCCACTACGTGCAAGAAAATACCACGCTATTCGAGAGAATTCGCAAGGCAAATGGCCGATCGTTTCGTCGTCCTTCACTACTTTCACGGCGTGTTTGTCCATTGGGTCGAACAAACGATCACCTTTTTTACAAAAGCGCATTTTTGTTTTTGTTTTTTCTTCAAAATCATGCTTGAAAGTTGGGGGTGCGGCTTATACACGAGTGCGGCTTATACACGAGTTTTTACGGTAGTTTATTTGTAAAAAGCTTGCAGCTACTAAGCTGAATTGTGTATTTACAATATAATATATTTAACAATTATTCCACGAGGGCGCGTTGGATATGAGATGATAGATAGCCAACGAGGCGCATAGCGCCGAGTTGGCTATAATCATTTCATATCCAACAAGCCCGAGTGGAATATTGTTTTATTAAAAACGCCTACAAAATCTCGTTGAATCGCCCCGACTAGAACAAACCGGAAAAGACAAGGGACTTCGGCTATTGACAAGTCACACGTCTATCAAAACTGTCAACGGGCGAACGGACTCGCCTAGACTGCATGAATGAAAAATCAAAACATTGTGTGATGAACATTAGTTTTTTAAAAACTCATCGTGATTCTAGGATTTTACACAGCAGAACAGCTTAAAAAACCTGGCAGGTAATGTGAAGGAAAGGAATTTTTAAGTGACAGCCGTTGAAATTACTATGAATTTGGATTTTCGATGCAGTTATAAAAGTAAGAACAACGGAGAAAAACTACCGGTATTACCTCGGTCGCTTGTTATGAAGTTGTTTGAAGCCACAAGTTGGTTTTGCTGAACGAGAAAAGAAGCTATACTGCCGCCTCGATTGCTCTAGTGAATGGCTGCATAGCCTGTATTTGTAGCTGGTTACTTGTGATTTATATTCTTGATGTCGGATAAACAAGCTGCAGTTATCTATCGGCGAGTGACTCGATCGGCGAATGGCTTCGCGATCATGAAGAAACAACACTTGTCTTCTTTCGTAGCTGGTCAAGGTACCTTAGTTCCATGTGTTTTCATGTGTTTTTCGACAAACTTTCAAGTAAGCTCTTGTGGCTTTTTTGTTTGTTTTTGTCTTTTTTCTTTCGTTGAAATTGCATTTCTAGTATTCTAAGAAATGAATTAAAACGATTTGCTTCGGGCGCCGTTCTATCCTTCGCAAAAAAAAATCTCAGCTAGCTTCCAATTTTAAACTGACGCGTACACCGACCATATATGGAGAACATGGTATATTAGCTCATATACCATAACAGCTAGGCCAATCAAAATGCTAGAATTGCATTATCCAATGATTCAGTTTTTAATAAAACATAGTATAACAGAATCTTACAATAGAGAGTATAATAAAATGATAATGATAACATCCTAAATAAATAGTAACATCCTATAAATATAAAAAAGCTTAAAACTGTTAAAATATATACAACGTCATCGATCTCATTTACAAAACTCACCGAGCACTAAAATTCGTTATCAATACTTGATCTTACTAAAAAACTATTTTTGAAATGCGCGGTCTTACATTTGGGAATCGCAAAACGCCTTTTGCACCGAAGATTATAACATGGCGGCCCTGACGATTGAAGCATGTTATGCAAGTGATGTGCCGGGGCATTAGCAATCGAGAGGAAGGTCTTTTTACATAAGCTAGCGATGTAGTCATTGTAGGCCATGTTCTTGACTAGATACTGTTGTATTTTGTAAACTATTCTGAGGAGGTTCAAGCACCTGCTTAATTTAACATTGGTGACTGTATACTAGAATCATTGCTTGTTTTTAATCTTTTTCAGATTAGCATTGTGGAGTTTTGGTGTGACTCTAAAAATCACCCTGATTGTCGTGGTAAACATTACAGTATAATTCATGTTGTAGCAGAGAGTCTTGGCAAAAGAAGTGCTATTCATTACCTTTGGTCTGTCATTTACTCACCAACAATTGTCATGGCCTACTTTGAGAAAACTGGAGTGAATGTCACTGTGGACTGGAAAAAAGTTCTCACGAATGGAAACTTAACAGATGGAATACGTTTCACTGAATACAGTAAATACATTACAGCACTTGTTATTCCTGCAATCTATGAATTCCAGGATCCAAAGGATGCACTTTTTTATACTGACTGGAAAAAAGTCAAAGTTGACACTATTGTGAAACATCCATTTCATAAACTGAATTGGGAAAAACCAGTTATTGACCATGAAAACAATATAACAACATTTAAAGCAAGTATGTTGGGAGGAGAAGTTACATTTCAGGTTAGTCATGAAATCCACCTTAATTTTGTTCCTTTTTTTGCTTTCATTCGAATGCAATCCTTCCCTCTATTGTTCAGTCAGATTGTCTAGCAGATACCTAAAGTAATCTGTAGGTTGCAGTGATTTCAAAATTAACTGTAGGCTCTTTGTCAGGCAATAAAAAATTTCAGCGCGCAAATGTGCAGCCATGCCCATATGATGCAAATAAATTTTTTCACCCAACGATTGGTTGAAGACAGGATAGACATGGGACTCACAAGCACGCAAATGGCTTGTGGATTCTCCTTTCTGTATCACGCGTTCCCTCGAAAACAATACATTCTTTGTTCTTTTGTTCTTTTTTCTTTGTATCCTTACATTACCATTATGACTGTTACATCAATTCGAGATTTTTTCTGCCCCTGGAACAATCGCGCACGGCTGTATTAGGCTGCCGCCTCGCAGCCTCGTGTCTTTGAGAGGCTGCTCTTTGGCAATAAACATCAATGAAATACCAGATGAGCTTTTGTGCAAAAACATGTGTAAATAACATGTGCTTTTGGTAGGAAAAAAGTATTGAAGTGAAATGCAAAGTAAGATGGTTTTTGTTATTATTATTTATTTATTTAGCTTTGCCTAACTAGAATACAATCTTCATACATGAATACATAAAAATTATTAGGCGGGGAGACCACTACAGCCTAACCAATTACAGTGGATTCCTTGTTAATTAAAAAACAAAAAAAAACAAAACAAAACAAAACAATTGTTGAAAAAAAACAGAACAACTAAAGCTACTGATATATAAACAAGAAAATCCAAAGGAAACAAAACAGAAGTTTAAATTGCTAGAAGCAGCACGTCGGCGGGCACAGTAGAGTCCTTGCTATGTTGCACCTGGGACAGATTGTTCTCCAGGTTTTGATGTCGTCAACATCGTACAGGTCCAGAGCCTTATTGTAATATTGAAGTAGTGAACGCTTAAATGAGGCTAGAGAGATGTGACTTGTGGGTAACTCAGCGTGCAGAACATTCCATGTGCGGCATGCGCGCATGAAAAATGAGCGTTGATAAGTAACAGTTCTACTTCACTTAGGGATATAAGTAATAGCATTGCTGCTCGATGACCTGGTAGATCTCATTGATTGTCTAGTTGCAGGCAGAGCTTCACTATCTATGAAAACTAAGTTATTAACAGCTTTATAGAAAAAGACTATATCCAAAAATTCATGCCAGTATGAGACAGGTAACAGATTTGTTAGTTGGAGGCAGGTCTTATAGGTTACATCGCAACGGAAGGGAAGCTTCAAAATTAGTTTTGTTGCACGGCGCTGCACGTTTTCAACTCGTTTTATTAAGCCAATGGACTGTGGCGACCATACTTGAGTTGCATAGCCGAGCTGGCACCGGACGATAGAAAGGTAAAGTGTACAACGCGTTTGGATGCTTTGGATGTACCTAGAAGCTCGGGACACAAAGCCAAGGAGTTTGTTGGCTTTTGCACACTGTTCAGTCACTTGTTTGTCCGAGGTAAGATTGCTTGACACCCACACACCAAGGTCTTTCTCTGGATCACAAGATTCCAAAGGCGTTTCATTGATATTATAGGTGGGCTGTATAGGTTATTTTTGCGGGTGATAGACTGGTTTTAACACTTGGACTGACTAAATATGAGCCCAGATGATTCGGACCAACTGACAAGATCGTTAAGATCTGATTGCAAGGCATTACAGTCTATGATGGAATCGATGCTCTTGAAAATCTTGGTATCATCGGCATAAGAGGCAACTCTCGATGTCTTAACAGTGTTTGGTAGATTATCCACAAACAACAGAAACAATATCTGCCCTAGTAGGGATCCTTGTGGTACCCTGGATGTAACCGGCAATTCTCGGGAAGTGGCTCCTAGAACTGTAACCTGTTGCTTGCATTCTTGTAAGTATGAACGGAACCAGTTGTGAAGTTTGCCAGTAATGCCGTATTGGTGCAACCTTCCAAGTAACGTGGTGTGATCCACTTTGTCGAATGTCTTACTCATGTCAAGATATATAATGTCTATTTGTTTACCAGCGTTGAGTTGATCGCCAATGTAATGTAAGACTCTGGTGAGCTGAGTCACACAAGATCTACCAGCTAAAAAGCCATGCTGTTCATGACTGATGAGGTGGGATATACGATCTCGTAGACCCACCAGAACGCAGCGCTCGAGAACTTTGGAGATGACAGGGAGAAGGGAAATAGGGCGGTAATTCTCCACAAAGTCTCTCTTTCCTTTCTTGAAAATGGGTACAATATTCGCAAGTTTCCAGTCTCCCGGAAAAATGCCTAGCTGTAAGGATTTGTTGAATAACATGATCAGGGACGGTGAGATCTGTTCAGCGGTTTCCTTCAGCAGCCGCACAGGAATTCTACCGGATCCAGTTGCTTTGTTTATATCAAGCTGTTTGAGAGATGTCAAAACCATTTCCACTGGGATCTCCAGCTCATTTAATGTGAGGTGTGAGGACGTGAAATGTGCTGACAAAGTGCGGATCGCTGAGGGAGCAGTGAAAACTGACACAAAGTAAGAGTTAAATAGCTCGGTGATCTGTTGAGGCGTTGATGCTTGGGGGCCCTGCTGATTGTCATCACCCGAGCTCATTGTTTCAGGGAAGGTCCGCGTTTTATTCTTGAGCTTAAAAAAGGACCAAAAGCGTTTAGGCTGCCGCGCGAGATCTGAGTCAAGTGAGCTGAAGCAAATCTCACGGCTCTCGTGTATAAGAATCTTGGCCTTTGTACGCAGTTCGCGATACTTCTGTCGTTGATGGTCTGTAGGAGATTTCTTTAGCTTAGAGCAAGCAGCCTCCTTTTTCCGCAGAGCATGGATGATTTCACTTGTGATCCAAGGCGGGGTGTTTTTTCCCTTGATCTTTTTGGTTGGGATAAAATCCGAGACTGCACTCATAAATGTGTCTTTCCAGTAAGTCCAGTCCAAGTTGATGTCATCGCTGTCTTGAATAAGATTGCATAAATTCAAGGCTTCAAGAGCTCCCCAAAGACTGTCAAAGTCTCCATTACAATAATCGTACACTGTTCTTTTTATTTTGTGAGTAGCTTTTGTAGAGGCGTGAAATTCAAAGACACCGTGCCATGGTCCGTGAACACATCCGATTCTTTTGGACTGAGCACCTCAGGCACATGAACACGGTCCGGCACATTCGTAATTACGAGGTCTAACACTCTATCATGATGGGTGGGGATAAGTTTAATTGTGTTAAAAAATGATCATTAAGAATTTCTAAGAACGCCACCTCTTTTGTGCCACTAGTGTTTTCTAATGAGTCCCAAGAGGTTTTGGGCAAGTTCAGATCGCCTCCTATTACCATATTATCGTAGGTTTCAGAAGCATGGTCAAGAAAAATATTGAATTCCTCCAACCAGCAGCTTGTATCGTTGTCGGGATCTGGCCAGTAAATCGAGCAGAACAACACTTTCTTATTGCAAAAAGTGGTCTTCTCAGCGCACACAAGTTCTAAGTCCTCTAGGTTTTCTGAGTCCGGCACATAATAAATTATTCCTGCATCGATTTGAAAGAGCTAGCTTTAGCAGCAATAAGAACGCCACCGCCATTGCGATCCTTACGGTCTTTCCTGTAGATGATAAAGTCAGAAAGCGGGAAAAGTTCTTGGTCGAGGATGTCACCATTCAGCCAGGTTTCACTGATTAATACGATGTCGGCGTGTTCGGAACAGACTAGGTCTTGAATCCGATCCAGTTCGGTATTTTATTGGTGTTTATGTAATAAGTAGAGTATTACATGGCTGCTTTAAATGGTTTTTCAACACTCAAAGAGCCGACACTTATTATCTTCTATGTATTATATTATAAATATTTGTAATTTGTTGTGTGATTTGTTTGTTGTCTCATTTACAAAGTCCAGTATATCTCTAGATGCCATATCCTTGCAGCTGCCTCATATTATATAAACATGTAAAGTCATGTCAGTTAAGCTGATATTCCTTATTTCCAGTATTATATCAAGCACTGTTAAAAGACATGACTAACAGGTAATAATTATTATTACATCAGAATCAAGCTCTTTAGTATTGAATCTATCAGCACGTACATTTAAGTTTCACAAAGTAAAATTCATTGTACAGTATTAGCAAGAAGGTAGTAAATCTCTTTCATTTTTTTCTCTGTAGTGCAATGCATCTTTTCACCAAGAGCGGGAGTCAGTCCTACCACGCCAACAGTCATCCAGCAACTCTACAGTGTTAACCCTTACACTAAATAACTTGACAAAGCTTAACAAAACCAGAGGAAACACTCGTTTTATATTTGAACTATACTCACTAACGGCACATCAAAGTGAAAGTACTACATGTGTTAAAGCTGAAAAATATATAGATGATGAATTTACACCTGCAGTTTTTAAGACCATTATTGTCAATAGTACTGGCACGGGTGGTACAGCATACAGTGCATGGAAGCCTGTTGCCTACATAGACAAGAAGAGAAGTTTGGAGGAACAAGTTCCCTCTTATGCATATTACAGGAATTCTCACCATTTTATATCTAGCCACTGTGATTCTCTTCCATATTCTCCATATCACCCTTCTTCGTTTAGCATAGCATACCATTTAAAGAAGTATACATTTCTGTCATATGGAATGAACATCTCATTTGGACGACAGAAGGATGGATGGTATGATGGTAAAGAAGCCAAACGTTATCTCAGTTGGTAAGTAAATGAAGCCCCACTAACAGAAACCTTCAGGAGCTCCAGACAGATATTCCCAACTAAAGTCCCTGCAATTTCACCCCTCAAACCTGCATTTTTTACTTCTTGCAAACACACAAGCACCACATTTTTCAGGGTGCTAAGAAGCTAAATTTACCTTCAGTGGACAACAAAGTAAATCTAAACTGAAATTTAACATAAATAGGTAATATAATTCCACATTTATTGAAATTCCACATTGGAACAAGTAATTAATACTAGTGTACAGGGTTCTCACTAAGATTTCAAGTCACTGGGTAAATACAATAAGTACATGTAGACGGGGAATCAAACAGCTAGGGATTTCTTTTGGTTTTATTTTCTTCTATTTCCCTACAAAAATGGCCAGGGACCACGTTCATAGTAGCCAGGAGAAATCCCTGGCCCCCAGCTCTAAATGACAGCCCTGAGTGTAGTTGTTTCTTTCCCATTCTGTACATCAATAATTGAAATTCACAAATTTCTAGGCAACAAGGATCTTTCATGTGCTCTTCATTAAAATTAATTCTCTGATGGCAGGCCTGCAGATAACATTATTATTCATTCAAAATATTTCTCTGTTTCTGATTGGCTCAAATCCCACAGCTAATTCTTCATAACCAGCTAGTGTTGACCAAATTTGGAAGACATTTGAGATATCTGCAAAATGATGTTTATAGAATACAACTATCCCCCAAAGGGGAGGTGAATAGGGGTGGATATGTGTGCTGAGACATGAAGCATTGAGGTGTATATCTACCACTGTTCACTGATCCTGAAGGGGATAGTTGTTTTAGTATTTACCAAATCAGTTGGATAAAACTGAAAAAAGTAATTTTTTGACAATTAGAAATGTCACTTAGTAGGAACTTTGTGTACAGTTTACAAACATTTCGAGGATTTTGTCAAGTGCATTTTACAATTTTGTTGCAAATTCAGCTTGAAAATAATTTTCTACCTACCATTGAACACCGACAAGCCAAAATTCATCACTTTTTTGGTATTTGTTTGGACGACTGCTTCATTTATCGGAGAAATTTCATCTTTCAAAAATGTCTCGAAACGAGATGTCAAGGATATTCCAAGTTACAGGAGCCAATCAAAACACGCGAAAATTGCTATTGACTGATTTTTGGTAAACACTAATACAGAATAATTAAGCAGAAAAAGGACGGCAAACAAGACACCCTGGAGGCACGGTTGTGTTGTTTTGGTAGAGCAAGGCAAAACGGAAGATAACACCATCCGAGATCTACATAATTCTTCAGATCAAATTTAAGTCAAATCCAATAATTGCTGAAGATTTCTAGAAAAGGTGTGGGGTATACATTTTGCAAAATATGTTGATCTTTTACAGGCATTTGGTGATTTTATCACTAACACAACAAAAAGACTAATAAAAATGAAATAATAAGTATCTTTGCAAGCACAAGAGCTGGAGATGAGTCATTGATGCTGTCATTGTTTTTCTCTGTGTGTCTTCCATGCGATTTTCGGAGAAATCTCACCAGAATTTAATGTTCAAAAACTTTATTATTATTTACGGTAAAAATGAAACACAGTGGTTGACATACTATTAGCTTCTCTTTTCTTCACTCCTAAGGATCAGAGATGCTGGCAAAACTTTTAAACTCATCTGCAGCTTGTGGTTGCACTTGAGTTTTGAAAATCATTGACATCGTCTCTAGGATAATCAGAGTGTAGACAATGGAAAATTGTTGTCAATTTGTTATAAATAAATACAGGCAATTCATCTATTGATGTCATTCTTTTCACAGCTCTATTAATAAATATTTGATTCTTCTTTGTTTTTACTTATATTTAGGTCTGCGGTTGTAGGATATGGACGTCCACTGTCAGACCGTTTTTCTTCAGTGGTGCTGATTATCATTATCGTAGGCTTTGGTGCTCCATTGCTTCTTATTTTTGTCACTGTTGTTTATATTATTGTCAAGAGATTTAAAGCCAAAAAGGCAGCATCATCGTATGGTATAATAAACTGACATTGGTTGTAATTTTAAGAACCAATGTAGTGTGGTTTATGAATACATACATTCTAACCAAATGATTAAAATGTCTTAGTATTGATAGCTGGATATTAAACATCCATTATTTGAAGTAAATGGACCCAAACTATCTGCACTTGTAAAGAGCCTTACGTTTGTGGGTTTTTTTTGAGAATTTAAAAAGAAAGTTTGTGACAAGATTAACACATTTAATGGGGCATCACCATTCGATGTATAGCAGAATAAGAACAACCAAACTTTGCAAATGTGCATACACACTCAATTTTTCAGTTTTAAAATTGCCTTTAGCTATGGTTGATGAAAAGGACTGTGGCTAGGAAAAATTGGGCTTAATTTTTCATTGGCAACTTTGCTTTTGCACAAACCTTTTTTACAACCCCTTGACTTTGAGGCCTTTAATATATTGTATGTTCTTTTCAACTTATTATTTGTACAATATTAATTTCATCATTACCGTAAATGACCTAATAAATTAGAAAACGAGGCTAGCCGTGCATAAACAAAGTTTTTCAAATCTCCTGGAACGAAATGGCTGCCGCGTGACAAAGGTCTATTACTCCAAAATACTAGGAATTAGCAAAAAGGAGCAATTCATTCTGTTTTTTCTTTGTTAGAGTGTTTGCGTATTTCATATTGTTTAATGTCAAATTCAAAGTAAGGATAGACCAACGATGGTAACATAATAACCCTGAGCAAGGATTCTGACTTAGGTGTTGGGAGTTGAAAGAGCAACATGGATTTGTAGACGGCTAGACATATCAATTGATGGAGTGGATATTCGGCTATTTTAAAACTCTCTTGATATTTTTGCCAAAAGCATATTAGTGTTCTTGAGCTTGTTACAGTTATGGGAATGAATGCCTCTGTCTTTTGACAACCCCTGCTTGGACCTCTGAAATTAAATAGACAACCCAGGCGTTGATTAGGTCATTTATGGAACACCAAGAAACAGCTAAAAATAGTAATTCTTTCAACATTTGCAAGATGTAAAATAATAAAGATAGCAAAAATGCATGTTAATCACTTATATTTTGTATATTGATAATAAAATGCCAATTATTGGAAATATCATTGTCTGATCTTTATAATTTGGTTGTTATCGTATCTCATGACACAGTTTGCTAAGAATAACAAATTTTTTAAGAATAAATTTTTATGCCTTTGTACACTCAAAATGTCAATTATTTTATACAATGAGATGCATTGCTCAAGCTTGTTTACTTGGTTCATTGTAAAGAGAAAAAACCTAAAAATGGCCTTTTACCAACTTTTTCACCTGATTTTACATAAAATAGACAGATTTGGTTGTTTTATGGTGAAAAGTGGATTTTTTTCGAAAAGCTTGGTACTTTCCTTAACCCATTCGCTCCTGGAGATTTTGCCGAAAAACGCGTTTTGAAGCTAGTCGAGTGGTGTTCTGGTCCCTGTCGTGCTATAAAGAGCTGAATCGTACCACAGACCGGTTTACAGGTCGTACACTTTGCGGCCTTCTGATCCAGATGCAAAATATCAGCTTGCGAAGTTCGGGCATGCGCAGAAAGCAAAATTTCGAGAGTCTTGACTTTTAATTTTCGCTTTCTCACCTCCCTTCTTTTTTCGCTTTTCTTGCCTCATTTTTTTTCTCTTACTGGGCATTTAGTAGGCTTCATTTTAGTGGGAAGAGTTTTTAGGAAAGCTTTTAGGATCTTAGGATTAGGTGAAAGGAAAGGTAGGTGGGCAATGGAACAAGATTTTCATGGAGATTTTCAGGTCAATGTCACGTGGTTTGCTTCTTTCTCCGGTGTCCTTGACTGAATTGTGCTCATTCTGGTGTGGTTTGAAAGATCTCTTCACTCTGCACAAGTTAGCAAAGAAAGTTGTCCTTGACCGTTAAAACGGATGACGTCACAAAGGGTAGAAAGGACCTGGCTCCGCACGGGCGTTTCAGGGGCGAATGGGTTAAATAAAATGGCTTAGGGCATAGCCTTAGAGCTACCTTTATATAAAAATCAAACTTCATTTTCCAGTGAAAATGAGAGGGGCACAAGAAATCCTAAATAGTTACTGATGTCCAGTAATTATTGGTGATGCCTGTAACCAGTATGATAAAAAAGCACCAGCCTCTATGTTGAAACAATTGAAACCTTGATGGAGCCAAACTTATTTAAGGATTACACATGTGGTGGAAGCATCTCAAGTTCATAAAAATGTTAGGGATAAAAACCCTCTTTCCAACAAGATCATCGATCCATGAATGAACTATGTGGATGTAACAAAATATCGTCAGGCTGATACAGACATTTCATCAGTTAGCTATACTTCTAAATCTGCCATACCAGAATTTATTATTTTCTGATAAATGAGAAATTTTAAGAATTTAATGGTGCGGAAACGCAGACTCAGAAAGTTCTCGTAGTTAAACAGATCTTCAACTTCAGGTTATTACAAATATTATAATTATCATAATATTATTCCCTTATTTTGGCTGGAATTAAACCTGTACTTCAGTGACTGAATTGTGTGTAAACAGGAAAACAGGACTCGCATCCTCGTGGAACTCAATAAATTTGGTAATTTAGCTTGAACTATGCATGGTTTTTGTCTTCCTCAGAGAAAAGCCAATCTACCGGTGTCTTGGAAATACAGTCAAACTTCCCATTATATTAAAGTGTCCACCCTGTTAACAAAATGCTGAGATTTGGCAGTCACTCCCAGATATCAGACAAAAACATCACATGCACGACTTTGGATAAACAAGGACCTTTATATAGGTGACAATAAAAGAAAGAAATAGAGGTTATTACATGGTCGCACGATGATATAAAATTTTCCTTGAGTGTTGATGAATATTTCACGAGTAAGTGAGATAAACAAGTGAAATATTTTTTAACTTAAGAAGATAAGATTTGTATCTCCAAATGGCCATTTTAAGAATGTTATAGACGGTTATGAAGTAAATCTAATATAAGAACTGCGGAAATGAAATCAAATGAAGAATGATCCTCGGCATTGTGAACGCAATCGATGCAATTGCATAAGAAGCCCGAAAAAAATTCAGGACTTCAACGGGGTTTGAACCCGTGACCTCGCGATACAGGTGCGATGCTCTAATCAACTGAGCTATGAAGCCACTGATGTTGGTAGCTGGTTCACACCCCGGCCCGTTGAAGTCCTGAATTTTGTTCAGACTTCTTACGACAATTGCATAAATTGCGTTCACAACTGGGAGGATCATTCTTCATTTGGTTTAAGAATGTTCCATTTATTATATTAACTCCGATGAAATTCTAAGTCATTTCACTTTTAATATAATTAATTTTTGCTGGGAAAGGTGCAATCTATCATGAAGCCATAGCAACGGGGATCTTTTCCAGGAGAAGATAACATTTCATTTTCACATGTGAAGATATCATCATGTTTTCCCTTGAAAGCTCAACTGGTGTTCCATTCAGTTCCATTGGTTAAATAATACATATTATTAAAAACTGAATCATTGGATGCAATTCTACAGCTCTGATTGGCTTAGCCATCATGGTATCTGAGTCATTTTATTGCTCTCCAAATATGGTAACTGTACGCGTCTGTTCAAAGTTAAACACAAGCTGAAAATCGGTTGTTTTTACAAATAAAGTCGGAAAGAATTCTCGATATTTTGGGGGCGTTTTTAATAAAACAATTATTCCACTCGCTCTTGTTGGATATGAGATGATTATAGCCAAATCATATCCAACGTGCACTCGTGGAATAATTGTTAATTATCTTTAGTTTTCTTTGTTTAGAATAGTGCTTGAGGCTCCCTCTTTTGGTTGCTACCCATTGCCACACCAAGAAGTTAAAAGACTTAACAAGGGCCACAAAATTAAGGTGTCTATCTGAAAAAATGCACTGCTTGTAGTCTGGTATTTGCACAACAAGTAGGAAATAAACAAATATATATAACCTGCAGTATTAACTGGAAGCTAAGAGAATGAAACATTTGATTCAAGCTTCAATACTTTATTTCAACAACAATACTTTCAAAATGTACATGTAGAGAACGCATGTTTTATTAATAATTGAATTCAACAACATATTAGCAGGAAACTAAAAAAGGCAGATTATTTAATCAAAAATATGCATCAAGTTCAAGTATAAAAAGCATCAATGCAATACAAAATGTTTCCTCTGATAGTAAAGACAGGAAGTTACAGCCACAAATATTTAACAGATAGACAGTTACTACTGTATAAACTAATTAACTAGTTCAAAAAAATATACTCTTAAAGTGGTCTAAAAGGCTGTGGTTAAGAAGGTTCACAGGTTAAGAAGACAAGAGATAGTGGGTTTCATAATTTACAGTATAAAAATATAACAATTGAAAGACTAAAAGAATATAAACATCTGGACTCAAAAACACTTTCAGCATCAGCCACAGGCCAGTTGCACTCATCCAAGTCCATCATGGCGTCCACGGATTCGTCTGGCAAGCTGCATATCTCTGGGCATAACAGTTACTCGCTTGGCATGTAGTGCACATAAGTTACTGTATAGACAAAAACAAACAAGAGAAAAAGACAACAAACACCAAAAAAAGTCAAACAACCCATTCATGGCCTGAACTTTGTAATAAACGTGAGTGAAGTAAAACGAGGGCACTCCAATATTTTCATAAAGGTTTATAACTTGGCATAAAACCTGCAAAATTCGTCGTTAATTCACTTAAGAATGGACCATGAACATGGCATTTTTGAGAGAATAAATATCAAACTGAGATGGAAGTACCGAAAATGATTATCATATTCTATACTCCAAACCGATGTAAGGTTGAGCTGGAAATTCCCATGAAAATCTTGTTCCACTACCCACCTACCTTTCCTTTCATCTAATCCTAAGATCCTAAAAGCCTTCCGAAAAACGTTTCCCCCCAAAATGAAGCCTACTAAATGCCCAGCAAAAGGAAAAAAAAGAGGAAAGAAAGGCAAAAGAAGAAAAACTAAAAGAATCAAGAAGAGGGGAGGAAAGAAAGCGAGAAGAAAAAGTCAAGACTACTGTGTCACTTTTAGACCCAAGAACTATTTGAGAAGCCAATATTTTGCATCTGGATCAGAAGACCGCAAACAGTACGACCTGTAAACAGCTTTGTGGTAAGTTTTAGCTCTTAAAAACCAGACTGACCAGAAAACAGCTTGGCTATATTCAAAATGCGGTTTTTTGGCAAAATTCCCAGGGGAGCCAATGAGTTAAATTACCCGTGCATAACTTTCTAATTTTCAAAACAAACCATTGGCTTAAGCTCCTTGTTTAATACTCTAAAAGCACCCTTTTTCCACAATTATATATAAAATATAATATAACTTTCTACAGAGGTCCGTTCGCTAAAAACCTAGGATGAGATTTACCACACTCACGGTTTGTTAAAGCTTTTTCTTAGCACCTTGTGCCTTGTCACTGCAAACTGTCAGGAATTAGGTAAGAAAAAAACTCTGGCACCCAGGGTATAATATAACCTACAAATAAAATGACACTTTTTTTCTGAGGGATATGGTAAGTATTTTTTCCGCAAAAAATCAGAGGTAGCAAATCTACATGTAACTGCAATTTAAAGTGCAAAGTGTATTTGTAACCAAGGTGTGACTATAGTATAAATTAAGAATGGTACGCATCCTCAAACAGTCGCACAAGAAATGCTTCCGCTGCCTGAAAAAGAAAAATGGGCATGAGCTACGTTCCTAAACTAATATGTAATATACTAAATATTGCATTTTTTTAATAATAATATTGACAGGCTCCATGCCCCTCATTTTCTTCTTGGAGGGGAGTTTTTTTCATGGCCCTTATACGCAGGATTACATATTGTCACAATAATTTGCCAGTAACTTCTTTGCCAAATTTGTTATTCTCGCTACTTTGCGATATTTGCAAGCAAGTGTCTGACAACATTTTCTTGTGAATCACTTCTTGCTAAAATTGCTATAAATAGTTGCTAGCAAATTTTTGCGACAGAGTTCAATCCTGGACATATCACCACAGAGTCCAGAAGAGTTTCGTGTGAATAAATGAATTACTTATAACTTACTTATATATTTACTTATACCTAAAGTCTAACCTTGAAAAATGTCTATACCAGTGTCGCTTAGCACAATTAATTAGCCCAATGGCATCTTTATAAATCTGCTGTAAACGATGATCGACTTTTGAAAATCGATGACCGCAAGCCATATCCTCGCCGGCGCACGGCACGTCGCCCGAAGGGCGACCGAGGCACGAAGTGCCGAGTAAAAGAAAGGACTTTCCGTATTTTATACTGTAAGCCGATCTTGCGAGCCCTCAGTCTCTTGGTTTGCGGTCTATAGAACGTGTAAGGAAACTGTAACGCGATCAAAATGACCCATTTTTTCGGAGGTTTTCGACGGGCTTTGATGTTCTAACGACAAACACATCTCCTCTGGACCCTGTGATATCACTTTCATGAAGCCCTTCAATTTAATCCTAAATGATTATCACTATACAGTAGAACCTCCATACATTACTTATAGAAGCATTTTTCCAGTTAGAGCACTATAGAGTATTTTCACTCATGCGGCCAGTATCTACACACATTTGTTGAAACAGAAGCATTTAGATATGAAAGAGTTCGACTCCTGCAGGATTGGTTTGGAACAACAACAAGATTGCCGTGGGGTCGGTTGCCGCTTCATTGTTATGGACTACCAATATGGCCACCATGATCATGATGTCATGTGAAAATGATCTAAATCTCTCAGACACTGATAGGAAGGGCATTCAAAAGTTTCTTAAAACATCTATCTAAAATAGTTGTGAACTAACAATAACAAGAACACTTTTAATATCGACATTAAGTCTCGCTTGCTTGGAGATTTGGTAAGAAATGAGGATCCTGAATGAGAAGGTGATTACATGTAATTCTAGACAAAACAGGATTTACTCGCTAAAAGTTTTTCACTTCCTACTTTACCGACAGTTGAGTATTCTTCAGGTTTTTCACTTTTTATATCGTCTTCAACAATTTGTTTCTGAATTGATTTAGTACGTGTGTTAGCGACGACCGGAGATACGTCTGTGATTGCAGGCTATACGCGTGTATAATTACACAAAAATTCAAGGGCCTCGATTCAAGACAAATTACATCATTGCCAGAGATCAAAAACATGATGAGAACACAGCACGTAATTCCAATCATCGCCGAAAATAAACTGCATGTTCATCAGAAGACCCATTTCCATGCAACAAAGGTTTACAACACCCAACCAGTTAGCCTTTGCTAATTAAGATTCTTCTTTTCTTTGACCACTGAAGTGTTCACTTGTTCCAAAGTTATCAACTCTTTCAAGCGATAGAATTCGTGGACCAACCTGTTCCGGAAAAGCTCTAAAAAAAGCTAAGAAATGAAAAGCTCGCATTTAGTAACCTTTCCTAAAGTTTCTTCGCAAAATATGCGTGGCTTCAGTCACGCAACGATTCTTATTCTCAGTTTTCACGGTCTCTGCTACGAACGCCTGGGACCCCAACCACCCTTTTGTGTCCTAAATACCAGTAAAAACCACTTGCAGATTATGAGTTTCGCTGCTTACGCAAGCGAGACTAATTAGATAAGAGATTTCTTCATCAAATCTATCGAAAATGAGGTAATTTATCTCCTGCACAAGCAAAAAGGGATATTTATCTTTCATTAATCCTTACATTCTAAAAATATTTATAGTAAAATCATAACCGAAAACTTAGCACCTACTGCAGACATAACCCAATTTACGTAAAATTCATAGTACAGAGACACTTTAAAATAAATTACCACCTCTTGAAGAGCCATTAAAGCTGGTACTTGCCATCTTAATTCTTCCCCATAGTAAAACTTGTCAGCTATTTCTCTAACCTTTTAAAACAAAAAACAACAACAACAGAAAAAAATTACCAATAATATAGTCTTATAATAATTTTATAAAATTCTCATGCAAAGAGATGGATCTAAAGATGAGCAGACTAAAAGCAAAATTTATGTCCTCTTTGTTTTCTCTTGAATCATTACTTGATACTTGAAGTATATTTATACTCTACTTTTTGGGGGTAAAGTAGGTAGTGAAGAATAAACATTACAAAATTATTAAAATTCTTCCAGCTCATTGTCTTCACTTAAAGACAAAAATTAATGACATTAGGTTAAAGGGAAATCATAATTTTCACTAAACTTTCTGACTAAAACCAAGCTTACCACTCTCATAAATGGAGCTTTTCTCAGTAAAAGATGAGTTGTTTTTTGGTAGTGTCTTATTTCCATAAGCGCTCTTGTTCCTGGTCGATATCTTCTCTTTTCTAGCAAAAAACATATCAGACAATACATTTACATGCATGATCACACTGACATATGTTGAAGTTAATTTTTCATCTTTGGTAATTTTTGTTTTTCCATTATTTCAACTGTCTTCATTAGAATACATTACCATACCCTAAAACAAAAGAAAAACAAAAATTACCTGAAATAAAAAATTAAATACAACACATATAATAATAGCTTTTATATTTTCTGAACTGGTTAGAATAACTCTTCAAGAATGCTCAACTCTGCAGGAGCAATAAATAATGCAATTAAAAACTAGTTCCAGGCATCAGAGGTTATACATCAGTTTATTGCTACACCTTGTTTTGTATGGTCTTAAGGCGACCACACTCATCAGGCAATTGCCTGATGAGAATTATGGAAATAGAGGAGGGTGTTATCCACAGAGGCAGATAACACCCTCTGAGATCTCGATAACTCTTCAGATGATAGGAAAGCCGAATTCAATAATTGTTTAGTATTATTTTTCATTTAAATTAATTCCTAGTTTGAAAATAACCTAAAACATGCTTACCTCCATTGATGTTAAGTTCATCTTTGATAGTGCATGTTTATAGCCAAGTTTAGGAGATAAAGGGTTCTTCAGTTCTACAAAATTAATACAGTGTGTATTCTCCAAATAGCAGATGTTGACTCGTCCATCGAGTTGTCTTCTTGATGTTCTTGCTTTTAGACAATAGCATTTTTAGATGATATTTTGCCTATTTATTCCTTGTGAAACAAGTGAAATGTTCCAACATTTTGTACTCACTAACCAAAACAACTCAACCTCGTCCCCAAGTCTTCTCGGTTATCCGTTCAATAATCTGGCAATTTTGCTGCCCGATCGATGTCATCAGTTCACAAATCACAAAATTCTTCCAAATTTGGTCGACAACAGCTGGTTATGATGAATTATGCGTGGGATTTTAGCCAGTAAGAAACAGAGAAATATTTTGACTGAATAATAATAATAATAACATTTATTACGCACTTATAAAAACATTTCCTAACATCTGACATAAGCTTTAAAATAACAAAAAAATATCCACATTTACACTTTAGTATTAAAGTTAATAAATTAAGGGCCCAGTGACCTATCTGTCGCGTGATCTCACGCGTTGCTAAGGACGTGCAATTTCACTTCCGGTCAATGGCGTCATTATTTTTAGCCAACGCCACGTGCAGCAAATCATAAGTGTGCGACGCCCGGCAAATTTGAAACATTTTGCCAAATTGCTACTTTCAAACAATGAAGCATGTCACCCCGGGTTTGAAAATATGGAAAAGTAAACAAAAGGAAAAGAAAAACAAAACAAACTGACAAAGCTGAAAAAAGACCAAAACAAAACGGAAACAACAAAAAAAACAACATGAAAACATGACGGGCCGAAAGGTACTGAAGAGGAAAAGACATTGCTTGGAAATTTCTAAGGCGCGCTGGTCCATTCCGTCGAAAAAGGATTTTGCTTGCCAAGTTGAAATTAGTTTCAAGCAACCCGCTCATGTCCAACATTTACTGCGATGATCATTCTTCACTTTCATCTACAACCGCAGTTCAAAAATGAATTATTTCATATACTTCAGATCATTTCACTCCTCACGGGAGATATGAACTCAATAAATTGACCTCGCTCCCAATGTGTGGCTTCATAGCTCAGATGGTAGAGAAACGCACCGGCAACGCGGAGGTCACGGGTTCGAATCCCGTTGAAGCCCTGATTTTTTTTTTTTTTCAGGCTTCTTCTTTCCAATTGCTTAAATTGGAAAATTTACTGCGATGATCATTCTTCACTTTCATCTACAACCGCAGTTCAAAAATGAATTATTTCATATACTTCACATCATTTCACTCCTCACGGGAGATATGAACTCAATAAATTGACCTTGCTCCCAATGTGTGGCTTCATAGCTCAGTTGGTAGAGCAACGCACCGGCAACGCGGAGGTCACGGGTTCGAATCCCGTTGAAACTCTGATTTTTTTCAGGCTTCTTCTTTCCAATTGCTTAAATTGGAACATTTACTGCGATGATCATTCTTCACTTTCATCTACAACCGCAGTTCAAAAATGAATTATTTCATATACTTCACATCATTTCACTCCTCACGGGAGATATGAACTCAATAAATTGACCTTGCTCCCAATGTGTGGCTTCATAGCTCAGTTGGTAGAGCAACGCACCGCAGCGGAGGTCACGGGTTCGAATCCCGTTGAAACTCTGATTTTTTTCAGGCTTCTTCTTTCCAATTGCTTAAATTGGAACATTTACTGCGATGATCATTCTTCACTTTCATCTACAACCGCAGTTCAAAAATGAATTATTTCATATACTTCACATCATTTCACTCCTCACGGGAGATATGAACTCAATAAATTGACCTGGCTCCCAATGTGTGGCTTCATAGCTCAGTTGGTAGAGCAACGCACCGGCAACGCGGAGGTCACGGGTTCGAATCCCGTTGAAGCCCTGATTTTTTTTTTTTTTCAGGCTTCTTCTTTCCAATTGCTTAAATTGGAACATTTACTGCGATGATCATTCTTCACTTTCATGTGCAAACTATTGCCACGCAGACTGACTCAGTTTTACCTGCTCCTTCGTCCAAAGTAAGTGGTGTAAAACAAGACGGCGAACTCGCTCTTCATGCGGACAAATTACTTGATTTCTGTGTCAATTTTACCAGCGCTGATGTGCAAGAAGCTACAAAATGTGGCAGCCTTGCCAAAAAGGTTACTGAAAACGGAACAATTCATAAAGTAGAGAGTGTGTTTGCAAGCAAAAGTCACAAACTTAATGAGCTAACGAGTAAGAATCTCTCCATCAACGTCTTACTTTAGAAAGCTGGTTTCCTAACTTAGGACAAACGCCACTGAATCATAGCCAACAGTTACCAGCACTGTACAAAAGACTTATTGACGAGATCAAGCAAAACTAACTACAAGAGAACAACTGGAGAACTGACAATTTAACTAACAATAGACGACTGTTTAACTGTGACAACAGACGGATTGAAACGCACCAATATTATTACTGATTACTGAGTCTTCATAGCCAATAACATCATGACATAATTGACCAATCAGATCAATAACCAGCGCATAATACCATCAACTGACGTGATACAACTCACTTTGACTCTGAAGATGACTACCGCACAGGTTGTCAAAACATCAGTCACTGTCAACAACAACAGTCCTATTCAGGACTATGTTCACCCGGACGATCAAACTCAACCTACATCACAGGAAAAAATAGCAGATTCCCAATATTGGATATTTTAGGGTATTTAAAGAATATACCCACAAAAATCCCAAATTTGGCAAAGTGAGACAAGTCCCAACCCAGGAATTCCCAACCAAGTTCCCTGGTTGGGACTTGTCTCCCTCTTCCAAATTTGGGATTTTTGTGGGTATTCTTTCAGTACCCTAAAATATCCAAAAATGGGAATCTGTTATTGTTTCCTGTGCATCTTTCTATTGTCACAGGTTGTGCTTACACGAAACTGAGATGATCTCACAAGCCACTTAAACAAGTAAACCACTTAAGGTGATTCCCTAGTAAAAGAACCTAACATAGATTGTAGATGAAACTTGGTACACTGATGTAACAAGTCAAGATAATGATAAAAAAGTAATAAAAAGTGGGGGTCACCGTGCTCGTTTTGACGTCACAATGCTGAGAAATACGGCTATTTTGGACCCTTTGTCAAAAACCGCGCGCAGCCCAAAACTAGACAAAAACGAGAGATTTTTTCGATGATGCATGTGGTATCGCACAGAATTTGACTTTATTGTATTGTTTATCCACTTACATACCAGAAAAATGCCTTTTAATGCTCCTGTTTTTATTTTACGCTCCAAAGTAGAATTGAATTGGACACGCGCTATTCGACCCGTGATAGCTCAATCCGTACAATTTAGTAAAATTGCCAAAAAACTGAACATAGATTTGTGCCAATTTTTTTCTCATCGAAAGGAAGCACTGTCCTTATTAAAATCATGAAATAAAAAATGGGGGTCACCGTACTCGTTTTTGCGGTAGAGCTGCAGAAAGTGCGCACCAAATGCATTTTCTCCGAGTTTTGAGAGAGGACTGGGACAAGTTTCAAAATAGAATGTATTTGAAAAGGGGAAGAAAGTATTAAAAAATCTGTTTTACAGAATTTACATCGAGATATCACATTTAGGATGCAATGTGATAAAGAAAGCGTTTAAATAAAAATCAAATTGAGTAAGCACAAGTTAAACATCCACTATCGAGATTCTTCGTGAGGAAGTCGAACTCAGCAACACGCGTACTGCCTACGTTATGCACATTCCCAACACATTGAGTCTCACCTCGGCAAGAAACAACCGCAAGCAAAAATTCCAATAGCGTTTCTCTTCAGTCAACTTCATTTTAATAATGTTACTTCACATGCTCTGTTTTACGGCGGCCATCTTGTTATGCACAGTAAGAGATGCACAGGCAAAACAAGGGAATCACCTTAACTGTAAAATTGAAAACACTGATTTGAGTCTTTGAAAGAATCAAGAATCAAGCTTTAATCAACTTCAAATTCATCAGGCTTATTTACTTTGTAATAGGGTGCATGACCGAAATATGTTACCACAACCAGACTTGCCGCCTCGCTTTCTAAGACCTGTAAGCATTCCCACAAATGCCGCAAATTTAACAGACAAGTCCGAGTATTTAATGGAGAAATTTAATACTCATCAAGTATCAATGGGCATTAACAAAATTTGAAACAAAAGACAGATATCACACCTAACTCCAACGAAGTGCGCTCGTGGTTTCTTTGGAAGGTAATCCACAATGACAAGAACAATAGCCTGAATATATGAATACCGTACTTGATAACCCCAAAATTGGGGGCACACACAAGTTTATATATATCGGCATGAAGTTGTAAGATCATAAGCTGCGGTTTACTTATACTGTATAAGTTTTTTTCAAATTCATGAAAAAAAAATCAAATGTTTAAGTAACAGAAACAATAATGATAAGCAAAAATATTACTGCTCTGACACAAGTACCTGTAGGAAAACAAGGGACTTCCCGCCAAAACCAATAGACTAGGTGACTCAAGTTTGTAAACGTTTGACGTGATAAAGAACATTTAGGCTCAACTTGCATTATCATAAAAAAGAAAATTCAGATAAAAATATTAAATACGCAACAAACTCAAATCGTTTTGCTCAAAATTATCGATCGCAGGTCCAAAGAGTAAAACTTAAGCTTTTTTATTCATATCAAACAATATATTAATTATTGTATTAACTTAGGAGATTTTTATCACAGTAACTGGAGGTCGGTCTTTTGAAAGTAGCATACAAAGGCAAGGAACTAATTACATTTATCTGTAGAGCGCACTTGATTCACTCAATATATTAGTACAATATTAATTTAACAGATAAACCACTTACTTCTCGTGTGCGCATCACTCTGAGTCGAAGTGGATGCTCTCGATCCAGGTCTTTTCGGACTACTATAAATTACTTCGGAGGAAGGTTTACTGCGTTTGTGTGGTGTAGACGACTTTCTTTTATCCTTAGGTGATTGACTAGTAATGGCTCGAACCATGATAGTGAATAATGTTGATATCTACTGAGATTAGCTCCGTTTTGCAGTCCCCGGACCGTTTGGCGTCCGACCTCTCTCTACAGACGCGGAGCCCGCGAAAACCACCCTGTTGGTCAGCACACATCCCCTCGAGCAACAATACTGCATGTAACAGGGAGTGGAGTATTCAAAATGGCGGCGGTATTCAAACCAATGGTTCGATGGGCTCAAAGCAAAGAAAGACTGTTTTTAACGCTAGAGCTTACAGATGTTCAGGTTTGCTGCATGGAGAAATAAAACGTTGTATTTTTGTTCTGATTGTGACCTTTTGGTTTGTTTTTTATGTTATTTAATAGTACCCTGCTGTTGAGTTGACAAGTACTCGTCTGGTGTTTCAAGGTAAGCTCATAACAATTACGTTACTTTGACTTTTTTTTATTTACGTTATTCTGTTTTATCACTTAAGCGACATGATTTTTCCTAAATCTGAATTTAACTGTATATAAAAAAGTAGACTAGTCTATAACTATAACCCAATAACGACCGGTTGCATTTAATTTCAGTCCAATTCGTTTTGTTGTAATATTTTTTTGCAGGTTTTGGACGCGGTGCAAGGGGAGAGCAACAGTACCATGTAGACATCAATTTTTACAAACCTGTCGATATCACGGTATACCTTATTTCACTGAGTACAATGTTTTGTTACTTTAAACAATAAAATGTACAACTGACACTTTTTAAGACTGACACCTTTTCAGTGGAAACTTGTTAAATTGGTCTCCACCTGCATTTCCATCTAGATCCTTAATTACCATAAATGTTTAAATAAATGTCCATATTTCTATAATAACAGTTACTGCCCAATGTCAAATCGACATCCCTCGAAATTTCAATTTGGTTTTAAAAAATAAGGGATATAGAATGGTTCCTTGAAAAACGTGGGTCTAGGAAAATTTTTGCCAGATCTCTAAATCTTGGAAGTGCTTGTGATAGGTCTCAAAGTCTTGTTTTTGGATGATTTTGCATCTTGGAGTCTCGAGTTCTTTTAAATCTCAGTCCTGAATTTTGAAACGGGCATTGCGCAGTCTTGCAAAGTCTCAAATTTACCATTCTATACCTCTAAAATTCTTATGTCTAATATTTTTGTTGCCCCCTTAGCCTGTTCCAGGTGTTCAGATAGTTGGGAGCAGTGCAAAGTAAAATAAGCAAGGAAAAATAGAGGGGGGACTAAAACTTCACCACAGCTGACCATTGATTCCGAGATTGTTTAGGTTAATAAAAACATCTCTTGACTGATGACCATCTGGACATTGACTCTGACACTAAAGACTATGCTCAGCTATTACACTCAGACATGTAATTCCTGTTTTGAATTTTCTTCAAGATTATGACCAGAACTATGTACCTTACAGAACCTTGTAAAACCTGGAAAAGGGGCTAACAGTAAGAAACTAAGAAGAAATAGCAGTCATAAAACAAATTGAAAAGAAAAGGAAAAATTATGTGGCTTTGCAGGATCTCTAACCCAGAATTGAAAGCATAAGTTTTACCATTTGTCAGAAAATAGCCATCTATCTAATGAGAACAAAAGTATCCTATTTGAGAAAACTGACTTCATGTAAACCCACTGTTTGAAAAACAAACATATATTTTCTTACATGGGTGGAATTCAAAATATATGGCGAAACAAAGTTACAACGTGACTAGTGGAAACATAAAATTTGGCATACCTCAGGGAAAGGGCCAAATAAGTTTATTGGCATGGTCTTGTTTGTTGTTTGGTTTGTTGCTAGGGAACTGGCAGACACCAACCTGATATATTATAGGTAACCCAAGCTTCCACTGCCCTAGGCAATCCATGTATGAGACGAATTCTGTCAAATTTATAAACCTCTCTAAACTCAAGCTTTCAGCCCTGACCTTGCAAGGGACCAAAATGTAGTAGTTGAAGTGAATGTTGTAAAAGTTAAATGAATGCCTCTCTTTTGAATCACACCTACCAGTATTATCTAATAAGCACCCATGGTATAAACTTTACGCACATTTTTAGCAGCTGTGAATTGACATCTCTCCCTTTCACATTTGCCCCCTTACACTGCCACATTTCTCTTTCTCCTCCCTCCCTTACCCTGTCCTTTTGCAATTCCAACTCATTCAAGCATGGTCCCATATCTCCATTTTTTATTAAGGTAGTGTGAATTTAAAGAGACTGTTCAGTGTTGCAAATAGTATGCTGTTAGTTGTCTGCAGGTGATAGTAAGAGATGTATAAATATCATGAATAAAAAATATATAAATATTATTCCTTAGTCTAATAGATGAGAAATTCATCTGCCTAAAGTAAAATCCACTTTTGGCCAGTCTACTCTTAATTCACAAGAGCAAAAGATTGGAACAATTGAGTTGCCCAATGAATTATGGGCTGATGGCCTAAATTACATAGGATCTTTCAAAGCAAAGGCATTTGCATATTTGCCAGAACTAGTCAAAACATAGCAAAAAATGTAGATTTGAGATCAATTTGTTATTTTAACATCTTTAATTTTATATATTGTAAATATTAGTCTTTCCACTTTTTTACCATGTACTATTCTTTTTAATCTTGAAATATTTTATTACTGCACACAGGTTTAGACCAGCTACATTTTCATACTCAGCTGATCTATTTTTTTGCAATAATTATAAATAAAGTATCTAATTAATTCAATTTAGTAATAAACTGGAAGAATTTACCCAATTTTAGAACTTTATGGAATAGTCTCTATCATTTCCTGACTTGTATTAATATTCATTTATGATAATATACTGTGCTAGGCAAGTAACCACAAAGTCCTGGACCGTTATGTAGAGTTTTCCATTGCAAAGCAGGCAGGCCAGCATGGTAAGCAGCTTATAAACTAACAGCTCACATTTTCAGAAGTTAAGAATTCCCTTTTAGGAGGCCTTTCTTTCTTTTCTTTTTTCTTACAGAATAGAAGATTGCAAGGTATTGCTATCCTCATGTATAAGGTTAACCACAATTAACTATGTCTCATGAAAATATCCAGGCTCTTTTATATGCATTGTACACCTTAAAACCTGAGAGTAGCAGAGTTCGCCATCCCCATTTTCAAGACCAAGAAATATGGAAAACACTCGCTCACTTATTTGGGACTATAAGTTGTGGAATAGACTAGCTACTGGCATGGGCAAAATTAGGACCATCTTTGAAGGATTCTAAACATCGTATTTGGAAATGTGATTTAAGTGCGATGGTAGAAGATGATAATTGCACAAACTGCATTCATTGTAACTCCTAACAGAATGAAATATTCCAGACTGGCTTTCTATTTTAGTTAGTTTTTTAGGTCTTTTAACTAGGCTTTTAGTACCGAATCGTTAGTAGGCTTTTTGATCATGTATTAGTTAATAGGTTTTCTTATTGTTAAGCATCCCCGATTAGTAGAGGGGTATTACCCTAGGCTAGCTACATTGACATGTTAATAAAGTTTTTGATTGATTGATTTTTGTGCTTTTAAGAGTTTTGGCCGCGGTTAATTGTGGATGAGCAGAAACCAGCATGGTTAAAAGTGAACTTTGATCGATGGCAAAGTGAAGATGCTTCAGAAAGTGAAAAAGAGGAAGAAGAACAGAAAGCCAAACTAGAGGTAAGGAAATTCCATGTAATTGTCCATAAATTTCAATTTCTTGTTTGTAACTTAGTTCTTTAAATTGTTTTACTGAATTCCTCCAGTCGAATCATGTCAGCCTCATTAATGAGTTGATTTGTAGAGTTTAAGATTAATTTGATCATAAAGCTGATAAAATTAAATGAGCAACAAAAAGAAAATCTTGACGGTACTCACAAGTTTCATTCTCTTTCAGGATTTACTGGCTCAAAGTAAAGCAATGGAAGCAGATCTGGATAATGAGATTGAGAAAACAAAACAAGAAGGTGCATGTACATTTTATATACACTTGCAAAGTTATTACACAAAAAAACTTAAGTCTTGAATACCGGTATTAATTCGCTTACACTACGTCATGTCAATCTCTCAGCTCATATCGTCAGGAGCCATAGGGCAAAGTAAACACTTGTTTTAAAATTTTTTGTTTACTGATAAGATTGCTATTTCAGTTTTCAGATTCATTCGAACATTCTACCTTGTTTTGTACAACCTGTTGCAAGCAGGATTGTATATTTACATCACCTCAGTTCTTTTATCAAGATTAGTGTTTCTTAGAACAGGTACTTGAAAAACAATTACTGAATGATTTACTTACTGTTTGCTATTTGTAGTGACCACTATCACAGTAAAGACTGAGCAAGCCAAGTTAGAATATTTTTGCAATAAAATAAATTGTTACGTTTATATGGTCAAACCTCTACTAGTCTAGTGGCCATCTCTCTACAGCCAGTTTGTTCTCCAGAAAATGTGTAGTAAAGGGAGAAAAAATTAAACTGTGTGGCAATAGATTAGTTCAAAGGAGTGGAAAGCCTTTCATGCTACTTACCTGGCACACCTAGAGTTTGGAGTTAGGTATGGCCATGGGTTGCACCATCATATTTCACGTTTGTTTTTATTGAAAAAAGTGTTAAGAAACAATTACCACCAATTTATTAGCCTCTTAAAAAATGAAATATTTTGTGTGAGTAGTCAATGTTTCTGTGGCGACTATACACACAATTTTTGCCAACTGCCGGAGCTTCTGGGTGCTCAGACATAAATTCATGCTTGTTTTTGATGATAATTACACGAAACAAAACAAAATGTTTACATATAAAATGTTTACCTATAAAATTTCATTAAATTGTTTACTACTTGTTGTCTTGACTTGATCTCTGATTGATTCATCACTGATTTCTACTGCTCAGTCTGCTTTGATCATTTTAACAGCTGCTTTTCCATCACATCTTTTCTTTTAAACTTATCATTAGGTGCCTTCCCAGTAGCTTATGATGCAGTTAGTGATGTATTAGCCTCATGTCAGCTGGCTGCATTCTTGGAAGTTGTTCATCCTTTAATAGGCATTGTAAAAACAGGAGTAATGGCTCCATTCATGCAGGTATGTATCGTGACAATCAAAAGTTAGTTATTTATAAACTCATGTCTAATCTGTACTTGATCCATATGGTAAGTAAAGTAATAATTATAAAGAACTTTAGTATTGACGGTATTTTAATCATGTATAGAACACATCCCAAGCTTGTAATTGGTAAGCAAAGGTCAAACATCATTGACAGTTGTCATATTCAAGCCATTAAGTTTCAATAAAACAACATTATTAAAGGAGGCAGAGAATAGTCTACTAGCTGACGATATACCAAGTGAATAGTCAGTCTTGAGTTATGTCACAAAGAACACAACAATGATCCCTAGCCCTCACACAATAACGTAATAAACTTCACACAATAGAGTGAAACAATATTATAGTGCAAATATATTATCTTGACGTCAGGTATATCACACATCACCCAGCCAGTCCAACCTTTCACCCTGAGACCATAAGTTATGAGAGAAAGATTTAAAGCCATTTTTTATGGCCCTAACAAACCTTTCTCTCTAATTTAGAGCACTATCAAAATAAATAAGCAAGCCAAATGTATGAATACAGTAGCATCGTTTATGAACCACCGTACTTTATTTTCAGAGCTTTCAATAATTCACTGCTTACCACACTGTATAGCAGGCTGGTTTTTTGTGTTTTTTTTTCTTTTGCATTTGTAAAACAAGAGATACAGCTGAGTGAAAACTGAGGTCACATGAGAAAACAATGGGGGATGCCTGAGTGGGGGCAAGGTAAAAAATTCTTTCTGTTTTTTTCTTTCCCTCACCTCCTCCCTCATTGTTTTCACACTTGACCTTGGTTCAGCCTTTGCAAGTCTGTATCTCTTACTTTACAAAACACAACCAAAAAACACCCCAAAAAGACCAGAATTCATCCACCTGATCTTTGCTATAAAATTATATCAGTGTTGAAGTATTCATTATTACATAAAGTGTAATATTGCATTTGTCTTTGATCTTTGTTCATTGGTAGTAGGGAGGTGGTAGTAGGGAGTTTGAAACCAGGTGATCAGGTAAAACTTTAGAATTATTGTTTTATTTTATCACAGCTATTTCAACTATTTGTTTAGTTACCCGTTTGATTATATAAACACCAATGAAATACCAGGTGAGCTTTCGCACGAAAAATTGATATCTTCACATGTGAAATAACATGTTATCTTCACATGTGAAAAGATCACGTTTGCTATGGCTACATAATAAATTGCGCCTTTCACACCAAAAAAATATTAAAGTGAAATGGTTTTGGTAGTTCATTGGTGTTTATATAATAAATAGAACATTTACATGGCCGCTTGGAGATACGAAATTTCTCTTCTCTTGTTGAAAAAATATTTCACTCGTTCGCTGCGCTCACTCATGAAATATTTTTCAACACTCGAGGAGAAATTTCGTATCTCCACACGGCCATGTAATATTCTCTATTTATCGATCATCATAACTGGTCATTTATTTTTCCTTATACATTTGTTTATCTATTTATTTTGTTAGTTTAAAAAAATCGACTTATGTTACTAAAGGTGTCATCAACCAAAAATTTTTAACAAAACACAACTTTGTTAAGACAAAATCCACCAGTAAATTGAGTAATTTTAATTTTCAGTGGACAAAAACCTTGTACCAGAATAATTTAAAGAATATTGCATTCTTTTTTTATATTAATTTTTTCAAGGGCTTAACATGTAATAAATCATCTGCAGTAACACCAAAGAAAATTTCTCATGGAAGTCCAAGAAAATGAATGTCAAATTGTGATTACACAGTTAAAATTCTGAAAATTTCATGTGTAAGATGTAATATTGCTGTGAAATTTGACATTCATTTTCTCGGGCTCCGATGAGAAATTTGTTTTGGTGTCACTACAGATGATTTATTACATCTTTAGCCCTTGAAAAATGTAAAAGAGGTTATAATAAAATATGCTTTAAATTATTCTGGTACAAGATTTTTGTCCACTGAAAATCAAAATTACTCACTGTCCTTGTGGATTCCGTCTTAAATTCTTGCTAGTGTAAATTATTGCATTTTAATTTGCAGGTATTTGGTAGAAACTTGGTTCTTTTTTTGGTTGTTGTACCAAATGAGGAGCTTCACAAGCAGGCTACAGTATTTAGTCTGTTCTTTGTGTGGTCTCTTATTGAAGTCATCAGGTACCCAAAATGCAGGCAACAATATGGCATTTAATTAATAATATTTGGACATTTAATGCAACTTGGACTACTGCAAGCACAATTTGATATTTTCAGTGTGTATGTTGTTACAATCATTATATTAATATTTTGTGACAACATTTTTGTCACATAGTGAGGGTGTTTCATGTTGTTGTAAAAACCATCACTCGTTCTCTTTTGTGTTGTGCTGTGGGTATTGTTCAGTGTATGTGCCAGCAAGAACAGGAAACCACTGGCCTACAGTGCATGCTACAATGTAGTTTGTTTTTACGGGCAGCAAGAGTGCAAAAAAAGCTCTAAAAGGTGCTCTTAAGTTCTTTCCTTGGATTTTACTTTGAGCAACTCATCTTTAGAGATGACCATGTTGTCAGTAGTCCCTAGTTCGACTGTATACATCCACTTAGTGTAGGTGTCAAGGGGTAACAGGCTGAGTGATCTTTATTGTTGTGAACATTAATTTGAAAACCAATATTTTTTGGGAAAATCATTCAAGAATGAAATGTTACCTTGTTGAATAAAAATGGAAATTTAATTGGGAATGTTAGTGCCTATCATAGGCCTTTATGGTACTTTGTGTAACATTTTAGCCATGAAGTTGGCTTATGCAGAAGAAACAACCCCTTGCTATAAGTTTTGTCTTAGTAATTTATAATATAAACCTCCTCCCTGGCCTCTTAAAGTCATCAAAAAAGCACCTTGCTGTGATTACCAAATTTGTGTATCAAAAGAAAAGCGAAAAGGATTCTGGTCTTAGTGGTAAAATGGCGCCATCATGCAAACGGCCTATTTAATTTAAATAAACAGTGAATATCCCCATATGAAAAAAAGGTTTGTTACTCTTGCTTGCGTAAACAGCGAGACTCATAATCTGCAACGCATTTTCGAATTTTTGTTTGAATTTTATACATAAATAGGGGGTCATTGTGCTAGACATTCCTAGCAGAGACCGTGGAAACTGGGACTAAGAATCGTTGGATGATCGAAGCCACACATGTTTAGCCTGGTTAGCTCAGTTGGGAGAGCGCCGGTCTGCTGAGCGGGAGGTCGCGAGTTCGAATCCTGGCCAGACCAACACTCAGGGTCTTATAAAAATAACTGAGGAGAAAGTGCTGTCTTTGTAATGACATCTGCAAATGATTAGACTTTCAAGTCTTCTCGGATAAGTACGATAAACCGGAGGTCCCGTCTCACAAACCTTGTTCACATATAACTCTGTGGGACGTTAAAGAACCCACACACTATTCGAAAAGAGTAGGGGAGGTAGTTCCCGGTGTTGTGGTCTATCTTCATCACTAACCATCATCACTCATCATGGGTTGGGAGGGTTCAGTGGGCTCATAAATGGACTGATAGCGGCTGCCATCGGCGCCCTTAGTATGCTGATGTCCGAGCCCACTGCAAAAAGCTATGTAAAGAGGACATGTATGTTTGTCCTCTCAATCGCGACATTGACATTGACATTGAGGAAAGATTAAATTTAGAGCTTTTCTGAAACGTGTTGGTCCACGAATTCTATGGCTTTAAAGCGTTGATTACTTTGGAACAAGTGAACACTACTGAGAAGTTGAAAAAAAAATCTTACTTAGCAAAACTGCGATGGTCGGGACTGTTGTAAACTTTCATTGTATGCAAATGGGTTTTGTGATGAGAATGCGGCTTATTTTCGGCGATGATTGAAATGACGTGCCATGTAAATCACTTTTTTGATCTCTGGCAATGATGTAATTTCTCTGAAATCGAAGCCCTTGAATTTTCGTGTATTTATACACACGTATAGCCTGCGACCGCACACATATTTTCAGTCGTCACTAACATGTGTACTAAATCAGTTCAGAAACAAGTAAAGAGCATCAACATTGATAAAGTAGGAGGAAAATCCTGTTTCGTGTAGAATTAATTTTTTCCTGATTTCTCGATCTAATCTCCAAGCAAGAGAGACTGAATGCCACTGTAAGCGCATTCTTGTTTAATCTTCATCAGGAATTAAAATAGAAACTCACTACTTTTTGTAGAATGTCCAGATTTTTTTTCATGAGTCTCCAGATTTTCCTTTATCAGGGGTTCGCGGGTCTGCAGTAGGTTTCCTCAAGACCCATATTTCTCTAAGTTTTAGTACTGGAGAATACACTATGTATGCTTTATGGGATGACTTGAGAATTTGAAATTTGAAAGTCATTCCAATCCCTTAGAGAAACTTATGAAAAATTGTATAATTCAGTAATGTTTTTGGACAACCATCCTAAAGAATGCGGTTGTCAGAAACACAAATGTGTTTTTCTATAAAATATAATGTTTTCCTCAAACTGTTTTAGTTTTCATCAGAAATACAGCCTGCTACTTTTGGCATGTTTTCATTAATATTCATTTGATAAATTTATGGTACAGATCAATCGTGTTGTGAAGGGGTGAAAAATTCCAATAAACTAAGGCAGTTTGTGTCAGGCTTTTCTCCGCTTCCACTATAATTAAATTTTCTTTCTCCCTTTTTTCTTCTCTTCTCTTTCTTCTTAGAAAAGCCTCATGCTCTAGCTCAGCCTGATAAATTACTGGTATAATTTATTAGTTTCTCATTCCTCAATTCTATACTCATCTAATTTTTGTATGTTATTTTTGTTGCTTTTTTATACACTCAGGAAAGTCACTGCTTTTTAGTATTTTACTTGCTTGTAGCTTTGATATTGCACAATTATAACTTTTGCATGTAGGTACCTTGAAAGGGCAACAGTTTACATGAACCTGAATCATATTATTACATAAAGATTTTCCTCAGAAGAATTAGTGCTTGCTTGTTGTTTCACAGGTACCCATTTTATGCCTCTCAAGTCCTTGGCATCAAAATAGAACCACTGATCTGGCTTCGATATACAATGTGGATTCCTTTGTATCCACTGGGCATTTTATCTGAAGGTAAGGCTTATCAACACATGTTGTCTTAAAATGAGCTTGGATGTTGCCATGCAATTTTACTGTTGTCTACCAGTTTTCCACCGTCACCTCCTTCAATAACAATTGAAGATGTGGTTTGCATTCCATGATTTTCATGGGAAAGAACTAAACGTTTTGATTGGACATTATTTGACCATCCACTAGGCGTTGCACACAGGTAACTCAGATTAGCAGATTTTGAAGACGGGTCAGATGTGCAGCTGAGTGGCTAAAACAATAGAATCATTTTTAGCTTGCATGCAGGCACTAATCATTCCTTCCTCACCCATATACCTTTCACTCATGTACTGCTTGTGCACCTAATTATTTTCCTCTACAGGAAAATAATTAGGTGCGCTTTCCCTTGTCCTTCACTACACCAGCTTTGCATGTTATCTTGAAATTCGCTTTCTGCACATGCATGCTTGAACTTCACTGAGGCCATAAAGTAATATCAAGAAAAGCCAGGGAAGTGCTAAACATCAAAACAACATTTTGGCTAATTGAGGGTTTATTTGGCCTGATAGTGATCCAGAAATGGCTCCTCTATACTCGAATGGTGATGGCATAATTTCCAGGTGATAAGGGTTGCCGTGTGGCTCAAAAAGTGTGGTTGTGTATTACAAACGGGCTGGTCGTAAGGTGTGGTTATACTATTAAATATCACCATTGGCATTACTAAGATCCAACTGAATTTCTTTTACAACTGAACAGGTACTCTGATATGGCAGGCAATTCCTTTGCTGGATAAATCTGAGAGGTTTTCTGTCAACCTGCCCAATGTGCTTAACTTTGGTTTCAGTTTTTCATGGTTCCTCAGGGTGTACCTTGTGTTTCTAGTTGCAGGTTAGTTGAGCACAATCATTCTTTGTCAGAGACAGAATTAACTTAGCAATTTCTGGTTAAACGTTCTTTCACCAAGATGACTCTTATCTTGCTTGATTCAGAACTGGACTTTTTCAGAACAGAAACCATAATTTTTCAGATTTTTCTAAAACCATTTGTAGAATGGAATGTTTGAACTATTAACTTTCCTTGTGTCTGCCTTAAAGAAGACTACAAAATGTGGCATTTTTTCTGCTGTTGCAGGAAACCAAACTGCCGGGCTGTCATTAAGAGGTGGGGGCTGGGGATTTCCCCTCGCTACTTTCAAAGGAAAATAGAAGAAAATAGAGTTAAAACAAATCCCTAGCTGTTTGATTCCCCACCTACTTGTTGTATTTACTCAGCACCTTGAAATCTTTGTGACAACCCTGCCAAAGATATATATAATGCATCAGTCAATTCCAGCTGCACCCAAATTTTGCAAATTTAACACACACGCAGTTTCGAATTCCTATCTGAATATAACTATGCAGAGGATTTTACTGGAAAAAAACCAGGGGGTGGTTGGGGTTGGGCTGGGCACAGCTGGAATTGACCGATGCATAAACAGGTTAGAGGGATAAGGACTAATATAAACAAGCCTTCAGTAAAGCATCCTGCACCAAGCCTCATAAGGTGGAATGCACCCTCCTGGCCACCACCACCTATTCCAAAACCAATAGAACTATTCTTTCCCAGTCAAACACGGTAAATTATGTTACTCTTGATTTTTCAAATGTCAGAATAATTCATATTAATTAATTCCAAATATTTCCCAGAAGGAATCTAAGTGAACATAAGACAGTAATGCCAATTACTGCCAAAACAAAACATCTTTAGTTCAATAATGATAAAGTGAAATAATTTCCCCTTGTGATTCTAATGCTTTAATACTGCACTTCTTAAGAACATGAATTCGACGTACACCAACATTTACAAATTTCTTACATATGACCCAAACAGACCATGTAGGAAACATACCAACAGGTTCCCTTCAGCATTTTTTAAAGATCTCTTTCGCATGTTTTAATTCATTTTACTTGTTTCACTTCGTCACAATTATGGCTGATGGAGGCAAAAACATAACCATTAGTTAAATTTTTTACTTCGAGTTTGCATCTTTGCAAATAATTTTATGCCCCATTATGTACATTTTTTTGGGATTTGTTGTTTTTTGTTTTTCAGGAGGATCGTACATGATGAAGCATATGTATATCCTGCGCCAACGACGCTGTGGAAAAACAAAAACAAAGACAAGATAACTGATGAAATGCTAATGTAGTGGTTCAAATTTATCCTTGGTTTAAATCTAATCTTCCTATTGTTTTTGGGTATGGTAAAATGATAATGACTTTGAAACAATGAAAATAAAATTTAAACCAAGGATAAAACTGAACCACAACACATTTGCGTGAGAAATAAATGTGAGAATAACGCACCCAGTTCAGCCTCTCAATCTGTCAGTTGCTGCTAGTATTTGTTGGTTATGGAACACTTTCTTTTAAGGTGGCTCGGCCCAGTTTTCAATCCCTACTGAATGTACAATATACTATGCAGCTAAAAGTACACATGGCACTTTCAATAACATCATACTATGCAATAAAGTCTTTTTGAATAAGTTCCGTGTCAGAATGTTCCCTTTATCAGCAGTCAAGATCTCACATGGTCCACCTCCCTTCCTGTCTGCTCCTGCTTTCTAGCTTTATACTCCTCATCCCATACTCCACAAGACAGCCTGCATGTTCACAGGCTAGTGAACGACCAACAAGTTATACTTCACTACACCATTATCAATGATTGCGCATAATTTCTTGTTATACAACACTATTGGTCAGAGTATCAGCTAAAAAACAGTGGCAGTTTGTAGCATTTATCCATCAAAGTAGAAGTGACAAATTGTATAATATTATTGTAAAATTACTATTTTACTCCAAACATCAAGTTTTTGGTAACTTATAGACTTGTACAACCTTTCACAATTTAATGTGTGTAATTTGGATATTAATTGGCACCTTCCAAGCCATCAGACTTGTAGCCTAGTCTCTAGTTATCAAAAGGTGAACAATACAGGTCATTAGATTCTAAAACAAGGATGACTACGAGGACAAGATTTTCTCAATACTAAATAACACATGCTGGAGAACCAGCATCATTTTAGTGCGAAAACATAACAGCCATAGTGGTGGTGGAAACAAGTTCTGTCAGTTACCAGTTATGTTAGGAAATTTTATCACTAATATTTTCGCGCTTGGGAGATGGCTTAACCTCCTTCATTAAAAATGACAGTGCTAACTTTTCTGGTGAAAATAACTACAATAAACTTTCCAGGGTGTCAAATATTTTAAAATACACAAAAAAACTTAAAAATTCAATTTATCAAGTCCTTGTAATCAACCTCCTTGTTGAATCTAAAGGTCTCTAATACCATCCACTGGACAAGTCAAAACACAACCTCAACTGTGTTATTCACTGTGTAGAGATTCATCCCAGCCTCCTCCTCAGGCGCTTCTCTTTTCGCAAGGTAGAGGAGTGACTGGTGATGAACTGCAAGTGACCATGTGAAGGGTACAGACGACAGGCACCTTCCTTTCCTTTCCTTCCCGCCTTCCCGAGAGAAAAAGATGTCTGGGTACGAGGCAGGATTCATCCACCTTTTGAAGAACTTGCTGAGCTGTCATACACAAAAAATTTTCAAAGAGCCCAAAACCCCAGGAGGGGGGGGGGGGTACTCCCATACAAGAGGCTAAAGGAGATATGCCACCGGATGGGGTCACATTTTCACGAGTGGAGTGACTATAAAGGGGTCGCATTTTCAATAGAGTTACTAGAATGGGGTTGCAAATTTTTGGATTTTTGGGGTACGTAGGGATTCAAAATGGGAAGATTCCCAGTTAAAAAGATCAGAAAGTTGTTGTTTATTAAGTTTAACAATAAGCTGGCATTGACCACATTACATTCCATTCTTGAAAACACAACTTAAATATTAACCAGTTACTCAATGGCACAAAACCATAGGCCCAGAACAAAGTCCACCGAAACATCAATACTACAGCATTAATTTTACTTTTCTACTGGATTGTTATCAACCATCGAAGATACTTTTTGGATGACCTTTTTAAAGGATTGACAAGATAGACAAATAAATACAAAGTGACTAAGTTGGAATCACGAAAATTACATTTTCCAAAAAGTGACTAAAATGGAGTAGGGGCTCTGAGAGGCCAGCAGCACATACCCAGCAAACATTAACCAAGTACCCTGTGATTTCTTCACCACAAAAGCAAAAAGGAAGTCACCAGGGGCCACTAAGCTCTGCTAGAGCACAGTGGTTATACGAATCTTCTCACTACTCTAGACAGATGCACAACATAATAGGCATCAGAAAATACAAGGTTGGAGGTGGGAGGCAGTTGTGATGGACAGCATCCTCCCTGGGAACAAGGTGGTAAATACTGCTATACTACAATAATATAAGCTAATGTCACAACTTTGTGCAAACTTTGTGCCAAAGGTGGAATGAGCTTTGCTTTTCACAGCAAGCTTCCTAAACAGGCTATCGCTTGAACATTATATTCATTGGTGAAAGTTGTATTTAGCGGCCCATGCCTCCAGAAAAACTGAAAACAAAAATATCATCTACTGAAACAAAACGTATTACTTTATTCTTTTAATTCACTATAATTTTTACATACTGTGCTTCACAGACTTCATGAATTCACTTGATTTTCACCCATTTCCCTGGACTATACTCACAAAAAATAAAGTTCAATTTGAAAATTGCTTGAAGTGTGACTTAACATGACAGTTGGCATAAAGCTTTTTGGATATCAAGGGTGCAAAACAAAAAAGGTTATCATGAAACAGACTGTATTTTGCCACACAGCATCTCCATGATCAGCATACATTGAACTTTCACTTACATGGGAACACAGGAAACTATGTTTAATCAGGGACTAAGTTGGATGGAAATGCTAAACAAGTAGGATATTATAACTGAAGATTTCATCAACAAGGCTTTTGTCACTAAAAGGAAAGGACAGAGCCCCTAGTACCTAAAGGAAACAAACTTGCAACTTGTTCAGTCTAGGTGCTAAAGCCAAAATATAAAGGGAACTCCAGGCTTCCACTTTCTGCTATAGACAAGAGCCTTGATCAGTATTATCTATGTGTATTTGTAGATGAAAACACCAATGATCATTAAGGGGAAATTGAGTTCACTGATAACAATGCACTGTCAGCTACATGAAAGTAGAGATGATAAAAGGCTGCAAAATAAATGCCACCAAATATGGTGAAAACCTGTGTTAACAACGATCAAAACATTAAGAGAATTTAGTGCAAGATTGATCATGTCATCAATTGCAAAGTTATTTAAAGCAGTAATATTTTAGTAATGAAATACAGCTTGACAGTTCAAAAGATTTAAAGAAAGTTTAACTGCATTGACACAAGATTTGAATCAGTGAAAATGGAAGAGTTCCACAGCTTAACATTTGAAAACTTTGTAGAAAGCATTACTTTAAATAGCAGCTTGTATCCTGCTTTAAAAGATTGTAGCAGCATTATCTTCTATGACTACCAGTATAAGATTGTCAGTCTGTTAGTTTTAGTTAAAGGAGGAGAATGAAGTCTTGAACAGATTCCAGCCAAGTTTAATGATCCAATACTAGGTTATACTCTCCACTTCTTGTTCGACTGTGATTATCTGCTGCGGCATAGAGCAAGAATGAGTTAAATTTACATATAATACACATTCTGCTACAACCATTATTATACCACATAAAAACAAATAAACTGAACTTGTTTTCATAATTGAGATTTTAAAATCATTGCAAATATTAAGAAGGTTCACATAAAATATTCATCAATACACAGCAAGTAAAGGTATTACAAGGCATAGTGAAGAAATCTGACTTATGTTAACCAGGTTAATTCAGTTCAAAATCTAACAAAAATGAAAGTTAAATTTCAAGTAGTTAACAGTATCATATCTAGAAAATAATGGATTATTTAGTGTCAGTCAGAAAGGTTAAAAATGGTTGAGATTACAGTTAAGAAAGTCAAAAACATATATGTATAACACGTTTTGCAGGGTTGTCACTAAGATTTCAAGTTGCCGGGTAAATACGACAAGTAGGCGGGGAATCAAATGGCTAGGGATTTCTTTTGGTTCTATTTTTCTTCTTTTTTCCAATTAAAGTAGCCGGGGGCCACTCTCTTAGTAGCCGGGGAAAATCCCCGGCCTCCAGCTCTTAATGACAACCCTGGTTTTGAAATCACTCTATACAACAATTAATGCAAGGATTTAACGTCAAGTCATTAAAAAGGAACAACAGCCTCGACGTTCATGTTCCTTTGTCATGCAAATATCCCATTAATATAACAAGTATTGTCTGTATAATCAGTTTTCTCTCCACGCCCAATAACCACCATAGGTGTGAAAGGGGCTAGTTGTGGCTCACTGCTCTAAGTTCATTTTGTTAATTTTCATCAATCAAGAGTCCCAGTAGTTCAAAAGGTGGAAAACACTAACCAATCACTATCCACTGGACAACACAATTTGTTTCCAAAACATTGGATAGTGATTTATCTGGTGGATAGCCCTATCCAACCATTGAACAACAAGGGCCAGAAAATTAGGAATGTAAGTCTTTCAATGATAACACCACAGCTACATAGCAAAAATGATTCCCAGGCACTATCATTCACACTTAATACAGACTACGATAGAATTTAGAGGACAGCCCATAATGAACCAACTGATGAATAGTGTGCATGTATCAATGCGGCCTGCAACAAACAGTTCTCAGTTTGTCATAGGCATTACAGGAATTCAAAGGAAAAACATGTGAGTCCCTGATAACAGTCAAACCAATGACATACACATGCTCCAACAGCTGCTTAGCTGCAAGGAAACAGCAAACTATAGCTCATTAACACAGCAGCAACTGGCTAGACATTAGGCTCCTCAAGGATTTCTCCAGAGATCAGTAGAAAGGTACCCCATGAGAGCAACATTGCAGGTGCAGGGTCAAGTGTAATGGTTAGTGAAGTAACAGTTCATACAATGCCTATTCCCTTGTGTTCTTCACTAGGCAAAACATTTTTACCCTAAACTATCTTTCTCCATACAGTTGCATACATTACAGGTCCAATTTCATTTTTAGGATCAATTTTTTTAACCTTGGTCTTAAAATCAGGAACACCTAACTTGGGTCACAAAGCTCCTGTACATGTACTTCACTTTCACCCTTCCCATGTTACTTGGCAATAGTTTTTTTGTGGATTTGTCTAATTTCAAGGTCAACATATAAAGGGAGAAGGAAAAGGAGCTGCAACATGTTAATGTTAGTAATCCAAGTTCTAATGTCATGAATTGTAGGTTAAATCAATCATCCCCAAATACAATTT